AAAAAATATATATATAAAGAATGCAGCTTTTTCGTATTTAGCCGCAGGCAGCTGGCCATTCGCTGGCCATAAATGAAAATAAATTGTGACCAGTTGGGGAAAACAACTCGTTTAAGTTCTGGCCAGCACATTTGGGCCAGGCTTTAAGTGAAAATGGAGCGGAAATGGAAAGTGGAGAGGGGAGGAGGGGGAGGAGGATACGAGGAGAGGAGGTTTGATGAAATGTCACAGCGAAATGTGAACTGCCAATGAAAAATATGGACACGATTTGAGTCCGTGGACAAGGTTATTGCTGATGATGATGTCGTCGCTCATGATGGTACGTCCTGATGAGGCTGATGTTGATTTATCGTCCTGGATCCCCGGAACTTTGCAGGTTCTAGATTCCCTTTCCCTTTTACGTGTTCCCTTTCCTTTCCCTTTCCCTTTTCCGTGTTCCCTTTCCTATTCCCCCTTCCTGTTTCCATTCCTGGCTGCTGTTCCTGGAGTGACAAAGAACTCGCTGGGCTGTGACAAATGCCTAAAAGTGGCCGAGTCGACGGTTTCCTGGTCAATGTCTTAGGAAGCCGCACATTGGTACAAGCTGGCAGGACATAAAATCCGAGTCCTGAAACTGCGGCGTTAACACAAATCGAGCCTTGGATATGGGGGATAAGTACCAAAGTACACACACAGAGTCCTGGGCCAAGGTTGCCAGTTTCCACATCGCTGCCCTTGACTCCTTTTTTTTTAGCTGTGTGAAATATCTCTTGTCTGTGCTTATTTTTTTTCCTGTCCACATAAAAATGTTGTAAAACAAAGCGCGGTCTTGGAAAAGAAACCATCAACTAAATGCCTAACACGTGACATGTGGAGGACATGCAGAGAAGGATGCCCAGCTAGAGTTGAAAAGGATAAAGTCCTGACTTATAGAGAGGCGAGATTTTACTTAAGCTAATTTCTACTATTTTGATTATATTTTTTACATTTTATTTAAAGTATAATTAAAAAAAATTTGTTGTTTTTTTATAATTATAATTTCTTGAAATTTATTTTAATTATAGTTTTTAAAATTTTTTTAAATTATAATTTCTTAAATATTATTTTAATTATAATTTTTAAATTTTTTTTAATTGTAATTTCTTTTATATTATTTTAACTATAATATTTTTAATATTCTTAAATTATAATTTCTTCAATTTGATTTTAATTATATATATTTTTTTAATTTTTTTAAAATTATAATTTCATCAATTTTATTTTTATTATAATTTTTTTAAATTTTTTTAAATTATAATTTCTTTAATTTTATTTTTTTTTTTTTAATTACAATTTCTTTAATTTAATTTTCTTTTTAATTATAATTTCTTTAATTTTATTTAAATTATAATTTCCTTAATTTTATTTTAATTTTAATTTCTTTAATTTTATTTTAATTATATTTCTTCAATTTTATTTTAATTATAATTATTAAATTTTATTTTAATTTCCGAAATTTTATTTTATAATTTCCTAAATTTTATTTTATAATTTCTTCAATTTAATTTTAATTATAATTTCTTCAATTTTATTAACCAAAAAGGCATTCTGCTTTTCAAGGACTAACGCATCCTTGAGTATAATGTGTAGCGCCACATAAATCGCCGCAATTAGTCTGGGCAATAATAATCATGGCCAACACACTGCCTCAGCCCAATCATCAGAGCCACAAAAACCAACCAGAGTCATGTCCGATTTTCAGGTCAGCTCCTGGTCTGTGCTCCTTGCTCCTTGCTCCTTGCACCCACTCAGTGCTGATTGTGTGGACATATCCACAGGGGATTCACTCGCTCCGGGGTGCAACTCAATCTTGGCCCAAATTTTCATTGCCCCGGAATTTCATTTATTCTGTTGACTTTGACTTTGTTGTGGCTGCCGCAGAAACTATTCCCAAAATCCAGCTGCTGGAGAAACTTGCAACAAATCCATTTAGTTGCTATGAAATAATGTCCTGAAAACAACCAAGTTGTGTTGTGAAGGAACTTTGTTATATTTTTGCAGGACTTTGTGTTGGAAAACTTAATGATTTTCGATTTATATTTGGTAGACCATAACTGTCGCTTTCCATTTGTGTAAATTAAGCAGGCATCTGGGGAGGTCTTTCAAGTGGAAGACAAGGACAATGGCATCGAGCAACAATTGCGGTTCATCAGCACGGACACGGACACGAACACATCCTCCTTGGAGGATACTTTAACAATTAATACTGAAAACTATATAAATATGGTAGTGTTTCAATCAAATTGGCAATTGCTATGCCAGAAGTGATTCCATTTTATTTTATTGCTTTTATTCTATTTATTATTAGAAATGGTCGTGCAAATGTGGCAAGGATACAGCTGGGTTCCAGGACCGCTCCCGACAATTGTCCTGGTGTCAGCCCAAAGACATTAGGCCGCATTATTTGGGCTTTGGCTTTACATAATCCCCGCTTGTCTCTCCAAGAACAGCACATCTCTCGTCAGCTGCTACTCCCAGGGGAGCAAGGAGGAGGAGCAAGAAGGAGGAGGAGCAAGGAGGAGGATCCTGGAGCCTTGAGACTCAGGTCTCAAGACCGACTGCTGGTGGATGTGCGTGCAGACAGCAGCAAACACGTCAATGCCATAAGCAGACCCCCGGGTAGCCGCCACATCCGGAACAATAAGCTTGCCAAATAGGCAGAGAACGTGAGTGGGTGGCCAATGGCTACGAAGGTCAATGCCGGGAATAGCAGCAGTAAATTAGCAAGCCATCAGGGAGGGGCTTTGCTTGATGAAAAATGCTGGCATAACCTGAGAGAGTCCAAGTCCTTGTGATAAATACATCGATTTAGCAAGGCTGGAGAATATAAATCTTTATATATAAAAAAAATATATTTTATATCATTTGTCAAAGTGATTTTCTATTTTTTTGCAGTTTATAAATATTCAATAATTTGACAAAGGTCCTTTTCGATTATGACCTCATTATTTGCCCAGTTTCGAAGAGGGATGTCCAACAGTTGGAAAATAATGAATGTCCTGGAACACACACAGGCCGCCTGCCTGCCTGCCTGCCTGTCACCAGGTCCCTGCCAACTTTTCATGGTCGATTAATGGCCGTGTCACTTGTCCGGATCTCCTGGTAAAACGATATACACGCCTGACGCGCCTGCCTCTAATCAGCTCTTTATAGTCCAGAATCTCACTCTGGCATCCCCATCCTGCCTCCTCCTTGGTTTTAGTACCGGATTACATTCCCTGAGGCCGCATCGAAAGTGAAATTTGCGTGCGGTTTTGATTGTTTGGGGCAGCCCAGCCTCTTCTTGCCTTCATCATCATCATCATCATCATCATGGGCCAAGGGGGTTTTTGGCGGGTCCAGGCACTTCCTTCCTTCCTTTACGGACACCACCCCAGGCCATCATCCGGCAAGTCGAGTGAGCGTGTCGTGAATATTTATACGTATTTGATTAGAGTCTCGTTTACGGGCGGAGTCTCTGGATATGTTTGGACATCTGCAAGTTTGATTAGATCAACTAACCGCAGCAAACAGAATTTATCGTTTAACGTTCACTATAATTGAAGGAGCAGCTGTCTCTGCCACTTAACTCAAACCCGGAGAGCTAGCTAATTTTTTGGGAAACAGGACAGGAAACAGGGAAATCCCCTTAAAGAAGCTATCTAGAGTAAAAAAAATACACTCGTCTTCTGTTGACGCTGCACAAAAAGTCATGAATAAAAAGGAGGAAGTAAAATCCATCAGCAAAAAGTCCTTGCAGTCCTTCTTTCTTGTCAAAAGGCTAGCAGGAATATAAAATAAATTAAATAACAGCTAAAACTTTCGCCTAACATTGTCGATATGTATCTGGTGGGCAGCACTTGCCATTTTTAGGATACTCCGGCTCAGTGTCCTGGTCTGTTATCCTGATTATATGGCTGTGTGTTGGATGCGCCATAAATTAAATTAACCAAAGCGCAAAGCAGATTTGCTGCCAGCTCGTTTGGGGGCCCATACATCTTCCGGTTCTTCCAGGACATCCGGTTGGAGGAGGGAGAGTGACTCGTGGACACTTTTCTGCATACGACAACAGTTTCGCCTGGCGGCGGCTGTCTGTCAGTGCACATTTGGCGCTGCCAAAGTCGAAAGTTATGTGCATGAATAAAACAAATTGCTGCTTTTTCGCCTCGCTTCATTACACTCCCTTGGCCTCCCGTTTTTCGTGAAGGATTTTATGGTTAAATCCAGCATATCCTTTTGGCACACGCCTCGGCATCTGATTAATACATACGATACCAATTAGGCTGTCTGTCGATTTGTTATCCTAATCCTAACGAATGCCGCCTGTTTATCTCTTTTTGTTTGCTGTTTTTATGGCTTTCTTTTGGCCCTCCAATCATATCGAGCGTCATAAACTGATGATCGGGCTTAAGCTGTCCGTTAATAGATACAAAAAATTGGCCTTAAATGGAAGTATAAATATAAAAGGAAGAGGAGTTCTTCAAGCTAAGGAAGTTTAAATCATTTTCTTCCTACATTTTTTACAACTAGTGAACAAGGACGAGTGTTCTTCCTTGCTGGCACTCTAAAATAATTATCAGAATCAGGCTGTGGTGGTTTTGCCTCTTAATTGTTGCCACTGGGCACTCGACCAGGCAAAATAACCGGGACAGCCACCTCATGGATGGACAGGCTGAAGGACCAGCTCCCAAAACACAAACAGAAACCGAACCCGGACACCGTCACCGCTACCATCACCACCACGTCCAGGACATAAGCGGCTTGTGACCAACTTAACTGTCATCGTGCTCCCTTTGGGGCTGCTCCGAGAGCCTGCAATTAAAATGCTCACTTGGGCACCATAAATGATAAATGAAAGCGGCACTTGGACGCACGCGGCATGTGTCCTACCGATAAAGAGGTGGCTCCCAGAGAGATACTCACCCGGCCACAGAGTTTTCCTCCAACCAAAAGCACAGCTTTAAGTTTTACTTTTGTTTTTTATTTTGCAGCAACCTTAGGAAGTTCAATTGAAACACCAATGGACTAGCGTCCGAGTTAGTTACGATTACGATTACGATTACGATTACGATTAGGATCATAGTTACATGTAGGTAAAAAAAATACTCCCCTTACAAAAAAAAAACACACACATAATGCTATATATGTTACATATTTACACCGCTTTTCCGCTCCGGTGTCACCGCCAGCTTATAGCTGCGGACTATCAGCGGCAGCAGCGGCACTATTCGTATGCACCACCGAGTTCAGGAGCTCGTGGCGGGAGCGACTTCGCCAGGTGCCCAGGCCAGGATTGAGACTGTTATTCACATTGGTGTTTGGATTGTAACCCGCCTGGCTGGCGGATAGAGCTGCTCCGGTTCCAGTTCCTCCTCCACCTCCACCGCGACGCCAGGGCAAACCCTTAAAGGTATCCACAAAGGCCCGCCGAAAGCTGGCATTCATGAAGCAATACGTAATGGGATTGCAGCAGCTGGAGGAGTAGGCCAGCAGCTGCAAGAAACTGATGGCCGTATAGTCCACATACTCGTAAACCACCGGTCCAATGAGCATGGTCATCGTGTTGATCACATACAGCGGCGTCCAGCAGATGAAGAACTCCAAGACCAGAACGAATAGCATCTTCACCACGCGCTTCTTGCTCTCCAGAGTCTTGGCCTCGTTGGATCTGTGAGGGATTATATAGATCGTAGTTCGAACCTAAAACCTCTCACCTGGCCTGGCTGCTCTGCTTACCTGCGTAAAGCTGCATCATGAACGCGTATGCTTGGCGAAGAGGTCTTGGCCAGTGTAACCACCGTGGAAGATGCCGCCGCTCTCGTTGTCAATGTTGTCGTTGCCATATTCGTTGTCACTGTTGCTCCAGCGGAAGCGGAAGGAGTGCCATTATTGTTGTTACTGTTCTCTGTGTGTGGAACATGTTTTGGTCATGAAAAGTGAATTCAAATGAAAAGGAGGGGTGCTTAGAACCCACCGTTATAGACTGCCAGCACCAGGATGCAGCTACTGCTGCTGCCAGCACCAGCACCAGGACCAAGACCACTACCAGAACCGGAGCCAGGACCTGTTGTTGTGATGCCACCGGAAGAGCCAGTTCCGGTGCTGGCCTGCTGCAACTGGATGCGGTTGCTGTCTTTGGCCATGCCCACATATAGGGTGCGGGTGATGAGGATATAGGCAACGCAGAGGACCAGCAGGGGCAGGACTAGCAGCAGGAAGTCCAGCAGGATGTTGTAGAAGCGCTCATAGCCCTGGTCAGGCCATGTTTCACGGCACTTGCAGTAGCCTGAAGTTAAAGAGATTCGAGGGATAAAGGAAAAAGGATAAAGAATGGAGGATGGAGAATGGAGAATGGAGGATGGAGAATGGAGGAGAATGAGCACTCACCTGGCCGACTGGTGGGTATCAATTGACTAAAAACCGCTATGGGTGTCATGCAGAGTATTCCGCCCAGCCAAATGAAACCGATGATCTTGTAGGCATGGCTGATCGTCTGCCAGGAGCGAGACCTCAATGGATGACAGATGGCATAGTAACGCTCGCAGGATATGGCCACCAAAGTCCACGAGGACACGGCCACCGAGGCAGCTGCAAGGAATGGGATACAAAATCTTAGACACGAAAACCTTATGTTGCTCCTCCCATTTCCCGTGTCAAATCGCTTTCATTAGAAGACTCTTTCCGCCCGCCACTCGTTGCATTTTAATTACGCAATTTGCATATTAAAGCACCATCTACCCACCGTCTACCCCCTGCTGTGCTCCTTTTGCTCCTTGTATGTGGCAAACAGGACACGTTGCAATTTGTACAAGCTGCAATTAAACAATTCCCCCGACACTCCTTCGCACCCATTGCGTCCTTGAGGTCGGTGCCATAACCTATTAGGGGATGCCCTCCCACAAAGCGTTGTGTCTACCGCACAAGAGGCTACACTTGAAATAAAAATTATTATAAATTGTAGTTGAATTTCGGAAGTTTTGAAAATTTTTAAAATATATTTTTTTAATTATTTTATTACTTTTTTTGTTTAATTTGAAGAAATTTTTAATAAATATTGAAAAAATATAGATTTATCTTTAAATTAAAATACATAAAAAAATACATACAAAAAATACATTAAAAAAAATACATACAAAAAATACATTAAAAAAAATACATTAAAAAAAATACATTAAAAAAAATACATAAAAAATACATAAAAAAAATACATAAAAAAAATACATAAAAAAAATACATAAAAAAAATACATTTAAAAAAATACATTAAAAAAAATAACTTAAAAAAAAATACAAAATAAAAAATATTAAAATATCATTTTAACATTAAAAAGAAATATTATTTTTGAAAATTTTTAAATAGCAAAAACTTGACATATAAAATATTGAAAAATATTTCCCAACTAAATCTCCTAGTGCAGTCACCCAACTGGCAAATATCGATGGGCTTCATGTGCAAACTGTGGCTGTGACGGCATTTGGACAATGGAAACAATGGCAGCCGTGTCCCGGGGGCTGCTGAGGGAGAAGGGGGGAGTCGCATTTGTTGAGTTAACCCCGAAACCAAAAATGGAAGTTTTACTTTGTTTACTTTTGATTGACGGCACGAAGAAGGGAATGGCATAAGCTTTAACTTGAAACAAATGCCACCTCCTGGCTCACCAGCTTTTTAAGGTGTTTCAGAGTGTTTGTTTGATTTTGACTTTAAGGCTTTTCCTGGCGCCCTAGTCTAAGCAGTTTGATTGATTCGCGCGTCTCGACAACTAAATCATTTCGAAATGCCAATACAATTTGTACGCGAAAGCCCAGAGAGCATGTGGGTGATGCGAGTGGTGGCCACCGCCCCCTGCCCTCCTCTTACCCTTAATTCAATTGGCAAATGCAAAACTGACAGCAAATAAAGCAGCATTGGCAGCGGCAAATGACGAACCCAAATTGAATTTGATGCCCACTCCACCACCACCCCCTCCTCCCTTTCGACCAAGCAAGCTGTTTTCCTTTACCCATCTTTTTTGTTGTGTGCTTTTTTTTTGGCAACTGATTGAATTTGATTTCTGTGAAGCTGGCCGGGCAGCACGCCTTTAACGGAGACGTGTTGAGCATATTACGCATACGACACGCAGTCCCCGAGAACTCGGAGCCCCGCATAAATATGCGACTCTCTGACAGGCCGGAATTTATAAGCGTCAGTTGGGTGATAAAATTTGATTGCCGCAAATAAAAGAGGGCGGAGCGTGTGTAGGAGGAGCTCCAAATGATGGAAGGACCATAAGCACAAGTTGTTTTGACCAGCGCCTTTGAGAAGGGTAAGGGAGCAGCCAGGCTGTTTCGTCTTCTGTGATTACAACCACATTATATACAGGCGACAGTCCTGATTAAATCAAATTTTAAATATTTTTTTTTATTTGAAAGTTAAAGCAATTAACAAAAAATGTATTATAAAATATAGATATATATTAAATTAAAAATAATGTAACTTTCAACTTATTTTGTTTAAATTTTAATCTTAAAAATATATTAATGGTTAGTCTTTAAATAAAAAATATTTTAATATTCTAAATAAATTTCATTTAAATCAAATTAAATTAAAAAAATTAAGTTAAGTTAAAATTATAATATTTTATTTTAAATTTAGATTATAATTTAATCCTTTTTTAAGGCAATTTTATCCTTTTTTTGAGCAAATTTGCTTTAGTTTATTTTCTAAAATATAAATTTGATGAAACCCTAAACCACATCTTTCGTTTAAAATATTTTTGAAAAATTGTTTTGCTAATTTAGACCTTTAAAAATGTAATTTTATATATATTTTTTAAGCTGTTTTTATTAACCTTTCTTTATCCTTGAGCTATACTAAAGTCTGTACCTGTAATTGGGAAATTCCCCGCGTCTTGAAATTAGTTTTTGCGCCATTTCACATGATTGACAACTGGCTTTACGGTGGCCGCTGGGCTCTGAGTAACTCCTGAGCTGTGTGACAGGATTGGTGATTGCACAGCTTGACACGTCGTCCTGACAGGCACACACCCACACCAATTGGTGCCTTTCTGGGGGGAAGGGGGGGGGGAAGAGGGGATCAACCGCTCAATTTCGAGCCACTTGGCATCGAGTGAGGCAAGAAAACACATATAAATTTCACTTGCAAATTGTGCACATTGTCAGGAATTTTGGCTGAGCAAGGAGTTTCCTCTTTGTTCTACCAAAAGGATATACAGTACAGTCATGTATAGTCATGTATAGTCATGTACAGTCATGTATAGTCATGTACAGTCATGTACAGCCGTGTAGATTCCTTCAATTCAATATCTGGCAAGGAATCCGGGGCGAAACTCATTTAAATTCAATGATTCAGCCTTACAAATGCATTCGTTTTAATGTTTAGGAGGATTTCCAGGACTCCAGGCCTTAGGGCCCCAGGCAAAGTTTGACGAGTAAAATGAAATCACAAGGAGTTTGGCCAAAAATTCTATTTAAGTTGAAAGAGAAACAAAGTTGGCTAAAACGCTCGGCGCTTGCTTTTTATCGAATTAAGTACTCTAAAGTGGCTGGCTGGCTGCTAGGGCCAAAAACTTTGCCACGGCTACTTAGCCAAAGCCAAGTGAAGGTGCTTCCCCCCTCCCCCCCTCCGCCTAACTCACTCCTTAAGGCATCTCCTCTTCAATCTTCACATGTCTGGAGCAGATTCAGCCGGGCGTCTCGGTGATATTAATATTGTTCTCAAGTGTTTCTCATTTGGTATCTATCCACTTCACGTGGGTAGCAAATGAAAGTTTGCAAAGATGGAAATGGAGAGGGAGAAGGTGGTGGAGGTGGGATGATGGAGCTGAAGCAAATGTGCATTAATTAAAAAACTTCATGCTTAACAAATCCCAGAGAGAGTGAGAGAGAGGGAGACAGAGCCAAGAAGCTGGAGAGATGAAAGTTTTCTCCAACAAAAAGCCGCCAAAGGGACAAAGTTTTTGGCATGGCCATAGCCAATGGGAGTTCCAAATGGGCAAAAGTGGATATGAATGGTAGAGATGGTTATGGGGGTGCACTGATGATGGCTAAGACTCTTGGCTAAGATATTGCCAACAGCTTTTTTTATTTAAAACAAAACAACATAACGCAAGTGCGAGCAAAGTTTTGAACTGGAGAAAACAAAAATTAGCAGAAGAAAGTGTTTGGTGATGACTAAAAACTCATCAGGCAAATTGTGCAGGCTGCCAAGGACTTGGCCAAGGCTGCTGCTGCTGCTGCTCCTGCTGCAAATCCCCAAGAGCCACGCCCCATCCTTGACTTTGGGGATATATGTGTTTACCCAAAAAAAAAAAAAAAAAAAAAAAAAACTAAAACAAACAGAAACCACGTAGAGGTGCCTTGTGCTAGGCCTGCGACATAACGGTAACGGTAGCGGAAACGGAAACGGGTAGGAGAACGCTTATATGCCACACTTTTTGCATTCCAACCCCATGTGTGGACATAACGCCCTCCCGCGTTGAACACATGTTCCGGCGCTTAGGCGGCCCAAAAACGTATCCCCAGAAATTGGTTTTTGGCGCTTAGCATTAAGTGTGACTCTGACTCTGACTCTGACTCTGTGTGTGTAAACGTGAGCAGGCAATGACCCTTTTTTTATTTTCGGCGGATCGGTATCCACAACCACCCACATATGCCAGGAGTATTAAAACGACAAAAAGGGGTCCTGGCCCAGCTTCAACTCGTTTAAGTGCAAGTATTTCGAGGCTTTTATTGCCGTTGACAAGTGTTGCACGTGGCCGCCAGGATACCTTTATCCTTTTTCCTAACTTAAAGTATTATATTTCACTTTGGAAATATTTAAATAAATGTTAGAAATATTTAAATAAATATTAAAACTATTTTTTTAAATATTTGAAATATTAAACATATGAAAATATATATTAGAAATATTTAAATAAATGTTAGAAATATTTAAGTAACTATTAGAAATATGAAAATAAACATAAAAAATATTTAAATAGATATTATAAATATTTAAATAAATATTAGAAATAGTTAAATATTTTCCAAAAATATTTAAATAAATATTAGAAATATTTAAATAAATATAATAAATATTTAAAAAAATATTAGAAATATTTAAAAATATGTTAGAAATATTGAAATAAATATTAAAACTATTATTAAAAATATTTGAAATATTAAAAAAAAATATTATCAATATGAAAATGAATATTAGAAAGACTTAAATATTTACTAAAAATATTTAAATAAATATTAGAAATATTTAAATAGATATTAAAAATATTCAAATATTATAAATATTTAAATAAATATTATAAATATTTAAATAAATATTATAAAAATTTAAATAAATATTAGATATATTTAAGAATATGTAAGAAATATTAAAAAAATATATTTTGTAAGAAAAGCATTTCAACTATGAAAACTAGAAATATAAAAAATACTATTTAGTGGGGAAAAACATCAAGTAAAAAGTCTACTAAAACCTCTTTTGCCAAGTTAATAACTGATTTTAATTCCCTGAATTATATACTGATTACTTTATTATCATAAATAAATAAAAAGTGCTTCCTTTCCCTTATAAAGTGATTTCAATAAAAAGTTAAATATAAAAGTGAATACAAATTGCTTTTATGTGGTATTTCTTTTCTGGCTAAAAGCCTAAGCCCAACTGGCTCAATGGCTGTTTTCTTCTGGGTTTCTTTTTTTTTCCTGTTCAAGGACATTGTAAGGATGTTTTTTGCTAAGAGCAAGCACATTGGCATTGTAACCACACGCGCTTTTAAGAAAAGTCCGTAGAGGTAACGCCTACGCCTCGCTCTTTACCTTTTTTTTTTTTTGTTTGTTGTTGTATTTTTTGTATATTTATGTATTTACCAACCCAACCCCCCATTGGGGGCATTAGGAGGCAACCAGGTGGTGTCCTGCCAGATGTAATTGCAGACCTCGCCGCGACCCTTGTCATGTTTTTGCTGCATGTTGCATGCTTTTCCCGGTTGTGTAGGTGCCGCGTGCGCGAGTGTGTGTATCTGTCCTAGTTGCTGTCGGTCTATATCATTGTCCAAAGCCAACCCCCTGGCTACCCCTATTCCCACTCCCATTTCCATTTCCATCTGTGGCCATTGAAATGGTTATTTTATTTTCAGATTATGGCCAGCCTTAGTGGGGGCTTTCGTAATTTCTTGTAATTTCTAAAATTTAATAAAGAAAATTTAATTAAAATTAAAATAAATTATTAATTTATTTTAAATAATTAAATTAATACAATTTAAATTACAAAATTAATACACAATAAAATAAATAAAAATTATAATAATAAAATAAAAAATTAAAATTAAATAAAAAATTAAAATTAAATAAAAAATTTAAACTAAATAAAAAATTAAAATTAAATAAAAAATTTAAACTAAATAAAAAATTTAAATTAAATAAAAAATTTAAATTAAATAAAAAATTAAAATTAAAATTAAATTAAAAATTTTCTCCATTAAACAGAAAATAATTTAACCTTTAAGAAATTAATTTTTTATAATTCTCCTGAATCAAAGTTTGTCATATGAAATTTTCTAAAATATTTAGCTATAGCCTTAGAGAGAGCCCCTCGTGTGTGTGTCCCCCAAAAGTCGAGTACACTTTTCTAGCCTGCCTCAAATTGCGCATCCAAGTATGCTACGCACTTCCGTTTCGTTTTCCATTACATTCCGTTTTTTATGAGATTCTCTCCTCCATAAAATCTGCGCAACTGTTACTAAATGCCAAAGCAAAAGCGAAAACGATGACAAATTGAAAACGACAGCGACAGGGACAACTGACCATTCCCATTCCCATTCCTCACCAGACTTAATCCTTAGCTCCAAACTTTACGCGTTACGTTACGCAATGGGCCCACAATTCCTTGTTTACACTCCCAGTTTAGTTCGTAAGTAACATTTGGTGATGGAGGAGGGGCGCTTGGTCGCTGCTAATGCGACTCCATCATAAACATGAACAACAATGAACGGAGCACACGGTCGCCAGTGGCTACCAAAATCCCAGTTAATTGTCCCGAGCTCCTAAATTACATTTTCTGCCGGGTGTCCTTGTCCCAAAGACGGGGAGAGAGGCTGCAAATGTCTTTTTAATAGCGCTCAGCTCCATGGATCCTGCTGCGGCTCATGCTCCTGCTCCTGTTCCTGCTCCTGCTCCCCCTTCCTGTGCCTCTTTTATCTGGACTCTGCTGACAAGAGTTTGATTTGAAGTTATGTTATGGCCCGTTGGTCGTTTTGGATACAAAGTATCCCACTGCCAGACAACAATGACGGCCAATAACACATCCTAATATTATGATTGGAATTTTTCATGGACTACCAAGGTTCACGATAGATAGAGAGGCCTCCGTTGTGCGTGCCTGGGGCTTTATTTTTTTTTATAGAATACCAGGAAGTCTCAGAAATACAATCTAGCGTCAAAGGGGTACAATGTGCTCCACTTTATGGCCTAAACCCACGGATCCTACCCCAACCTAATACTTGTTGTTATGCGGAGGCACAATCTTCCTGCCCTCCAGGAGACACAGAGCCAATAAAACGATCCACATGCGACGATAATCGTAAAAAATTATTTTAATGCTTCTCGCACGAACGGAGACAGAGACAGAGACAGAGACTCGACTCATATGGCAGGAGTAAGCTACCTCCTCCTGCTCCTGCTGCTGCTGCTGCTTATGTATCTATAATTTCGACTAATTGACGACCGACCGACCCGACTTTTGACGTCACTATATGCCCTCCAATAATTGGGCCAGCTGAGCAAATATGGAGGAGAGTCGGTTCCAGAGGGACAATTCGTTATGCAAGACAGGCCATATGTGGTTAAAGAGCACACAAAGCGTTTAGCCAGGTTAAAGGTCACAACACTAGAAGCTGCCTCTGGGGATAAGATGCCAAATGCAACAAGGAGGAGCTCAAAATTAGGCACATAGACACACACTCACCTTGCGAGAACTGAAAGAGCTTGCAGAGGAACTCGCCAAAGATAAAGTTGCGCAACAGTGTGCCCACCAGGGTCACCGGCATGCAGAGCACACCCAGCAGCATGTCCGAGATGGCCAGGTTGAGCAGGAACACATTGGTGATCGTGCGCATTCGTCGGTTCTGGACCAGCGTGGATATGACCAGCAGGTTGCCCAGCACCGCAAAGAGTAGGATCACACTATAACTGGGTATCAGCCAGACGGGCATGCCTGCACCACTGCTACTGCTGCTGCTGCTGGATGCGATAGTGGGACTCACGCCCAAGGCAGTGTCCCCGAAACCATAAACCGTGCTGGTGCCAAAGGCTATGTTTGCCACCTCCGTGACCAAGTCATTCTCTAGCCTTTGGGTGGCAAAATATTCGGCGTTCGTGTCCTCAAAGGAAGTGCTGTTGCTGACGGAGATGGAGGAGCCGGTTGTGTCGTTGTAGGGACCAATGGTCAGGGAGACAATGTGTCCCGCTGCACTCGGCACATTGGCGTAGTAGTCGAGCAGCGCCCGGTAGGCGGCCGCCGTCATGGATGTCTGGTCGGCATCGCCCTCGCCATCGCCATCGCCATCGCCTTCACCGTAGCCGAACATTCCTAGCACTGGCCACAACGGCGGGTCATGTCCACCAGCAGCTGCAGGGTCACCAAAAAAAAAGTTGATATATATGGAAGAACTGAAAATAAAGTCACACCGCGAATGGAGTTCTGGTGAGGACGCTTGCGCGCAGGATTCCGTGGCAACTCCGGCAACGAACTACGGAATTCGGATTTCGGAATACGCGGACGAGGACGGGACTCCGCTTCGCCTGCTTCCGTTGCGTATAACGCGTCGTGGGCAACTGGCGATGGACGACTGGCTGCCGGAGACGCCTCCATTCGGCAGCAACATGTTGCGTAGGCGTCGTGGCGCAACTGGCGCAGACTCACCACGGCAACTTGTGGCACGCAGCATGTTGCCGGCAAACGTGTTGCCGTGCATTGCCGGGAACACAGATTGGCTATGCCGGCGGCGTTATGAGTGCATCGCCCGGCTGGTAATCAAATCACTGGCATTCCGCCAGGCAGCCTGGAAATCCGAGCACCGCTCTTGCTATTTGTACAGATGTTTGCAGCTAATTCTATCAGCCGCATTCCTGGCTTCCGGCGGAGACAATTTAACACATTTCTAGATAGTAGAGCTGGTGAATTTAATTATCAAATTATTTTCTTACCGGAATATATATATTTAGACCTTTTTATATATTTATTTATTTATGCGCGGAAAAAAAAAAATTCAAATTATTTTCCTATATAATTTAAATATTTTTAAAAATGTCAAAATAATTTTATTAAAAAAAAACACCAAATATACAAAACAAAAATTAAAAAATTATGTAAATTATTAAAAGTATTATTAAATTAAAAATTATACAGTAATGGCTTTATAGGTTGCAAATTCTATATTACCAAAAGAGAGCCTTTAAAAAATATTCCGTAAAAGGTTTGATTTTCTATTTAATTATTAATTATTAAAAATTTTAATTATTTGAAAATTATATAAATAAGAAAATGTACGCTGTTTAAAAGCAAATGTTCCAATTATGACAAACTATACTAAGTTCATAACTAGTAATTAATATTTATAAAAAATATAAAAATTACTTTATAAGTGCTATTATTTTGACCTCAACTGCGTCTCCAAAACTGAATATCCAGATATTTTCCAGTCAACTATATCTCTAGCTTTTTTGTTGTCTTCTCCCCACTACACAATGGGCCAGAACTTATTTGTCGTCATTCATAATTAATTTCGATACAAAAAAAAATTATATATATGAAAATATATTGTTAAATATATTTTTTTATATTATATTATATTTTTAAATATATTTCTTTTGTTAAAATAAATTTTAAAAAAAGTTTGAATATTAATTATTTCTAAAGTTACTAATTATTGCCACTAAAAGTGATAGTTGGCCCCATTGTGCTTCGCTTGCACTGAAAATAAAGCCAAATGCGGCAAAGCGTCGCTCCTCATTGCTCTCTTTCGCTCTCTCCCCCATGTTGCGGTCTCTGTCTGCCCCAGTGCACTTATGTGGGGCCTCTGCCGAAAGATGTCTGCCTCTCGCTCGCACGCACCGCGACTGCGCTGCCGACTTCGGCAGTCTCCACTTCGTTGGAGTTGCAGACGCCGGCAGATCCACATTCGTGAAATACAACTCGTGCTGCTCGGTCCCGTTGCTGTTGTGTCGCCGCTCTTGCTGAGATCTGAGTTCTGGACTCCACCTCCTTGTTCCCCCCCGGTGTGTGTTTGCATTTTTTTTTGCCGTTGTACACTTTTGTTTTCGCTGTCACCCCTTGCCACATACCCGGCACTTGTGTTAAACTCGCTCGCCAACCCTCCCCCCGGCTCCGACTCTGATCCGTGCCGCGCCGCGCCGTTTTGGGGATTCATTGAACCTCGCTCTCGCGATCCCGCATCCCAGCATCCGAGCGTCCCGTCTTCACCGCATCCAGCATGTCGGACGGCATTGAGGTCGAGCAAATTGTGGAGAGCAAGCCGCGCAGGGTGAGTACCAATGTCTGCCTCCTCCTTCTTCTCATCGTCCTGCAGCCTGCATCTCCCCCACATGCAAGCTGAATAAGTTATTCAGAATAAGTTTATGTGCTGAAGTCAACGAACTCTTCAATACATGAATTAACAATGTCCTTAGTTTGATTTGAAATGACATATTAATATTGATTAAAATTTCTTAAAATACCAAATAAGGACTTGAACACCTATAGTTCACACATTCTTTTTGTGATAAGAGATAAGATTACAAATTCGATAAGGAAATGTCCCCCCACTTCGTAAACGAAGCCTCGCATAAACGCAGTATGTATACACACAAAGAAGGGAATAAGTCGGAGGGGACAGCCGAAAATTAAGAATTAAAAAAGATTCAAAGAGAGCAACAGAGAGGGACAGTGAGAGAGAGGCTGGAGCTGAGTGGAGTTCTGGAGTTCCTCTCCTTTGCTGCATGCGTGTGTGTGTCTGTGTGTATCTGCATCTGTGGGCATGCGTGAGTGTCTGAACGAAACCGAAACCCAAACCAGAACCGGCCCTGGACGAAGGACAGGCAATGTAAGGTGGGGAAAGAGGGGTGGGCGGGTGCCCAGTGGCGTTTTAAACTACATGCGGGGGCGGATGCGCAGCGCCCACGACGAGCGTACTGAGTGTATCAAGTTCAAGTGCGTCGCCGCCGCCGCCGCACTTGTTCGTTCTTGGTCTCGACGCCTCTCCTCGCCACCGATCCGCTGGTGATCCAAACATTGCGGTTTTCTGTCGCCCTGGCAACCCCGTATTCCTTTCCAGATAACGCCGCATTTTGTGCTGTCAAAAAGCGACGCTGAAAATGGAAATGGCAGCAGAAGCAGAAGCAGAAACAGAAGAGTGGAGGCGGAAGCAGAATGCGCTATCTCTTGGGGGGTTCAGCTGATCCCCAGATTCATGTGACTGCACCGCAGTTTAGTGCGGGCCCATAAACCTAATCTCTGACGTTGGCGAGGGGGGGGACCATTAGCTATAGATTGGCCTGGCCAATAAATAGCCTCTTTGTCAGAATTAAATTATGAGCTTTAGTGGATTGATCCTCCTGCTCCTCCCTGCTACCCAACAAAGCGCTTCCTGACGTGCCACTTTTGGCCCGATTCATCGTCGTCGTCGTCGTCGTCGTCGTCACCTTCATCGCAGCATGATTCACTCGCACACAGCACAGCCCCATCCATGTGTCCCAACCCCATTCGCATCCGCTGCCCCTGGCCGTGCATCTGGTCGTCTGCGTCTGGGGCGTGAGCATGAGTAAGTTGGACACAGCGACCGACAACAGTTTGCTCCTTTGTTTCCAACATCGGCAAGCGGAGGAGCACCCAGGCAGGGAGCGGCAGGGAGGAGACTACGAAAAAAGAACAGGCGGCAGGCAGGCAAAGGCGATGAACTCTTGGGCATTATTTTTTTGGTTACTAACTAATATTTAGCAGGGAATCAGAAACTAATGGAGTAGAAGACGAATTCCGGATTATGCCTAAGCCTTTCCTCGGTTCTTTTTTGTTTGCAGCTCCCTTATCTTTAATATGTACATTAGTCAACATAAAATCACTCCAGTTAATCAAACAGTTCAGATATATATATTATATGTATTGTGTGTGCTATGTAATTCCAGGAATTTCTTTACCCTGCCAACATGGAGTTACGTTTCTGCTGCACCTGACTCCGCTCGCTACAAAAATATATATACTTATATATATATATTTTTTTTTTCTTATTTTATTTTATTTCTTGTTTGTTTTTTGTATTATTCATTCCATTTATTATTCGACTACGGCTTCGGTTTCAGTTTCGTTTTCGTCGGCAGGTTTATTTGCAGTATGCTTGGCTACGCTTTAGCGCTGCTATATTGCTCCAACGGAGCTGATATTGATGGATACGAAAATATCCACATATTAATGCAGTGAGCTAGCTGTATGGATGCAACACACATGTGCGCATATATGGCTCATTACGTACATGTCTATCGGACATGGTCGCATGCCATTTCCAGTCGGAATGCGCTGGCAAATGATCAAATTAGATCCGACACCAGCCCAGGGTTCCGTATGAATAATCCCCTCCCCCCCCAGCCAGGAGGAGGAGAGCAAATGCTGGGGAACAAGGTTCCCTATGCTTGATATACCATACATACATACATTCATATTTCATATTTCCGGTGACTTGTAACTGTTCCAAGGAAAGCCAGCCAATATATGGAAGCGATTCTCGCCCAGATTCCAGCTCAACGCGAGTCATGACGATAACCAATAATCAATTATGGAAGTGCCACTGTTTATCGCTCCCTATATGGACTCCGGGGTGAAAAAATGCTACACAGCAAAGAAATAATATATGATATGCACTTTAAGTGGGCATCATATTGTCGAAATTTTGATATTGAAGTGCAGAGACTAGACTATCAGACGTATAATTACTCTATATATTGTCAAGACTCTTTCTCTGTGAATTATAATCAAACTATAATATACAGTCTTGGTTTTAAAGTTGTCATATCAGACACCTATAGATTAGTTTTTAGGGTTTATATTATATTGACTACCAAGTCTTGCAAGATAATGCTGTATTTAATACCCTCTTTAATACCCCATTTTCTCTCTGTGTGATGACACTCGGAGTGTGACACACACTCTCGCTTTTCCCAAGAACGCAAATAACTGCCGCAGGAACCTCTCCTCTAGAGACCCACCTCCAGGCGCGATCTAATGGCCTGGCTGTGACTAAGCAGCAACACCCAGCCTCAAGCGGATTTTTATGGTGTGTAAAATTGGAACAACCCAGACCGAGATTGCCAGATTACTTGAATTGCTCGATTTACTTGGCACTAATTGCACAGACCCAGTACCAGTCCCAGTCCCAGTCCCAGACCTTTCTGCCTATCCAACGGCGGCGGCAAACAAGCAATCAGTGCCATCGGGCGGGTCCAAGAACTTTCCGTAATAAATCAATTTCGAGGCGGCTCTTCCCCTTATCAGGGCGACATAGATATTACGTCAACTCGGGTCCGCACCCCCGCCGAAGAGGACCCTGGAAGAGTAGTCCTCGCTATCTTTGTGGCCAGATCTAGCCTAGGCGCAGTCGCATCCGAACTGACGTGATCTAATTTGTTGTGTTGCCGCTTCGCAAAGATACGGCCTGTGTATGAAGGTGGTGTCTTATCGGGCTTATCGGACTGTAGAGTTGCTAATTTTAGCCAGAACCACTCGCACACTGTACGTACATTCAGGGGCCAGAGGAGTATCTGCCCTCCGGGTAGCAGTGCCAAATCATTAGTCACCAATTCCAGCAAACTGGCCAGGTAGATGCAACGGTTTCTGCTCTTGATCGTTGATCGGTTCTTCATTTAGCTTTCAGGCCATCCGCTGTCTAGATTTTCTTTTTATTTTTTGGCACAATTTGAGTTCGCATTTCGCATTCGCTTATGTTGACTAATTAATTCAGACAAAAAAATATGTAAAAAAAAAAATGACAACAAAACGGGAGCTTCCAAGCTGTTCTACGGCAGCGACCCGGTCAATTTCTCAGAGTCGCGTCGTGAAAGTCGTCGCCCAATTCATTTCTGGGCTTAATTGTTTGGCTTTTGATATTTTCGTCGTCAGGGCGCCCTCTTCTACTCTTCTAAATCGCTTTGCGGCTTTTCTAATTGATTTTTCTCACAAGACGATGCCGTACAACGGTCATTGAACGCATTATAGAGCATAGCTCCAGCTTCAGCTCCCGCTCGATCTCGTATCTGTATCTGTATCCGCATCTATTTTTACTCCGTCCTCCCGAACTCCCCAAGCTTGCGTAGGCATCTCTCTCTTTGTTTGCTCTCTCCCCGAAATTCAACGACCACAAGTCACTTATCAAATCTGTGACCTGCTTTCTGCCGGTTGCTGATTGAAAATTGTCACGCGTAAATTGCTTTCAATAAAGCGATCCGCTTAAGACAATAAGAGGAGAGTGTCCACAGCCAAGAGCTGCAGCTGCAGACACCAAAAAAAAAAACAGAGGGGGCACTTAAGCCGCTGTGTATTAAGGGCATCGATCCCGAAATTGCTTCCCCAAAAATGTTTATAGAACTGATAATAGGATAAGATCGATTGTGAGTAATTTTATATATTAATTAGTGATTTCAGGGTATTATTAAAAGGCTTTCCAAAATCTCAAATATATAACCAATGGAACCATTCATGTGGAATACTCATTACTTTCGTGTGCAATTAAACGCCTTACGTTATATTAGCCAACACTAAATGCCAAGCAAATAGCCATTTCGTTCCGTCTTTGGATCCCACCGTGTGGAGATTCCAGGTAATCCAAATGCAGTGGCGTGCCTTGGACACGGAAACAAAGCCAATTGAGTGAAATAAATTCAAAATCAAAGTAAAAAAAAAAAACGAAAAAGGAAAACAAAAACGAAAACGAAAGTCTTCTCCTCCGGATTGTGGGGGGGCTGACTCATGGCGCCATCAAGAGCACACTTGGCCAGTGGCCTGAGTGCGCAGGCGCGCCTCGTGCTACCTCCGCTTACCCAGCAGCTCCCAGTGCCATGCGTGGTCAGCTCGGTTTGGCGGGGGCGTTGGCAATGGTCGATTCGCTTGGCCTCCCTTCCGCCGACTCAAAACATATACTACTTTGGACTGCTGATTAATCTCTCTCCTTGCACTCCCCTCTCTCTTTTTCACCAGATGCCGCTGGCCACGTCGCTGGACAAGGACTCGATACGCGAGGCCTACGAGGATGTACGCTCTGATCTCACAGACACCGAGTGGGCGGTGTTCAAGTTTGATGGGCCCCAGATCGTTGTCCATGATCGGGGACAGTGCTTTGAGCAGTTCCGTCAGCTGTTTGGCGATGCGGAACGTGCCTTTGGCTATATCCGCATACAGATGGGTGATGAGATGTCCAAGCGCAAGAAGTTCATCTTTCTGACGTGGATCGGACAGGAAGTGGGCGTCATTCAGCGGGCCAAGATGTCCACGGACAAGGCGCTTATCAAGGATGTGCTTAATGTGCGTTGGATTTTTATTTTACATCAAATTTAAACCATAATCTATTATTGAATTTTTGATTTATCATTTAGAACTTTGCTGTGGAGCTGCAGGCTGGCGTTGAGGCGGAACTGGATATTGAACTCTTCCGGGAGGCATTGAATCGTGCCGGCGGTGCCAACTATGGCACGGGAATCCGGGATAACTAACTTGCTAACGTCCTCCCACTTAATGGCCTCCAGTTACTTTTATATTATAAACTTTTTTTTTGCATCTCTCAACCGCTTACCAAAACCAGCTCCTTTCTTATTAATTATTATGAATTAATTTTATGAAATCTTAAAAAGTGTACATTTATGTAAAATTATACAAGCGATTGTAACATCAACTTGGGTGTAATTTACTTTAATGGCTTAGGAAAAAGCCCAAGAGAAGAGCGGTTCCAATAAGGTAAAAGAAAATCTTATAAGGTATTTACCCTAATTGTACTTTTCCCAAAAAAAAAAAAAATCTACTTAATGCTGTAAATCTCACAGCGATAAACCGCAACGTTTCCAACTTTAGAAAACTTGAATACTAATAGTCAAAAAAGTAACCCCTACCTTCACTTTTTGATCCTTCGATTTGCTTGCTTATCCAACAATTATTTTCAATATGTCAACGCCTTTCTCCATCTCCTCTTCGTTTTCTATGAATTTGCAATGAGATATTCCATAATATCATTCAATGTAGTACATATGTCGTCTCCATCTTCTTAATTTTCTTTTTGTTAAAAATAGAAATTAAAATATAAAGTAAATTAAAACCAATTAATTCAAGAAATAGTTCAATTATCTTAACCTTACCACCTCATGTCAGTCATGGCGTCCTTAAAAAAATATATATATTCCTCGAAATAGTTACTACTTCTTGATAACTACTAGAGTCCGTTACTAGAAACGAATGCCAATGAAAAACACACGACAATTTCAACTTTTCTACTTTACTGAACCAACGCGATTCGACAGCGCAAAGTGTGGTGAGTCTTAGAGCTAAAGGAGATGAGGCGTTGAGTTGGAAAGTACGGATGCTGCAACGCTGTCTGATGTAGCAGGAAAATTGCCTAATCGCTTAGCGGTCTCGGAAAAGCACCGAGTGTAAAGCATCGATGTCCACCTCCACGCCGGATGAATTTGTGGTCACAGTCCGAGAGCTGCCAAAGATGTAAACCTTAAAGTGGTGCTTCTTTCCAAAAGCCTCAAAACTCACCTGGCCAAGCGTGCCGTGCGATGGGAGGAGTGCGGATTGACCAGGACACAGTGCATGGGCTGGTCATCAAACTCTCGATGGTGGTAAGCCTCAACGGCCATTTCGGCATGCTCCAGCGTCTTGTAAATAACCTCAGCAGTCCCAGGACGCACCACACGGGCATCATACATGGGTCCAATGTCGCTAAATAGCTCACGTATATCGGCTGTGGTCACTTTGGCATGGAGATTGCTCACCAGCAGCCGGTAGCCGGCCTTACTGTTTGCCACACCAAGCGGCGGTGGCGGTGACGGGCGACGCATGGAAATTGTTTGGGAGGACATCAGTGACGTTCCACCAGTACCGCCAACACCAACACCACCACCTCCTCCTCCGCCGCCTCCGTACCCTGCCTGCTTGTTATTTTCATTGGCATAAATCCCATGTGATACGCGACGATCGGGCTCAGCGCCAAAGAGACGAGCACGCATCGAGTCCGACAGATTGGTGGTTGTCAGCATATTCCGCTGACGGCGCTCGAAAAGCTTTTCGCCCGTGTCTGTGCGTCCAACGATCAGTGGTGCCGGCAACGATGGACGCTCGATGCGATTTCGGGCCACCTCGTAAATGGCAAACGGATCGTTGGCAATGTTGTTCTTCAACGGAGCCGTGGACATCTCCACGTCGTCATCATGGTCCATGTCAAAGCCGCCAAAGGTATACCGCGGCGGTGGCGGCTGGTTTGTATAGTTGCCAAAGTGTAGGGTGCGGGATATCTCCTCTGAAAGAAAAAACTCATAAAATGGTTTATCTAATTGTGCTGCTGCTCATCCATCTTACCATCTTCGAGATCCTGCATGTTGTCGTGGTCAACATAGCCGTGCGGAGCAAATGGCTTGGCCGAATGGTTCAGTCTAGAAGTGAAGGGGCGATTGTGACCACCTAGCCCGACAGCCTCATCATCTTCTTCGTCCCATGTCGCCGCCGAACGTTCCATGGCGGTGCGCCTCACAAACTGAAGTCTTCTCGACCGGCTATCGTTACGGCCAAGACGTGGCATACGATCCGACAGGGCCTCCACATCAATGATCTCTCCAGACAGCGGCGAGCGATTCTTCTTGCGGTCCTGCAGCAGCTGGCGAGCATCGATGCCAGAGTCGCGTATGTTCCGGTTGAGAATGTCGCGTGCATCGCCTATTTTGGCACGCGTCTTTTGGATAATCTTGTTGCGGGCGTCAAAGGAGCGCACTGCCGGCTTATCCGACTGGCCGGGCTTGAAGGTGGTCCTGTTGAGCAGCTTTCGGGGCTGCTTCGTGTAGCTTGGGTTGCTGCAATGCGAAAAGGGACGTTGTGATTGTGCATGTCGGAGTGCAACGCCATTTTTCCGCCCGGAATGCATCATACTTACAACTTCTTGTCCGCCGCACGGCCGCCATAGCCGCGCTTCCGCTCTATGATCTCGTCAAGGCTCAGGTCCATATTAATCGTCGGCGTAATGCGTGGTTTTTACTTGGAATATATCTATATATTCCGGGAAAATGCTAAGTTACGGCAGAAAGCAAAAATTCGGCTTCGGTGCTAATTAGAGGTGGACGAAACGACAAAGACACATCGATAGAGACTGTTTTCTCATACCGATGTTATCGATGTTATTGAGCCGATATTGAATATAGTTGTGGTCATGTTTTTAAGCAGTATTTATCAGATATAAGTGCTTCACACACGTTTCCTACGTTTTCAATAATTTGTTGTAGTTATTAAATTTTTAATTTTGATTATTTATTAACATAGATTTTAAAATATTAAAAAACGCATCGACAGTATTGTCATAGCGATGGTGTTTGTACAGCTGAGGGCAGCAATTAAAATTTTAAAGACTGACAAATTTTTAATTATTAAACATTTAAAATTAAATATGTAGATTAAAACTTTTTTAAATTAAATATTTTGATATATTGCGATAGTTAGGCGATATTTTTAGCAATGAACAGCTTATTTTAGTTAAAAATAACGATATTTTCGGTAATTAGTCGAAAAAATAAAATAAAATACAAAAAAAATTACTTATACAGAAAATCATTCCGATTTAATAATAATTATATTTTTGATTAAGTCAAAAATTAACTTGTATAAAAATAATAAAACAAAATAAAAACTTTTTAAAAGACGATAATGTCGCTAATGTTATTTTAAGTTATATTAAGTACGAAATTAATTAAGAAATTAAATTAAAGAATTTTTTGGTGTGGCTTCATGTGGACTCGCGCCTTTGGCCACTATCCCCATCTGGTCACACTGCTTTGCTGGCTCATTCGCACTAGCACAACAACAACAAAGCGAAACAATAATCAAAAAGGAAACAGAGTCCGCTCCTAAACACTAATATTCTAGTTTCACTTTGCAAAGGGTGAAGTGAGTGATTTTTTTTCGTTTTCCTCTGTGTCTGGGGCTGTCCAGCTGTGTGATTGCGCAATCGAAAGCGCCCAACCCCAACCCCCGCGCCAACCACCTTAGTTCCATTCCATCCCAGTGTGTGTTTGTTTGTGTGTGTGTGCGCGCGAGTGCCAGTGCTAGTGTGTAAACAACAACAGTAAGCGCGAACACGGAGGAACAGAGGAGATTGATTGAAAGAGCGGAGACTTTTGATGGGCAACTCGCAACCAAGGCATGAGAGCAGAAGGACACCGCAAGGCACTCAAGAAGCAGCGGAACTGAGCGAGCCGCTGGAGCAGCAGCAGCAACAGCCAGAAGAGCAACAGAGACAGCAGGCGACGTCATCGATAACCTTTGGCTGCGGAGGCAGCAGCACCAGGAGATCCCAGGCTCAGATCCATACCCAATCCCCACCAGCTGCCCCAGCAGTAGCGGATTCGCAACCAGCAGCAGCAGAGGCGCAGCAGCAGCAGTCGCACCAACAGCAACAGCAGCAGGTAAGAATGAGTTAGAGCGAGACAAAAGTAGCCCCGGAAAGTAGGACAGACTGATAACGGAATTGTACGGAATGTTGGTTCTGTTGGCCATAACCCTCCAAAGCGATCCATTCCCATTGCCCCATTCCCTTCGCTCCCATTAGATTGGCCCGTTTTCCAACGCCCGTGCAAATAAGTACTGCGTCATTGGGTTTCGCATTTTCCCCCGTCGAACGAAGCCAGAGCTGAATTACGACGCGGGCTGCTCCGTTTGATGTACGCCGAGCTGATCACCGCCCAGGCTGGTGATTCTTCAGCACGCCGCCTAAACGGCCGTGAACCCTTATTGCTCCTCCACATTGCTCCCAGTTTCCGCACTATTCTAATGCTTCCGCATTTGCGTTTGCCGTACGCCGCACATTTTTCATTGCCATGCCAATTGAGCGGCTGGCTTTCGGTTTACCGTTCGCTTTTCCCGCGGCGCTGCGCAAATTCTGGCGGCGGCGGCGTGTGTCCACCTCCAACTCCTTGGCCCACCGCAGCTGGGGATCATCATAGTTCGCCTCCCGCGTTGTGATTTCATTCCAAAAAAAAAAAGTGCTGACATGTGGCTCGCGCGTGTGTGCGTGCCACAGTGTGTGTGTGTGTGTGTGTGTGTGTGCATGCGTGTGCGAGTGTGCGAACATTCGAGTGACCCTCACGCAAAGAAACACTCGGCACAGTGTCGGGCGAGAATATTGGCAAGGCTCAGATATTACTATTTTAAAGATTTATTTTGTATTAAATTATTAACGACTATCTTTGTTTTTATTTATTTTTTCGTCTTGAAAGAACCATTGTTTTTATTCTATGAATTTTTAAGCTAAATTATAATAAAACTTAAATATTCAGATTAAAGTAAATATAAAAAACTTAAATCTACTTTGGTTTATATTCAAATCCAAGCCAAAGAACTAAAATTACCGCAAACCGTACCTGCAACGTTAAAGCGGACACCACTGTACTGCCTGTGGCCTGACTCTGCCATTCGCTCTCTCGCTCTCTTTTGCGATCTCAGTTTTTGGTTTGTGCGAACGAACAGTGCTCGCGTTTCGACTTGTTTGTTTGCCAATATTCCATGACAAAATCGCACGTGTCGCCGCTCAGCTCAGAACGCAGAACGCAGATTATACATCGCATATAGCACACAGCGCACACGCTCTCCACGCTTCAGCAGAGATCCGTATACCTAAATACGCGTTTCTGTGTATTGATTCGCGGAATTGCCGCCAGGTAACAGTTGAAAACGACTCAGGTCTACCGTAAATCCGTAATCCGGCCTCTTAGTTGGCTTCCATTATCCGTAGAGTGGCAACAGCCAGCTTTAATTACTACAAAATTCTATTACAGCAGCTCTCCACGTGGAGTCTTGGCAGTCTTGGCGGCGGACGACTCACCTGGAGCTTCTCCGCGGCCCGCAACTCTTTCCGTCACCGGAACAAAGCCACGCGCAAGAGGTAGACAGCTCCCAACCGTCACCATAACAGTGATTTTCTAACTGTGCTCTTTCCTCCCCCACAGCTTGACTTCGCTACATGGCTCTCGGCGCAGCAAGACACAGTGGCATCGACCTCTGACCAATTCCATCTTTAACTCTCACTTCAAGGAGTCCAGTCGCAACGAGCAGTTTCGCCTGGAGCATCTGGTGGCCAAGGGAGCCTTTGGTGTGGTCTTTAAGGTGTGCGACAAGACCGACAGCAGCGCCTGCTACGCTCTCAAAGTGCTAAAAAAATCAAAGGTTGGCCTTGTCCTCTTTATACCCATTAAGTGTAGTCTTATAATAACGCTTTATTGTATGCTGCAGCTCATCGAGGACAACAGCGTGCGTCAGATTAAGGACGAGGCTGATATTCAAAAGGTGTGCGGTCACCATCCGTTTATTGTGAAGCAGATCGATCTGTGGCAGAACCGACACAATCTACACATCCGTATGTAGACAGGGATTTGAGATACATCAAAGTCTACTTTATATTTTCACCCACCTCCGCAGTTTCCGAATATGTACCGAATGGCGAATTGTTCTCCAAGATAGGACACTTTTCCATTGACCTGGTGCGCTTGTACATCGGTGAGATAGCTCTTGCTTTGGGTGAGTTGAAATCGCAGCCTCTAAAGGACCTTGCAATATCATTAATGTTTTTTTTTATTTTATTTAGACTTCCTCCACAACGCCGGCATTATCTATCGGGATGCCAAGCCGGAGAACATTCTGCTAACGCATCAATTCCACGTCAAGTTGACCGACTTTGGCCTTAGCAAGTGGCTCAAACTGGGGGCCAATACGCGCACCATGTGTGGCACTTTCAAATACATGGGTACGATTTAAATCAACTTAAATACAACACACAGACACTTAAGTAATAGAAATTAGTTATTAAGAGGCGCGCCGATCCATCGCAATCCAAATCGTTCAAAGGGAAAGCCCAACAAAAAACAAGCAACTTAGAAGCAAAGGGGAACAGAAGCAGTATAGACAAATAGAGAATATAAAACTCCTGTTAAATACATATAGGTTACCTAATCGCTTAAGCTTAAGTCTATCCTATGTAAATCGTTTTGAAAAGTTGAGAGCGCTAATCAACTAAAGTTAACTATAGTGAGCGAAACTCCCAGCAAACTAAGGCGGAGCAAGGGCACAAATCAAACACACACAAAAACACACTCCAATCAATCCTATCGAGTTAACACTGTATATAGCAGCCGTATAGCCATGAATGCTCGCTCGCAAGTATTTGATCTGACCATGGAGGGTCGCCAGGTGGACGAGGCGGTGGCCACCATCTTTCACACTGTTCTCTTTCACCGCTGCCTGGGCAAGTACATGTACACGGGCGATGCCCAGTACTCGATTGGCACCGTTGGCTACACGGATGTCGACTGCAATTTCATTGACTTCACCTACGTCTGCTGTACCTCGGACAGCCTAACGCATCGCGTCAAACGAGCCATTAATTCGTTTAGCGAGAAGTTACGCTCCAACGAGAGCTGTGGCTCTGGCCAAATAAGCCTTGAGTTCTTCCAGAAGAAAAAGAACCGCTGGCCATTCCCGCAAGAGTCCATACCCTGGGAGGTGTGGACAGTACACTTGGATCTGATCAAGCATGAGAACGAGGATGAGCGTCAACTGTGCCGCGAAAATGTCTCCGATTTGCTAACCGAAAAGGTGATATATATCACCGAGCTGATGAACCGGCACGATTATGTGCCCAAGACGCCTAGCCAGAGCGAGCTGGATCTGATCTTTGACACATCCTTTCCCGATGTCCAGCCGTACCTTTTTAAGTTCGATTACTCCACCTCGGGCTCGGCGGCACCCTCCATGGGCAATGCCATGAAGAAGATTATCAAGGAGACGCTCGCAATGTGACGGGCTCCATTATCGGGTCACATATTGAAACTTAGTTGCTTGCGAGTTTATTTATTATTATTATTTTCGTCTTTGTATTTGTTTTCGTTTTCATGTTTAAGTTACGAAATAGTTGCTGCTCCATTCGCCCGTAGTTTTTAGTGTATCTTTTGGGGCGAAGAGCCATTTGCAATGGTGATAAGATAAAATACGAGGTAGTCAAATATTTATTGTGTGTCCGCGCCAAACGTTTTTATCTACTACATATTAGTTATTGATTTAATTTCAACTAGACAGAGAGGGAGAGAGAGAGAGAGAGAAAGAGAGAGAGAAATAGAGAGAGAGAGAGAGAAAGAGAAATAGAGAGAGAGAAATGTTGAGAGAGAAATAGAGAGAGAGAGAAAGTGCGAAAGAGAGATATAGAAAGAGAGAGAGAGAGCGAAAGAGAGATATAGAAAGAGAGATAGAAAGCGAAAGAGAGAGAAAGAGCGAAAGAGATAGAGAGAGAGAGATGTTGAGGGAGTTGGATTCTTGATACCACCATATCCTTAGTTGAAATGCGGCCTATAACCTCCCACCAAATATTGCTTTAACGACCTGTGTCCCTTGCTCCACAACCCAAAACTAGCAGCAGGCGTTACATCAAATTTACCAATGTAAGTGTTAACTTTAACACTCACTCTTAATCGCCAGTGTAAATAGAGCTGAAAAAAATGAAATGAATTCAAAATATATATAATATAAAAGGCTGGATGATGATGATGATGGTGCCGATGATGTTGATGATGATGATGATGATGTATGTATAAAAGATTGTGATTGTACTTGTAGTGATTAAATAATAGTAGCAACTCTATGTATCCATAGAGTTGCAAATTATATAGACATGTATCTATATGTATGTAAATCAATGTTTTTCTTATATGTCCAAGCTATAAAAGTAATCAATTAAAATGTACTTTAAAACCTAAACTAATATTGTAAAATTGAATTAAGCCGAATAAATCCTTTGAAGCGCACTTTCAAAGTTGAAATGTAATTGGCCTTTCAAGCGTATAATCGGGATCCGTTTTATATTTCTAGCTTTATTTTCTATAACATTTAATATTCGGCTTGCCGAAGTTAACCTATTTTGTGAGTTTCCTGAATTATCAATCTTCTGCTTTCTTCACTTTTATTATTGTTTTTTGCGGGTGGGTAAAACGTTCTCTCTTCGCTCTCTTCTCGTTTCAGCCCCAGAGATTCTATGCGGCGAACCTTATGGCCATGCAGTGGACTGGTGGGCCTTGGGCGTCATTGCCTGCCAGATGCTGACACAGAAGGTAAGCGACTTGGCATATCTGTAGCTCTGGGGGGAGGTACTTACAGCAGCGTGACTTAAGCACTGATCGATCCGTAACTGGTTTACTGCATCTCTGTGCATCTTGGTATGGGGATTATAACTTGGTCGGTATGCAGTTTTTGTAATTACATATAATTGTAGTGGCCAAGAGATCGGTTGCTACTAACTTCTGACTGTTAGTTTTGTATAGAGTATTTTTTCTATAGAGTTACCTCTTTGTGCCAAACAATATCCTTTTTTGGAGGATCAAGGTATTGGCTTGGTAAATCCAGTAAATTTTAATTTTTGTATTTAACTTTTTCGATTAAATCGATTCAGACATTAAAAAAAAAAATCGATTATCGATCGATTAGATTCCAGCTCTACAAAATTGAACTAAAAATGTATTACTTATGTAAAATTAATCATATTTGTAGGCTGTTGCTCTGGGGGCACCCCTTATCTTTCAATACAAAAGTCCGTACACCTTAGTTTTTCGATTTTTATTTAAGAATTTTCTCAGTCTATATAAAATCATATATACTTTCGCTCATATATACGTTATAACACTATCGTTATTAAATGTAGTTGCATTATTTTAGAACTCAAATAAAAAAAAAGGGGGGAATTCCATTGTGTGTGGGGGTGTGGGGGTGCTGGCTTCGTTCCAAGGACCTTTACAAAGAATCCAAGGATGCTTTTCTCTTTTGTTGTTGGAGGGAGGAAGGGGTGCAGGGGGTGTTGTCTTGCCATGACTAAGATTTAATTAAAAATTACATTAATTAAATTATAATTATAAGTATAACTGTATGCCATCTTAGCGGTTTGTCCTGTGTGTGTGCGTGTGTGTGAGTGAGTGAGTGTTGTGTTTGCTGTTTTATTTTTAACCGTCCTGGTACTGCCACTCGGTTCTATTGTCCTAGGATGCACTGATCCTTGCGGCTCCTCCCATCCTCAGTGTGTGTGTGTGTGTGTGGTGTGCGTAGTGTGATTGCTGTGCTTCCTTCCATTTACAACTAAGAGTTACCACCAACTGCGGTCGTAGCATTAAGACGCTGCCAAGGCGCAGCTGGTGGTTGTGGTGGTGGTGGTGATTGGATCTTGGCTTCTGCGATTGTTGTGGGGAGTGCTGGGTGTAAAGCTCTCACTATCTCTAGTTCTCCTTCGATTCGCTGCTCTCCTCCGACTCCTTGGACTCGGACGAGTCCTCGTTCTTGGACTCGGACTTGTCCAACTTCTCCTCCGACGACTTCTTTGGCTCAGCGGGCGTGGGCAGAGGAGCCGGTGCGGCCTCAGCAATTGGTGTCTCGTCGATCTTCTTGGCCTCGGGAATAGCTGCTGCTTCTGCTGCTGCTGTCTCACTCACCGGCTCCGGCTTCTTCTCGGGCAAGGCCTTGGCATCGGAGGTGGCCTCCTTTTCTGGCTGCTCCTTAACCGGCTCCGTTACCTTGGTGGCGGCGGCTGGTGCCAGGGGGGCATTGGTCTTCAGCACGGGAGCTGGCTCGGCAGCGGTCTCGGTGTTCTTCTGCTGATCCACCGGCTGGATGGGCTTGGGGCTATCACTGGACTTGGCCTGGGCAGCCTGGGCGCCGGGAGAGGTGGGGGCAGCAGGCGAACCGGACTCAATGGATTTCTTCTCGGGCTGCTGGGTCTGGGGAGCAATCACCTGGATGTTGCTCTCGGTCTTGGGAGCCTCAGCTGGTGTGGCGGCAACTACGGCGGCTGGTGTTTCTGAGGCCTGAGCTGGCTCAGGAGCGGCCTCCTTCTTGGCCTCCTTCTGCTCAATCTCGTTGATCCTCTCCTGGCGGGCAGGCTGCTCGGGAATGGCTTCCTTTTCGGCGGCAACGGTGGCGGGTTCGGTCACCAAAACGGGAGCCGCTGGTGCCTCAATCTTGGGTTCCTGGGGCTTGGCCTCATCAACAATCTGCTTCTGGACCTCAGCATTAGAGGCGGGCGTCTCAATCAGTTCAATAGCCTTGGGGGCCTCCTCGGTGCGTGCCGTCTTCTCCTTCTCCTCCAGCTTCTTCTCAACAAGGATCGTTTCCTGGGGCTTGGCCAACTCCACGGGCTTGGCGGGTTCCTCTGGTACCACAATGGCCTTCTTTTCGGGTATGGCCGGGGCTGTCTCCACATCGGGCGCTGTGGATTTCAGGTCAACATTGGTGATCTCCTTGGCCGGCTCAACGGCAGGCTCAACAGCCTTGGCCTCGATCTTAGCCTCTGGCTCGGCCTCGGGCTTCTTCTCTGAGGAAATAGTAGCAGCAGCAGGAGCTGCAGCCAGTGCAGGTTTGGCAGGTGCCGGCTCAATGGGATTGGGATTTAGGGTTTTGGCTAAAAGTTCAGCCTTAGAGCCCCCATCTGGCTGAATGGCCACCTCCTCATCGGGCACGGGCAAAGCCCAGACGCTGCTGAGGCACAAGCAGGCCACAAAAAGTAATTGGAATTTCATCTGGAATTGGAATGAGCAGAGCAGAGATTTGAGATTAGTTTGGGGGAGAGGAGAATGTTGTTGGAATATAGCGAGTGACCTAGGGACCTTGCCTCTTTTTTAAATATATTTTTGTATTTTTTTAATATATATATTTCTTACTATTTTCTATGTTTTTGAAACTTCTAGATCTTTTTTTGTATAATTATTTTTTTTAAATTTAATATCTTCTATTTTCTATTTTTTTTTTCGTATTTTTTCTTATTTATTTATTTATTTAATTTTTTGTTTTTTTAAATTTGTCAATTCCCCAATCATCGTTTCCCTTGATTTCTTTTGTAATTCCATTAAATCATTAAATTTTTAGCCTCCACAACGGAAAATCACAATTGAATTCTCTCTGGTTTTTTTTTTTTTGTATGTTTTGGACCTTGTACCCTTTGTGGTCTCTGGGTCCTTCCATTTCGAGGTAGAGTATTTAATATTTATAACTCAATTGATCTTGACTTTTGATAACGGCTGACTTGCAAATTTGGCCAATCTGCTTTTTGGCCACTTCCCTATGCTAATTTTTAAACTTATAAACTTGGCTTTTTGTCTTATATTTTGCTTTTTTGTTGCTTTTTTTTTATGACCATAGCCCAATTTGTTAATTAAGTCTAACTAAATGGTTTCTAAACTTTGGTTCTTTTGGCTTATGGTGGCCTGGAATCCAGTATCCAGTGTCTAGTATCCAGTCTCCAGTCCCCAGTACCCCATTCTCTGCCAGTCTTGGCTTACGTAACTGGTTGAGTGGGGGGGGTAGGGGGTGCAGGAACGGAATACGATACGATCTTGATGGTCTTTTTAAAAAAACTCGTTGAGGAGCAGAAACACTTGGGAAATAACTGTCTGTCTGGCACTTGGTTTTCGGTTTTTCGGTTTTTTGGTTTTTGGTATTCGATTTTTGATTTTCTGTTGTGTTGGCTTGTTTGTAGAAGTCTTTTTCTAGGCACCATACATACCTTAATCCTTTAGCGGCTTTCCTTGACTGATTTAACACGGACACTGAGTTCAAAAAAGGCACTGTGATTCACGTTATCTCCACCCGGTGTAGGGATTCTATCCGGGATTTTGCACAAAATACAAATACAAAATGCAAAAAAAAATATAATAATAATAATAATAATAATAACAGGGTAAAGATTGTAGAATATTTTAGGTATCTGCTTCGTCGTTTGTCGATTCTTAAATCCCGGACCGTGTGTCTTTGTATGGCTGTGTGTGTGTGTTATGTGTAATGTGTGTGTGTGTGTGTGTGTGTTCTCACCGCTCGGCTTCAAGAAACACTTTGAGTGGATGGCTGTGAGCCGGGGCGCTTATATACCTACCGCCATATAGCAACGCCGGCGTCGGCAGAGCAGATCGAGCTCAGTGCTAGGTACGAACGTCGCAGCAGCAAAGCCAGCAGAGGCAGCGGCAGAGGCAGCGACAGCGACTGAGGCAGAGGCAGAGGCAGAGAGAGGTATATGTACGTGAGCTGGACAGGATTCCCGCGGTGGTTAAGCCAGGATTGGTGTGGATATTTTTAGTTCTAAGAAGAATCGAAGAAGAACCAAAACCGCATCGAACCCTTTCTCCATAAATAGACAGCAAATTGTTGTGCCGGCTTGTTGTCTATTTTTAAAGCCAAGGCAATTTGTAAAGAACTGCAGACCACAGATTGGCCAGTGGCTAGTGGCCATTGGCCAAAGGAGGCTCCTGTCCAAGTATGGTGCTAGCTATTTATAACCCCCCTTTTTTTTTTTGCGCCAAGGATCGCTGATCGATTGCCATAAGCATCATTAAACGCAGCACGATTTTCAAATGCAGTTGTTGTGGCGACCATCGATAATATCAGCAATCAGCCAGCCAGGGCCAAAGAAAAATGCTTAATTGTAAGTGAAACAGCGCAGGAGGAGGAGCAGAGCTAGACCCGCAGGAGTGGTGGGCACAAAACAAAAAAACCGGTCTAGGAGTAGGTTTTAATATGGGATATATATGTATATGAGTTTATAGACAACATCTACTGTTGAATCAAAGACGATGCCTAGGTCTAAAGACTAGAGACTAGAGACTAGAGACTAGAGCTAAGTGCAGCCAGGAGGAGGAGGCTGGCGGCTGGCGGCTGGCGGCAGCATCATTAACATAATCAAAGCCTGCCAGACATGGGTCTCTCACAGATACCGATCGTTGATTATCTTAGAATGATAAATGCTCACACACAGTCTCTGCTTGCTTGCTGGATTCTTTTTATAGATTCTACCAAGGAAATCCAAGCAAAAACCCCTAAAAGGATGGCCATGGAAAGTTCCACTGGTGCTTTCCAGTGCTTAAATTGTTGCTTACAAAATCCACAAGATACATTTCCAGACACACACAATGGGACACTACGATATGCTTGTCTCTAAGGTCACAGCACACACACACAATCATTTAGCGGAAAAGTTCTGGTGGGGAGGGGAGAGGGATGAGCCCAGTCCAAGCTGCTCTTTAGTTAAACGTGCTCTGATTTTGATTTGGTTTCTGTATCTGGATTTGGAAACACTCTAATTTAGGCGCGACACACGGCTAATGGGTAGCCCAGCTAGTAACAGAGACCACGACGACGATGATGATGGTGACGATGATAAGAAAGGGAAATCCAATTTAAATGTGAAACCAGAGCCATCTGCTTATTTACGATCCTCTAGATGTAGCTGTGTGTATCTCTAGCTGTAGCTGTGTGTATCTGTATCTGTATCTGGGTTGGGTTTAACCGTTCTTGGGTTCTTTGGTTCTTCAGGTTTACCTGTTACCTGTTACCTACGGCTACCTGTGACCACCGCCAGGATCACCATCCGTGAGGATTGTGTAATGCAAACACGTTTGCAAAAAAAAAAAAAATAAATAAACACAAAAGTATCTTAGAAATACCCAGAATCCAAAAACGATCATTTAAATGTTTTATGATGTTGCTTTTGAAGGTCGGCGCCCAGAGTAGCCTCTTGCCCACCCCGTCACGAAAAGTGAATCTCATAATCTGGAAATATTTTTACGTTTCATGCATAATTGCAATTATTATTAAGTTGCTCAATGATTTCCATGGGTAAGCTAAACGGTTGAGAAACAACAACGTCCATGTGAACTGTATGTGTTCATGGCGAACAAATTACGTATTCTAATAGTGCTAAATGCCTCTGGCACAATGGCAAAATTCAATCATTTCAAGAAATGCTTATCAATATTTCGTAATAAATTTAAAGACCTTTTTGTTCTGTATTATTTGTGCAGCGAAATTGAGATTTCTTTCTAAAAGAGAAATATTAGAAGATCCTCTTAAAACTCTAAGAATATTATAGATTAATATATTTTCTTTTTTAAAAAATTCCATGGTTGCTTTTCTTTTTCTTTGTAAACTTTATAGTATTTTTTATATGTCAAAGAAATATCTTCAATTTATTCTAAAGATTACTGGCCATGCCTGGCAGTTATTTTTTTTATTTAAAATATATTTTTTTTATTATTACTAATTTATGGGGAGTCTTCTTAATTAGAAATATATTTTTTAAGCATACTAGAAATATATTTTAAAATATTTAAAATAATGTTCTAGGTTACCCTTAAGATGTTGCAAGTAAAAACAAAAAAGATTACTGGCAAGGCAGTTATTTTCTATAGTTAAAAAAAATATTTTCCACCTAGAAATCTACCAAATTTTTTAATTAGAAATTTATGGAAAGTCTTTTTAACTAATTATATATTTTACAATATTTAACAAAATATTCTAGGTTACTTTAAAACGTTACCAATAATATTTATATCATTTAAAAAGTCCCAAGAATCCTCTTCAAGCCTTCTTTAAGGCAACATTTTAACGATGCTGGAAAATTGTCCAGCAGGAGAAGTTCTCTTGGCTGAGAGATCTCAGCTTCCCTCCTCCTAGTAAGAGCCATCAGGGGAATAGTCAGACAAAAGTCTTGCCTTGGTCAAGTGGTCGGTTAATGGTTGGCATTGGTCTGCTCATTTTCTTGCGACATTTTTATGCTCTTGACTTGCATAAATATTTGCAGAGCCCACAGAAGACAGGAGGACATATTCACGTAGATTTTCTGCAGCATTCTGCGGGCAGCGGCGAAAGCAATAAATTTGTGCTCGGCAGACACACGATGGTGTAGGGAGTCAGTCCACTAGCTTCTCCTGCTCTACCAGCTCCTCTAGCTCTTCTAGCTTCTCTAGCTCCTCCAGCTCCTTCTGCTACTCCAGCTCCTCCTGCTCATTCTCTTACTCCTCCTGCTCTTCCTCCTCGTCCTACTCCTCCTGCTCCCCCTCTTCCTGCTCATCCTGCTCCTCCTCCTCCTGCTTCTCCTCCTGCTCCTCCTCCTCCTCCTGCTCCTCCTTCTGCTCCTCCTCCTCCTGGTATCATGTAATATAAAATGCGCTTGTGTTGCAATCAACATCCACATTGTCGTAGTCGTCGTCAGCCTCCTCTGCTAGGAGCATAAGGGGGAGACTCTGGCATAGATCCAGCGGACGCGCGGCATTATCATTATCGTCCTGCAGTGTAATTACACTTGACAACAGGCAAAGACTTTAGGTGTGAGAATTATAAATTAAATAACAAAAAAATATATAAAAAAAATTATAATAAAAAATAAATAATAAAAAATAAATAAATAATACAAAAATAAATAATACAAAAATAATGAAAAATAATAAAAATAATAAAAATAATAAAAAATAATAAATAAAAATAAATAATAAAGAAAAATTAATAATAAATAAAAATTAATAACAAATAAAAATTAATAATAAAGAAATATTAATAATAAATAAAAATTAAAAATAAATAGAAATTAATAATAAATAAAAATTAATAATAAAGAAAAATTAATAATAAATAAAAATTAATAATAAATAAAAATTAATAATAAAGAAAAATTAATAATAAATAAAAATTAATAATAAATAAAAATTAATAATAAATAAAAATTAATAATAAAGAAAAATTAATAATAAATAAAAATTAATAATAAATAAAAATTAATAATAAAGAAAAATTAATTATAAATAAAAATTAATAATAAAAAAATAATAATCATAACAATAAAAAAAAATAATAAAAATAATAATAATAAAAAAATAAAAAAAAACAAAATAAAAAAAACAAAATAAATAAAATAAAAATAGAAAATAAAATTAAAATAAATAAAAACCCAGCTTTATAGTGTTTTTTTGCTTGCCACAAGCACAGGCACATCCCGTGCCACTGCCACAAAAGTGCAAACACACACACACACACTCACAGAGGGTGTACTAGACGTGCGATCAGCAGAGTCGCCTTCGCCTTTGCCTTTGCCTTTGTATCTCTTGGATACATAACTCTTTGTTATTGGCCTTGAATGTCCTAAGCACGGAAAAGAGGTCATTGTCGCATAATACATCCAGTCTTGGCCAGTCCCAAGTTGGTGGACAATGACAGTGAAACCTGGCGGCGATTCCCCCGTGTGGAATTGCAGACTTTGAAGAATCTATGGGCAGTGGTTTTCCTTAGCCTTCTGTTTTTGCTGTTTTGAAATTTGTAATTAAAGTAGACACGCATTTTAATGACTGTAATTGAAAGGGGCCACGATCGGGGGGCTCTGCTTTCTGTGATCACACAGACTGGACCGACTTTGGACATGGAAACCCGATTAAATAGATGCATGTGCATATATTAAAAATGCATTTATATATAAATAGCTTTTGGCCTAGGCTTGGCTTGGCTTGGCTTGGACTGGGAATCAGACTTGGATTCAGATTTGGTCTTAAGCCCATCTATTGCCACAGTCAGAGGCCACTTATATGGAGAGATGCACTTCCTGTTTGAACCAAGATTGATAAGGCATCTTAAAGGCCTTAATAAAACGTGGCTAAAAAGCGCAGATTATGGCCATTCCAAGCTTTGTATATCTTTATATCTGCTTTTTGTACGTCTGCCGCGGTTCCTTTAACACTTTTTATATTGTTTTTCTGACTCTGCAAGATCTAAGAAGCTGTGCTGTTGTGGCTCAAGACAATTACCAGTGGACATTAATTCTAGGAAATATATATAAAAATAATAATCACTATGATGTGCCTGTCACTAAACATGGTAGCAACGATAATTGGCCAACAGCATCAGCAGCAGCAGCATCAGCATCTGTAAAGCATCAGCATAACCAGGAGTACAAGTTGGATGACCCGAACGTCAGCTCTTTACTGACCAAAACAGCCAACATGACTGGGCCATGGTCAGGTAACCAACCAAATCAAACGCAGAATCAATCTGAATACGAATCTGAAAGCCTGTCCAGCTCACGTGCCAGCAATTACTATTACCATGCGTCACATTGTCAACAATAAAAAGTGACAGATATCCAGCCAGAGAGTGAGAGAGAGAGAGAGAGGGGTGAGGTGAGGAGGTGAGGAGGGGTATACTGGGGGGGAGCAGAATCAGTGGAGCGCTCGTCTCATTTCGCAACTTGTTTTCAACGAACCAACGAACCAGGAAGGTGGCACATAGCACATAGCAGCCATTGGATCATTACCTCGTCGCTGCTTTGGCCGCTGGCCGCCTGTGATTTAATTTAATTCTGCTAAGCACAAAACCCCAAACTATTTCACTTTGTCAAGTTGTCGTTGTCGTCGCTGGCGTTGTCAGCTTGCGGCCGCCGCAGCCGCATTGATTAAGCTTAATTTGCCGCTCCGAAAATGCAGGTCAAACCTTTCGAAATCTCTCGGCATTAGGCCACTCAGTCCAGCTACTGTGGATGTGCTGGGCTGCATCCGATATATATTGTATCTCTCACTGTATTATGTTTCCCATTCAATCACCTTGAATTCTCCAGTGATGACTCACCTAGATGACATTTTCCTGGCTTTCACCATTCTAAGGTAAAAGTGTCATTACTAAGAGGGTTGGTGGCTTTACGGAAGAGTTAAGTTCAAGTGCGTGCATTGCTCGGGGCAGCAGCAGCATCCATCATTATTCCATTCCCCAAGTCCATAGCCATTCCTTACCCCTACTTTTGATCCATTCCCCTGTGAGTATTCAAGTGCAGCTGCTGTAATTAGCCGCTGGTCAGTGTCAGTAAGTGGCTTTTACATGACAATTGCGTTCGCCAAATTAGATTTGCCTGAGTTTAGAGCTTCCCTTTCCCCCTTCCCAGATAGTAGTGATGCTGAGATGCTCTTCTTTGCCCAGCAGGAGCCGCGGTTCTGTGCGGGTATTACAGCACACTCCATATAGAGATATATCCACAACGAGCTGAGAGCTTAGCTCAGGCTCAGCGTCAACTCAACAAAAATTGTCTATTTCTATTTTAAAAAGTAGTCGACCGCTAATTGAATCCAATTTGCATGCATTAGCGTTCGTGGCTGCTGGCCTGAGCTGAGCTGATCTGATCTCTGGGTAGAGCTCAGGGCTCTCTGGTGGGGCCACGCCAGTCTGCGCTAAGCTAAATCCAAGCAGATCTAAGACATGGACACCCCCAAGCTGGGGAATGCATTGCAGAAATAAGTAATGTCAAATATTTCTTTGTTAATTCTTTATTTCAATAATATATTTTAATATATTTGAAATTTTTTAAGTCTTCTTAAATAGTTTTCATTACGCAAATGATGTTCTAACATATGAAAAATTGTTTTAAAATTATTTAAAATTCCGGAAGTTCAAAACCGAAACCTTAGAAGTTATTTTAGAAAGTGGGCTTATAATTCCCAGGTACGAATTTAGCAAGTACAAATTAAATACTAGATAAATCCCATGTTAAAATTCTTAAAAATCGAATATTTATCTTTAGACAAAAAATTTAAGTCAGCAAATATAATTTCTCTTTAAATAATATTAAAATGCTTTAAATATTTTATTTATTATAAATTTATTTATTTCAAATGATTTCTTGCAACATCTCTGAGAGAAAAGTACCTTCTGAAAATATAAAACAGACATATAAGTTGTTATTTCAAAAAGTGCCCCTAAAATTCCCAAGTACAAATTTGGCAAGCAAAATTAAATACTAAAAAATACTTAAATACTTAGTTAAAAGTTACAATTTATTTTCAGACAAATATCTTAGGTCATTAAATATAATTTTTCCTTAAATTCTGCCCTTAAAAATCCATAAAACGTAAATGTTTTTCTTATATTAATATTAAAATTATCAAATATTTTATTAATTAGAAAGTTATTTATTTTAAACGATTTTTTCCATTATCTCTGAAAGAAGAAAAAAAAAAAACTGAGCTACAGTTCTTAAAGGTTAATAGAAAATTCCATTAGAAGTGACTAATCTGTGCAAGCTACTCCACATTTCCCATCACTTGATTTATTTATGTTTTTGTTGCTTGTTGTTTTTTGTTTTTTTTTTTTTTTTTTTTAAGATTATTTTGAACTTCACGGCAAATAACTCGGACGAGCGTTTTGTCACAAGCCCGGCTTTGTTGGCTCTGCCAATGAGCTGACGCCTGCGAATTGCGTATTTGCGTGCTCATGCGTCTGCCTGCCCCAAATTGTTTGGTTATTTGGATATGATTCAGTGCGCCATCATCGGCATTGGATGCTAGTATGGTGACTGGACGCTAATTATTATACACTCTCTTGTGGGAAGGCAAAGGTGTTTTTTAAATAGTTCCAAATTATAATAAAACAATTTTACAAATAATATTTATAAATAATATTTAACAATATAAATTTGTACACTATGTGTGTATATTTTATAGAATATATATTTAAAAAAAATATATATAAAATAATAATAATATTTTATTGAATATGTATATATTTTCATACTTTAATAATAATAATTTATTAATTATTAGTTAATAAAATATTAAAAATAATAATTAAAATATTAAAACTAATAATTTAATAAAATATTAAAAATAATAATAAATAAATGTAGAAACAATTTTCTATTAAATAAAATATAATTTTAAGAGTATAAAACCATCTGATTAATTTTTATCAATTCCAAAATCGGATCAGGCAAAAATAATGAATGTCTCATCGTTTTGTTAGTTTTAGCCTTGGCTTAGGTTTCCAGGAAAAGCAGCTCAAAAGCAAACAAATAATACAACTACAGATAATAATAATACAAATAATAATATAATATAAACTAATTCAAAATCTGAACCTTATGATACTTTATTCCTGAGGAATTACCTAACCCTTATAAACCACATACCATTATCACAGGTCAAATGGTTTGAGGCTTAACTTTTGCCAGAACAGCACAAAAATATGCTTTAGAATATTTTAAATTGGTATGACATAAAAAAATATATAAACTAAAATAAGAATATATAAAAATATATTTTTTTTTTGTAAAATAAAATTCTCTATATATATATTTATCTAAAATTAAAAAAAAAAACAAAATTTAAAATTTGCAGTCGCCCAACATCAAGCGGCATCTGATGATGCGTCGCCGTCAGGAGAGTGTGTCCCAGGAGGAGGAGCGCCTGTCCAATGCCCCGTCCATTGCCCAGATCAATGGCTGCCTGCAGGACAGCGATGATGGCGACAGCAATAGCGATGATTTCTTGCCGGATGCTGTGCACAGCCTAAGTCACGAGGGGCAGGACGTGCTCCGCCAACTGCTGGCTATAGAGCCGCGTCAGCGTATCCGCAGTGTGATGGCGCTGCAGAGGATTGCCCTCTACAAGGGCTACAAGCTGAGTGCCAAGCGACTCCTCGGTGTAAGTGGGGATATCTCCTATGAAACCTTTTATATATCTTTCAACTCCTGGCAGCTCTCTCCGCGAGACATCATTGCCCGGGATGGTATCCGGGTGTACGAGTACAGTCAGTTTGATCAGGCAACCAGCCAGTGTGCCATCAAAGCATTCCAGAACTTCTAGTGGGAGCTAGGACTTTGTGTTTAGCCATATTTTTCAACGGTATTTGTTTTTTATTAAAATTTATATTAACATTTTAATGAATAATTCACACAATTGTGTTTTTTTTTCTGGGCATTAACAATAAGAGTTTTGTGGCTTTGAGGGTGAGATCTTAAATTAATAAGATGCATAACGCTCAGAAATTTGAAAAGAACATGAAGATCATACGCAAGGCGAGCAAGAGTCTAAGGATGTCGAAGATAGGGAAATTAAAATATTAAAAATAAATTTAAATAGTTTGTTTAATATTAAATTGAAACTTTGAATTGCATTGAAAGAGGAAAATCAATTCAATTCGCTTTGCTTCGATACGGGGAATCACAATTGCGACTCAACTCAGTTCCGTAAATAGCATTTCCGGTCCTGCTGCTCCTGGCCGAGGGGCTTTTCTAAAGTTTCCATGGAGGCAGACCGCCTAATGCCTGCATCTAGAAAGGCGGACTTACTATGGCTTAGGCCCGAGGAGGAGAGTGCATTCAAACCGATGCCAGTTTTGCGTCACGATGACGTGCATGGCGAGCTTTAAATCCCGTGTCCGCCGTGTCCTGGCGTGGGTGCGTGACTCTACCCACACCCACTCATCCACTCACCCGCTCTCCCACTCACTCGTTCGCTCGCAAAGCTCTCCCCGAAGCTTTGTCAGCTGCTTTGGCAAAGCTCTTCTCTCGCTGGGCCAGGATGCGAGAGAGCAGCGAGAGCCGAGAGCCACGCGACTCGCTGGAAATTGTGTTGCAGATGTAGAAGCAGAGGCAGGAGCAGGAGCAGGAGCTGGAGCAGCAACAGCGGCAGCGCAGTTACAAAAGTCCTTAACAACAAATACATACAAATGCACCAGCAGCGTACATCGATATCCTGCTAAGTGTCGCAAAAAGTGGAACAACGCGTTATCCAGCTTGGCATGGATTGGTTCCTTGCCTGGCTAACCCACTGCTAACCCAATCAGGCAAACGTCAAGGTAGCCAGAGGCAGGCCACTGCATCCACTCGCTGACACAAACTACCACCATGATGATGATGGCCAGGACTTCCAGGAGTACCCAACAAAATTAGGCAACAGGAGGAGCAGCAGCGAGCGGCAGCCATGGCGCTGGTGCACACTTACCTGGGCACCTGGGAGGTAAGTCTAGGTTACTTCCCATATCTCAAAGAGATTAACACCTAATCCACATCAGATTGTGTGCTGCACCTTTGAGGGCAAGCGAGAGCTATCCGGCCTCGAGGGCATCAAATTTCGGCTGGACGACACCAGCGACATTACCTGGTACAATGACCTGGTCAGTCCACTTCCTGAATCAAAAGACTGCGGCGGCGGACCACTCTGCGAATCGGCGAGTGTTCTCTTCAGCTGCGAGACCTTCGATGTTCACGAACTGAATCCTCGCCTGGTCTTTGGAGCCTTTGCCGGTCACAGCATTGAGTTTAGCGTGAGTATACCCCTTGGGATTTCTGCTTCCTGCTTCCTGCTCCTGGTGGTGGTAACCCTTTAGCCCTCCCCTTCCAGACCAACACCTTAACGCCGACTGATACGCTGGTGCTTAGCTGCGAGAACTGGTATGCCGTGGAGTGCAAGCGACTGCAGGATGGCCAGGCAGCTGGCCAAGAGAAGCAGCTCAGCTTTGGCGAGGCCCTCCAAGAATCCTACTTCAGCGATGTGGTGGTTAAGAGCTCCGGCGGCATGGACTATGCCCTGCATGCCTCCATCCTCCGGCTCAATGGCTTTGACTGCAGCATGTGCGTGAACAGCGCCCCGCCCTCGGCCACTGTGCGTCCGCCGGTGCGAAGCTGCCACAGCGGACCGAACACGCCCAATCCCATTAGGATCTCTGTGGCTCCAGCCTTGGAACAGGGAGGCGGAGAGCCGGAGAAGTGCCTGCCCCGCCTGAATCTCTCGCCCATTTATCTGCAACCGCCGTGTGACTTTCAAACCGGCAGCCTGGGCCTGGGAGCACAGCGTGGCCACCAGTTTAGCAGCAGCTTCAATTGCCTGAGCAATGGGAATGCCGGTGACACGGGCTCGGACTCGCCGGCAGCGGTGGGCAAGGCGGGGCTGCTCAGCCTGGAGTGCGGCGGCGGCGGTGGAGGTGGTGGATTGTATCGCCTAACGCCAACCTCGCACTCGGATTCGCATCTGGAGACCTCGCAGTCGTCGCACTGCAAGAACATCTTCAATTTCTGCCAGGATTTGATGCTGCAACCAGCATCCACGCCACTGAATCCAAGCGGCGGATTGGGTGGCAGCAGCCTGGCTGTGTGCAGCATCCGGCGCCCACCATTGTCACCCTATCGGGCACGAAGTCCATCGCCATTTCCCAGCTCCATGGACACGCCGCCCTCATCACCACTAACGCCAGTGGGTGTGCTATGCAACCTCCCGACATTCCTGCTGGGCCCCATCCTCCACTGGCTGTACACGGAGTCGCTGCTGCCCGATCTGGATGAGGATGTGTGCGAGAAGCTGATTAGCTTTGCGGAAACGCAGCCATCGCTAACCAAGCTGGTGGAGCCCACGCGCAAGTATTTGCGACTGATGCGTCTCAAGAAGTGTGAGTAGATCCTGCTGAAGGCAGGCAAACATAACCCTCCTCCTCCTCCTCATATAAAACTCCTTTCAGTTGTGGTCAATGTCACCATGGATCTGCATGACATACTCAACCGGGTGATACAGTGCATCAATCCTTTGAACATCACCCATGAGCCGGCTTTGCTTTATGCCACGTTTCAGGATGCCCTGCGTGAATGCGCCATTGGTGGGTTCTCGGTTGTTCAGATCTCTTTTCTCAGATAAATCAAAGGGGTTTTTGTAACTCTTTAGGTTGCGCCAAGGTGCTGCAGTTCTGCAATATCTTCATCACGGATGCCACGCACATGACACGCTACCAGAAGAACGAGATTGTCAAGTATGTCCGGACCCGCATACCCATTTTCATGTCCCAAACCCAACAGCTGCTCCGCAACGTTCTGGGAGTCTTTGTGGGTCTCAGTGGCGATGAGAAGGCCGAGTTGGTGAACTATCTTGTACCTGAAGTGAGTGTGTGGGTGGATTTAAGTGATGGGGGAAGAGGAATTCATTTTCTTTACAATATTATGGTATATATTCTCCCCCCAGATCGAATCAACCTTATTTGTATTGACCGCTGTGATAGAAGAAATCAAAAACTCATTGGAAATCATGTGTAAAGTAAGTTAATTTTCACACTTTTCCTTATTTAATCCTCGCCCTAAGCCAAGGCTCTTGCTTGGCAGGACCTTAAATGTTCCCACTTGGATTTGCCACTGCAGCAACAGCAGGAGGACGAGGCCATTGTCATGCAGTTGCAGTTTCCCGATGCCGGCGATCCTTCGCCACGTCCTCGTCGCGGTGCACCCATTGGTCTAACGCTCTACGACGACAATCTGACGGACAAACAACGCCTCAGCTCTGCGGAAAATGATCTCAAATTTGTGCTCTACATGTACGAAGTGCGGAAAATGCGTGACATTTATGGACGGATTGTGGCAGCCCTGGAGATAATCAAGGACAAGAAGTGAGTTGGGTGAAGTGGTGGGTATTTATTTGATCTATAAAGTGGATATTCTAATCCTGCAGGAGCACCTACTGCGACATGGACTTTCTCAGCAAGAGCAGTACCATCAACCAAAATCTGGAGCAGCTGATCATGGACATTCCCGCCTACATTTTCATAGTGGAGAACCTCTCGGACCGACTGGATGACAAGCTGGGCTGGAAGGAGTTCAAGTTCTGCTTCAAGCTGGCCACCAGTCAAATAGTAAGTGGTTACTTGAGAATTTTAAACTAAACCTTAAAATATATATATTTGCAATCAGAATGGTGTCATTGCCAAGTTGCTGGATCACAAGGCCGCTCTAGGTGATGCCATTAGCCAGATCTGTTTGCTGGTGCGAAAGCAGGAGTTTACACAGTCCCTCATCGAGCTGGGCCTGCTGGACAGCTCATGTGGTCTTTCGGCCAACTTGAAGGTGGCCGATCATGAGAACAACCTGAATCAGGAACTTAACGAAAAGGAGACGCTGTACTTGGATCGAAAGCAGTACTACGACTACAAGAGCATCAAGGTAAGACCTTAATCAACTAGGTGAAGTATTATTATTATTTTTTTATTAATGACCAATATTTTAAGAATATTATGTCCAAGTTTCACATCGATCGTACCAAAATTGACAAAGTTATCCATAGTTTAGGGAGGGGTCAGGAGAATATGTGGCAGTTTTTTTATATTTTTTTTATTTGATTGGTTCAATATCATTAATTTAATAAAATAAATTTTAATTAGTTTTTAATTATTTAAAAATTAAATTTTTATTAATTTATCAATATTGAAATAAAATTGATCTTTAAAAAATTACAAACCAATAAAAATTAAATTTTAAATATTAAAAATATAATTAATAATTTAACAAAATATATTAATAAAAAAATAAAAATAAAATTAATAAAAAAGTAATAAATTAATAAAAAATAAAATGAATAAATTATAAAAATAAAATTAATAAATTATAAAAAATAATATTAATAAATTACAAAAAAATTTAATTACAAATTATAAATCAAAATGTAATTAAAATAAATTTGTTATTAATTCAAAACCCACCACTTTCCATTCCCAGCTAAACCTCATCCGACACCTCTGCGAGCCACCCATAGCTGCCAATAGCAATCTCTCCAAGAACGCCCTGCGCCTGCTCCACTCCACCCAGCTGGCGGACATGGAGTTCGAGGTGCACACCTATGCACCAACGAAATTGGAAACGGATGCCACTACCCTCCAAGTGCATAGCTTCAAGGCCCATCGCGTGATTGTGGCCGCCCGCTGCGAATGGTTCAAGAAGGCGCTCATGTCCGGCATGCAGGAGTCCATCAACAGAAAGGTGGTGATAACAGACACCTCGCCGGTTATCTTCCGGCGGCTATTGCTCTACCTGTACGGTGCACCCATCGACCGGACCGTTGGGGCCGAGCAGGTGTGCGAGCTAATGCTGCTGGCGGATCGTTACTCCATTGATGATCTCAAGGTGAGTGAATGATACTATATATATATTTTTTGTGGGGGTTCTAAGATGATTCTATCCCAGGAACTGTGCGAGAATACCCTCTACTCCCTGATTGATGAAGACTCGGTGGTCTGCCTTTTGGGCATTGCAGACCGGTATATGGCCACGGCCTTGAAGTCCAAGTGTCTCTCCTTTCTCTCGCAACATGCACAACTGACCAAGTGTGAAATCTTTAAGGAATTGCCCCAGACTCTTCAAGTAAGAAGGCTTTGATAGCTGCCGAAGTTATATTAACTAAGTAAACTTTCTTCTACAGCTAGAGGTTATGGACTTGATACACTGGTTCGGTCGCGTTTCAGAGCCATGGAACGACAGGGGCTTTAAGCCCAGGAGCAGCTCACGCCATAGCTTGAAGAGTCCATCGAAGCCGCGTTCCAGATCCCGCAAGTCATCGCCCTCCTACATGTGACGCCGACAAAGCGCCATCATTGAACACACGAATGCCAACTTCTTGTGATAACTCTAGAAGACTTCCGGAGTCCGGAGACGGGGAAATTCAGTATCCAGATGGAGGGATAAGATAGGTCAGTAAGGGCGAACGAAGAAGCCGGGACTTCGACGACTCTCATGACTAAATCACAATATCAAGCCAAAATAGCGAGGGGCAAACATGACCTGATTTTAATGAGTTTTATTTAGTTCATTAGTAGATACATACATATTATACATAGATAGGAATTTTGACGTAAAACTTGCATTCACATTTAATTCGAATTATGACCCTGGAAATTCAGAGGATAAGGTAGGATAAAGGACTTAAATACCTTGGTAGTTGCACTGCCAGTGTGTTGGAAACTTGAGAAAAGAGCATCGTCAAGCAGTTCATGTCTGTACATACACAAAAAAGTGGGTAGGAGTCTTCACAATTATACCTTCATTTACTGAGGTAGACCCAACCCCCTAGTTCCGATGATCAGTAGCTAGAATTTAGTCATTTTGAAGAGCCTAAGGAATCGATTGTTTTTGTATTTGGACGACGACATGGTCTGGCGGGGACTATTAACAGAGTAACCGAAACTAATCTGTTGTGTACGTTAAATGGAATTAACATTAGACTTTAATAGCCGCAGAAAAATAAAACACACACATTTATGCTCACGTAATGTTGTGAGTACGGTGCGGATTTTAAGTAGCAACAACAGCAGCATCTTTTTTTCTATAAATTCGAGACAGTATAAATTAAAAGCAAATGAGAAAAAAAAAAACAAATACTATATATATGTACAAACATTATGTGTATATTATATTATTGTACTAATTCAATACATTTCTTGTTGTCTTTTTAAAGCGAATCAAAAGTAACTCTTTTTATTATACCGATTATTAACGATAATAAAGCGTATGTATGTACATAAGTAAACGAAAGTGCATTTCAAATTCGTGGTGATTGTGTCTTGGCCATTTCCTGAAAGTTCAGAAGCATCGCGGATTCAAATTGGCCAAAAGCTCTCGCCGGGCAGGCCAGGAGCGAGTGAGTCGGGCGGGAGTAGCGAGTGCCATAGAGATGGGAGAATATATATAGCTATCGTTAAATATCGTTCTATCGTTCTCACTGCCCCAACCAGTTCCTGGCTCTCTGCCACTTCCAGCCAGTTTTGGCGATACCAAAAACTTTCGCTCTCGGCTACGCTCTCTCGCGCTCTCTCTCCAGCCCTTCGGCGGCACTCGTCTCCGTTCGGCACAGGAAACAGTGGTGTCATTCCCGCTTGTTTTCCCTAAAATTCAGCTTATTATTCAGTGTGATTGCGGAAAACAGCGGGCAGCGGATAATCGAGCTTTTTTCGCTCAGACAAAAGTGACATCACTGACAGGAAAATCCATTTTCCACTTTTCCGTGTGCGGGACGTCCTTGTCGTGCGTGCGCGTCGGTTGCTCGCGCTGACGGTGTTTTCAAGGAGCATAGGCAACATGGAAGCATAAAAGGAGAAAAGAATAACAAAAAGCCATTAGAATCGGTAGCTGGGTACCAAGGGTACACTTCCAAAGTCGCAGAAATCGATATTAAATGAAATAAATAACCGCGAGCTGGCCCGCAAAGTGCATTCGCGTCTGCATTGCGTTCAAAGTGCGATTTTTTCCTAGTTTTATGTGCAAGTGCTGTGCAAGGAAAAGGAATACGTAGATTCGTCTCCTTCTTTTTTTGCTTGTTTCCATCTTTTTTTTTCGGTTTCCTTTTTTTTTTTTTTTTTTTTTTGTCAAAATTCGCGAGAGTCCCCGAAGGAGAAGCAAGGCCACATAGAAACGAGGCGAAAGGAACGGCAGCGCAATAAGGTAGCAAAAAGTATTTTGTTTGTGTGCGAAAGCGAGTCCCGTTGGTTATGTTAACATTGACAGTGAAAGTGAAAACGAAAATGAGAATGAGCTTGAGAATGAGAATGAAAATGGAAATGAAAACGAAAACGAAAATGGGAATGGAAATGAAAATGAAAATGCTGGGATGTCGGCGATAAGCGTGTCTGTTATTGGTAACGCACAAAATGTGTGTTTTGGGCCAATCGCGAGCAAAAATAATTCATTTTCCCCTGACCCAGACGCTGCGTGCATGTGTACATGTATGTCTGTGTGTTTGTGTGTGACCCAACCAGCCAAGTGCCAGTGTGTGCACACAAACATACAATATGGTGGGGACAGGGAGAGAGAGAGGAGCAGAGCAGAACAGAGCGGAGATCCGGGAGAAGTTGCGAACCAGCTGCTCGTCGACGTAAATATTTAATTGCCCAGTGGATGTATACACACAGTTGTATAAAAATACGAAAAATCTGTACATTATTCCAGCCAGCGGCCAAGCAAGTGAATTGTTTATATTGTTTATTATTTCGTACGAATTTCACGGCAGCCACACGCACACAGAGACAGCGGCTCCCCCACCCCCACCCCCTCCTCCAGCAACGGTACAGCGGTATTAACGGTAAAAGTGCAGGCGTGAGCAGTGCGTGCAGGAGCAGGCGGAACACAACAAATAATAGCGATAGCGAAACTTGTAACTGAACGACGACGACGACGACGACAGGTCCTGGCTGGGACATAATCCCCACCCACATTGACTACGAACTGAACGGAGGAGCACATACATGTGCTAAAAAATTGTTTTGCGCAAACTTTTCTGCCTTTCGCTAGCACCGAACGGATGTTGTTGTTGTTCTGGTTGTTGATACCGTTCGTGTTGTTGTTGTTGTTGTGTTGCGTTTATACACACGCACACAAAGTCATCATCAATTACATCCCTCCCCCGCAGCCAATGCGGCGAAGCCTCGACGTAGTGTGCGTTATCTGCTGCGCCTATCGAAGCTTTTTGTTGCTCCGGCTCTCCTCGCTGGCTCTGTGTGCGTGCCAGCTCTCACCCACACACACACACACACTCTCACATACGCGGGCGGCCCGCCTAGGCACAGTTTCTGTGTTTTTTTTTTTTTCCGTTCCTGCTGTTGCGACCGATACTGTACCATTTAGTTTATTGGCCTGTATTCCTGTGCAGATGTAAACCTGTGCGTCGTCGCCACATCTGCGTCAGTCGGCGATCAACCAGGTAGGGTCAGTTCCAAGCCATCTGCGATAAGTATACTTCCGGACAGCTCCCCGTAGCTCTGATCGTAGAAGAATCCGCGATCACAAAAGGCTGAAAAGAACATAGCCATCTACTGAGGGCCAATATAAGAAATCGTTACGTCATAACGTGTCAAATCGGGTCATAAAGTGCCTAAAGGCCCCCATGATCATATCTTTATCTTTTTTCTAAAAACTGAATCTAACAGATGTAATCCATTTTCCCTGTAACTCGATGACACCTCCATTATGTTGCACCACTAATTAGGAGCAATTTGTTTGGAGGAGAGTTATTTCCGGCACACCATCCCCTGCCCCTCAGCGTTTCGCACAGTCTCTTCACTCGGATCGACAATGGAATATTGTTTATCTTTATTTTGTAGACACGTGAAGTGTTTCTCTGCAGATTCCTAGACGTGTGAGGAGGGAGCAGCTGGCTAACATACTTTTCTTCTAGTCGATTTAGGCACATACAATGCTCTCTATATGTTATAGACTTTTCTTTTTTAATTTCTTAAATGAAACCAAACGGTTTCACTGTATCGAGTGGGTTATATTTTATTTTAAACGGATTCCCAATGGTTTTGACAGAGCTGTTCAGGGATCAACAAAGACCCCACCACGTCTACAATAACAAATAATATATTGGGAGGGAATGCCAAATAATGTTTATTGTGGCAAAGATTTGAGATTCTAAAAATGATAAATTAACTACGAAAAATGCCAAATGGACTGGACTGGACTGGTCCGGCTGCCATTTCCTATAAGGCCAAATATGTTTGACGGCCGACAATAAGCTTAAATAGTGCCAAAATACGAAAAAGTACACACACACACACACAATTGGCCCCGACTAGTCAGTCAATTCAAATTGGTACATACCAAAAATCCGTACGTACATATGTACATATGGCTTTGGGCTTTCAGAAGATGAGGAAGTGTTGGTGCTCCCACTGTTATTTTCGCATTTGCGGCGCAATTACTCAGCCAGAGATCGTGATCGAGGTCCAACTGAGCGATATGGCAACTATCCCTCTGTGTATACAGTCGTGGTCATTAGAATAGTGAATAGTCAAGTTTACCCAGTAACTTTTAGTGTTTTTCTTGGTTTTCTAATTAAAATATAAAACTTATTTGTACAATATAAATAGAATTTAGAGAGTCTTAACAACCTCAAAAAATAGATAATACAAACACAAAAAGTATAATCCCTTCCCTGTTTTTTTAAATCCGTTGGAAAAAGAGCTAAATTGGCCTTACTTTTGCTGGTTGGGGGATGCAGCGGACGGATTCAAAGAGTATGCTTGGGGGGGGGGCTTTCAGCAAAATGACTTTCGTAGGTGATTCCAACGTCATTGCTATATCCTATGTTCCGCCTTTCCGGAGGATGTGCCCCCCAGACGTGTCTATACGGTAGGCAGGCAGGCAAGGCAAGGCAGCACAACCTAGAAGAATAAGGTGGGTTGCGTCAGTTGTTTCGGTGGCCTTGACCAAAGTAATGTGTGGGAAGATTAAACCCTCAACGAACGTAAACAATGGGGCATCTTAAAGTAATCCTTTAAGAAAGCCTCCCTGCTTAAGGCAACTCTCGAGAGCAAAACCCAGCGTAATCGCATCAACTGTGCCGTGAGCACTGCACTGCACACGGGATGGTAATCAATATCAATGCAAAGATAAGCCCTGTGACTACAGCTACTCCATGGCCGTAGTCATCTTCATCTTCATAGGCTAAATGCTGTTCAGCCGAGTCGATTTGCATTGCATCCCAGAAAGACAGGACCTCTTTTTGGTCAAGCACTCGCCTCGAGGTATGCAGCATATTTTTTTTTTGTACTAGCACCGGATGCCTTACAGTCGGGGCAGGCGGATAGTAAATGAGGTTAATAAGGGCAGGATGGATGGGGTGACCATTATATGCAGTGGAAAACTTGAGTAAAAAGTGCCAACACACACCTATCATATTATTATATTATATTTTATATATAATAAAAATATATTGTGTGCGAAATAATGTGAGGAGGACATAACCGATGCGAAGCAAATTAATAAACTTCTGCTAACTGGGGGGCAAGTGTGTGAACAAAAAAAAAAAAAAAGCTAGAGGCAGCAAAGAGTCAGGCCAACAACAACGAGGAGAGCAGGAAACCTCCCTCGCAAACGGAAACTCATTTGCCAACAGTTTGAAACCAACTTCCGGCCCAGTAACGACGACAACGACAAGGGCAGCGCCTGCGACAAATGCACGACAAAAAGTCACATTTAAAAGGGCGAATAGGGATGGTATGCCAGGCCAGAGGTACGGGGGAGTTAAATATACATATATTATATATTTGTATATAGTTGTAACATCAACAAATTCATTGCTACTTGGCAAATTAAAATATAAACGACAACCCAAAAAATTGTATTTACCTACGTTTTCCATTCTCTTAACATTGCGCATTGATTTTTAAATAAATTTGTCCTGTAAATATCCTTTCTAAGGAGACGGGGTTGTTTGCCAGGTAAAGGCATTCGCTAAGTAAATAGAGCGGCACCGACTTACATAATTTAATTAAACCCTTTTTAATTTGCTAGAAGTAATAAGTCTTTGCCAGCGATGCCAACTAATGCTTTACATGATTGACAAATGAATGAATTGATGGGGAACAGAGGGAGAAGAGCCTTATTGATTATATTTCTCACTTGATCTTGGGCATTTTACATAGAGGAGTTGAATTTATGTATTTAATTTGATAGTTTTTATTATTATTTATTAAATTAATTAATTATTCCTAGATTTTGTTTGTATAATAATATTCTGCGAATTTATTTTTAATGTGAAAGAGTTGAATTTTTTTTTGTTAATTTGATATTTTTTTTATTATTTATTATATTATTCCTAGATTTTTTTTTTTAATATTCTGGGAATTTATTTATTTAATGTGATTTTTTATTATTATTTATATTATTAATTAATTATTCCTAGGTTTTTTTTTTAATATTCTGGATATTTATTTATTTAATTTGATTTTTTATTATTATTTGTATTATTAATTAATTATTCCTAGATTTATTTTGTAATATTCTGGGAATTTATTTATTTAATGTGATTTTTTATTATTATTTAAATTAATTATTAATTATTCCTATATTTTTTTTTAATATTCTGGATATTTATTTATTTAATGTGAATTTGAATTATTTTTTATATTATTAATTAATTATTCCTAGATTTTTTTTTATATTCTGGGAATTTAATTATTTAATGTGAAGGAATCGTACTTATTTATTTAATGTGATTTTTTTATTATTATTTGTTATAAAATTTAATTATTTCTAGATTTTTTTTAATATTTTGGGAATTTATGTATTTAATGTTATTTTTTTTTATATCAATGCAATATTCTGTGTCTAGAGCTCTTTCTGGTTATTTACTACTTGATTTTATTGCTTTTAAATAATTGTAAATCAAGGCTATATAAATAACTTTGCTTCAGTTTATAACCATGAAACTTCTTTAAAACTTGTTGTATTATTGTACTTTTTACTTGGAAATTTCAAGTGGACTTTCTGCATCCAACTTGTATCCTTGTAATATGTACTTAGGACTCGGGGAAAAATTGAATTCCAATACTAGTTAGTGCATATTTTTAGTTGGACGGTTGGATTACCTCATTGTATTACTTATATTTGTGAGATGAGCTTTTCAAGCTGACTCCCGAGGCTTGTCAACTGATTTAATCCCACTTAAATGTTCTTTGAAAAACTTGTTTATTTCATAAAATACTCTCAACCATCATCTGAATTTCGCTTCAAAAAACCCTTGCCTTGCCTTGCTTTATTCTGTATATTCCCCAACCTGCCTTATGCTCATCCCCATTTGGAATCAATGCCACGTGAATATGTTGTCGTAGTTAAATAGCCTGGCTACCTTCCATTTACCCTTTCCTCTTAGTTCCTATCAGCTAACGTGGGTGTTGATATATGACTGTATTGTGCACATGAGGATTGAGCCCTGGTGAGTGGGAGTACAAACACCCACCCATCTATCCATCCGGTTGGGTGGCTGCACTCTTTCGCAGGAACTCTGGCTGCATTGGGAACGCTTTTTTAAGTTTATATCAGATTACGCGCAAATAGTTCCATAAATCATTCTTCATGTTGATTATAAAAATAGCTTTTACCTCGAAACGTAGCACCGCTGCTTGGCTAGTTTTCATTTTAATGAGCGCACCGTGCTCTCTCCCCTGCAACTTATTAAGCCATATTGGTGTCATTGCCTCCTCCGTTTCTGCGAATGCAGGTGGGAGTCCCAGTTCCAAAATGCTATCATTAAAGGACGCGGGCCAGCAAAACCTGGCACATTGAAGTCGCACGCAAGCGAAGCGTCTTAACGGGAATGGAGCGTGGGTGGTTAGGGGGGAGAGGAGCCTTTTGGGGTAAAGGAGCGCGGCGAAAGTGTGTTAATGTCAAAATGGTTACACAAGCTAGCGGCGGGCACGCACAAACAAATAAATAAGAAACATGCATATACAAACTTTGACATCAACTATTTTCTATACAAAATTGTTTTCGGGGAGTCCCTGGAACGGTTTTGGAAGAGACAAAGACGGAGAGGGAATTCCCTTGCATGTAAAGGCTTCATATAGCATAGAAAGGATATAAATTTGATAGAATTGCGAAAAAACCTTGGCCAGATTAACAAAGATGTTTTATTTACTCAGGAAACTAAAGCCTCTTAAATGTGAAACACAAACAGATGTTGTTAAAAAACAAGAAGGCGTTTTTTTATATTGTTAGATAGATTTAATAAAATACATTATTATTATAATAATAATAAGAATACGTTTTCATGAATTTAAGGTTTAAGGCAAGCCACGAAAATACAACATTTTAGATTTTATTTTACTATTTTTCTCATCTTTTGGCCGTTTTTTCTGATTTACCTTGTTCAGTTCCTTTGCTAGCGAATTGCATTTGTTTTTGTGGTACATTTTTCATAAAAACTATGGCGAATTTGCGCTAAAAATTCTACCTTAAAAAAATATCACACATGTGCACATGTAATTCCCAACTGGTTTTAACCTTCCCGGAGTGAAGTGAAGGTGACCGAGCCTTAGCAGATGCTATTTAATAAATGATATTATTTATTGGATATGTTTTAGTACATTGTTATTTACCCTCAAAGTGACTTTACTGTTCGTTAAATTAAGAAATATTGCCCTTAAATTTAAAAAAGCAGCTTTTTAAAACGATTTTAGGTAACAGTTTTTATAAGTATACTTACTAATAATTATTTAGTAACTAACATAATGTTTTTTTTTTCATTTCCTTTGCAGATTGTAACCCGCACCTATTACCTTCAGGAAGCCAGTTGGAGGTCATGGAATCAGGTTATATATGGCCAAGAAAAGCCAAGGAGTCCCTCTCAACTTAAAACCGAGTTCTAAATTCTCCTGAGAGAGGTCCTTCCTTAGGAGATAGAACCAAAAGCGAGCCAATCATGAAACATTGTAAGTTTGCAATATGAGAAACCATTATTCCAGATACATATACATAGTTCCCAGTTTTACCTTTAAAAATGTATCCTTAAACTTACATTTTCCCAAAAATTACACCTTTTCTTAATCGATTTTCATCGATTATGGTTGATATCCTTCACAGCAAATATTTCCATACACAAGGACATGATGGAATTCGGATAACTGCTAGCAAAACGATACGAAATTAGTGAATAAATTATCCTTTTAGCGGCTGGAAAAGCACGTTAAAAAATCATGAAACAAAGATATATTGACATACAGGCAGCAAAACCACGTAAATGATATCACACATTCAAAACGCAGCGACTCTGAAGCTCTTCTAGAACCCCCATTCCCCCCCCACACCCCCATACCCCACTCCTAACTATACACGGAATATAGCCAGAAAGAGGAGGAGGAGCAGGCCGATAGGGCCCAGAGAGAGGCAGCGAAGCCGCAGCCATGGAACCGCCCGGTGGAGTGCCGCCGGATAGGGATAGGCAGCTAGTGCTAAGGAATCCCTCATCGGCTCTTGTCCCCGTGGTTGTTTCCGCTCCGGTTGCGGCAGCTGCTCCCAATCCGACGCCGCAGCAGCCACCGCCGCCGCCGTTGTCTTCGTCGCAGTATGCCAAGCCAACCAGTCTCAATCTTCAGCCACATACCGTGCTCCAGGCAATGCAACAGTTGTCACCATCGGCCGCCGGCAACAACAATGCATCTGCAGCAGGAACGACGGCCGCCGCCACCAGCAGCAGCAGTGGGAATGCCAATAGTGGCAACAGTCCCGCTTTGGCATCCACCGCCACGGCCATATCCGCCACAACGCAGGCGGCCACAGCCTTTAGCGGTAGTTCCGTTGGCCACCATCATTTGCAGCATCACCAGCATACCCAGCATACGCATCTTCAGCATACCCAACAGCAGTCCCAGGCAGGAGTAGGAGGAGGGACTGCCACTGCACCGAGCACCACCACGTCACTACATCAGCATCACGGCTCTATAAGCGGAACTGGAGCGGGCAGTGGCGGCCTCATTGGTGGGGGTGGTGGTGGCAATCAACAGCAGACCATAGAGAAGCTGTCGCGTCCCATGGCCTTTGATAAGGTGAGTGGGTGGCATCATCCGTAAAGAGATACCTTCTTTTTACTTGACTATTTTCCATTTAGATGGAAATGCTGGTGCGTGAGATGCAGGATCAGGAGCATGGCGTACCCGTGCGGCAGCAGAAAATGTTCCTGACCTCCATACCGTATGCGTTTATGGGTAAGTTTAACTGACATTTTGACAGAATATTATCCTTTTTTTTTTTAGAAGTAGTAGGTTCTATCCTTTTGAGGAGTTGTATCCTTTCCCAAGCCACATATCTCGCCCATTTTAGCATCAAATTAATGATTACAACTCCCATTTCCGCGCAGGATACGATCTAATCGAATGGCTAATGGATCGCCTGCAGATCGAGGAATCGGAGGCCCTCAATATAGCCAACCAGCTGTGCCTGCACGGCTACTTCTTTCCGGTGAACGACTCAAAGACGCTGACCGTAAAGGATGACTCGTCGCTGTATCGTTTCCAGACACCCTACTACTGGCCCTGGCAGCACAAAGCTCCGGATAATGTGGAGTATGCCATCTATTTGGCCAAGCGATCGCTAAGGAACAAACAACGGCACGCACTGGAGGACTATGAGGCAGAGGCTTTGGCCTCGCTGCACAAAAACCTTAAAGGCAAGTGGGATTTCATTTCGATGCAGGCCGAGGAGCAGGTGCGTTTGGCCAAGGAGCGCAAGAAGGGTGACAAGATTGTGGGGGACTCGCAAGAGCGAGCCTATTGGCGTGTCCACCGTCCACCGCCTGGCCAGTTTACACCGCTGGAACCCTGTCCGGTGCCGTCGCGCGATCGTCAGGGCCTCAAGCCGAACAAAAAAAAGACTGTCGAGGATATGCAGCGCGATGTTGACTATCTGGGCAAATCGCTTAATCGGACGCGTATGAAGATGTCGCAGGCTTGCGAGTCGCTTGTTTGCTACTCGGAAACCTTCACCGAATATGACTTCTTTCTGCAACCGGCTCTGCCCTCTAATCCCTGGGTCACCGAGGATGTGGCCTTTTGGCAGCTGAACAATACCTTTGTGGAGATACCCACTGAGAAAAGGGTCAAGCGTTGGGCCATTTCGATAGAGGAGCTGGTGTCGGATCCGACGGGTCTGCAGGAGTTTACGGGTTTCCTGGAGAAGGAGTATTCGCATGAGAATATACGCTTTTGGATAGCCGTGAATCGTCTACGGAGGTCTGCTCACTCCCAGGTGGCGCGAAAAGTCAATGAAATCTATGAGTACGTAAAAATGCTCCAGGAAAACTTGCAGGAAAACCTTACCCTTTTCCCTTTACAGAGAATTTCTAAAGCCTGGAGCACCCTGTGAGATAAACATCGACGGCAAAACTATGGAGAGCGTTTTGCGTGGCTTGAAGAACCCCTCGCGCTTCACCTTTGACTCGGCCTCCGAGCATATATACATGCTGCTGCTGAAGAAGGACTGCTATCCGAGATTCATACGATCGGAGCACTATAAGCGCCTGCTGGACACTGGCATACAGCCGTCGTACAAGAAGCGTTTCTTTAATTTTGGCGGTGTGAGTGGTGCCAAAAAGAAAATGACGGCTGCCTTGTCCAGTCAACCGAATTTGGGTGAAGCGGCCAAGGGTTCTGCCGGCAGTGGTGGTGGTGGTGCCTCTGGCAGCTGCTCCATGATGCAAGCACCGCCGCCTGGTAATTTGGCGCGACGCCGGGGCAGCGATCGTAGTCTGACGGGCTCGGCCCATGAGCTGGCCGTGATTGGGGTTAACAAGGAGGCCGGCTCCAAGGTACCGCACTCTCATTCCCAGAGTAATCTCAGCGAGATTCCGTTTAGGTAAGTGAAAGTAAAAGAAATGAAGAAAAAAGAAGAAAAAAAAGAAGAAAAAAAAGAAGAAAAAACAAGACAAGAAGAGCGGAAGAGCAAAGGCGCGTTTTCAATAAATGATTTTTAAGAGCAAGCTAATATATTTTAATTTTTATTTATATATTTTTCATTTTATTTATATATTTTTCTTAGTATTTTTAATTTAATTTTTGATTTAATTAAATTTTTTCCTAAATTGAAACTGAGAAAAGCCAAAAGCTTACATCATTTTCATTTGGGAAATGCAATCTCAAGCTTTTCCTGTGCATAAATATGATTTTATATATTTTATACACCATGCTCACGACCTTGATAATCGATACCAAAACCGATACCGATAACAACCTGAATACCCTCAAGCTCAACCTCAACCTGAACCTCCACCTCAACCTCCACCTCCACCTCCACCTCAACCTCTCAACTTGAATTTAAATTGTATGAAAACCAAAAAATTTGAACAATTGATATACTAAAACAATTGATTATATATACCATATGCCATATATATATATATATATATATTATATATATATACAACGTCACACACATGCACTGCAGTAGCGATTCGATTTATCGGGGCGATATGCCACAGCGCCACATGGCGATCATGGATATTGGGATATATGCGGCCTACGGGAATCGCGAAAGTAGTTTGCAGGCAGTTCCGTAAGACATCTTTATTCATTTCGGTTTCATCTTGTATCAGAAAAACAAAACAAAAATATATATTTCCAACTATTTCCAAAACCGTACAACTAGTTTTCCCCTCCTCGTTCTTTATATCGTTCGATCTGTGCATAGACCCAACCAACCTTAACTCTGTCCAAAACACTTGCGTTTCTTAATTATATACTTTCTCTCTGTGTCGCCTGTTTCAGTCATTTGTTTAAGGATCCTTAAAGGATAACACCTAGGACGGGAAATAAATTCATTTTAGTGTATAGGTTTTGTCTAAAAAAAATATAACTAAAATAAATTGATTAAAAAAACTAAAATTATATAGGTTCGATCTTTTTTAAGAAATAAATTCTAAAAATAAATCGATAAAAATCGATAATTTAAATAATTAAAATATATATTTCTATTTATAATAGTAATAATAAATAATAATAATAATAAATAATTAAAATCAATATAAATTACATCACAAGCTAAAACACAAATTTTACTATTACTAATTAAAATTAAATTAAAAATTCAAATGAATTTTATATTTAAAATACTTAACTATTAAGATCCGATAGTCCGTCTTAGTAATCATGTCCCAGAAAGTTATCTTTATCATTACTATTTCTATATACTGTTTTTAGTTACCCTGGTGTTACCTTATTTATAAATTTGTGACGGAATAGGCGACATGCTATTCTTGTGTACATTTTTACTTGTTGTAAAACTTCACCGCCAAATGACTGCCTTTGTTATTCCCCCAGTTCTTGTAGAGCCACCTCATGAGTGTATTTAATTCGTGGAGAATTATATGATATATAATTTGAAGGGATCAATTATGTACTTGGATCATTGTTGAATCTGTTGAGCTATAACTGGGTATCTGTCGTCCGTCAATAATTCATTGAGTTTAATTTGGAAAGCGTTTTTGTTTTAGTTTTTATACGGTTTATAAATCCGCAAACTAAATTTGGGATTTATATTTATTTTTTTTTTTAAATTTAATTTTTAAAAATTCTGAATTTTTTTAAATAATATTTGGAAACATTTTTTAATTTTAATTTTTTTTTAAATTTAATTTTAAAAAATTCTGAATTTTTAAAAATTTAATTTAAAAAAATTCTGAATTTTTTAAAAATAATATTTGGAAATAATTCTTAGTTTAAGCAAAAAATGCATTAAATTTAATTCAGTAAGCGGGGTTGTTTTATTTTTAATATGAAAACCAAATCGGCATACTACATTTTTTGTTTCGTTTTTTAATTTAATTTTTTTAAAATTTTTTTAATAATTTAAAATGACAAAATTATGAAGAAGAGTTTGATGTTTTCTTTTTAATTTATTTAAAATATTTACAAATTTTATATCATTTTTATTTAATTATTTTTTAATTTATATTTTAATCTAAAATCTAAATTTATTTAAAATATTTATAAATTTTATAATATTTTTTTTTTTTTTTATATTTTAATTAAAATCTAAAATTATTTAAAATATTTAACAATTTAATATAATTTTTTTTAAATTTATTTAAAATATTTATAAAATTTATATCATTTATTTTTAAATTTATTTAAAATATTTATACATTTTATATAATTTTTTTTTATTTATTTAAAATATTTATACATTTTATATATATATATTTTTTTAAATTTATTTTTTAATCTAAAACTCAGTCAAAAATGCATTAAATTTAACTCCGATCCCCAATTTCTAGAAATTCACAATTTTCGTTCTAGTTTTGTAGCCTTTCTCACGAATCAAGTGCCGCGTACGTGGCTCCAGAGTCGGTCCCTGTCGACTATAGCATTCCTCCCAATAGCTGATAGCTGTTTCACTGTCATGTCCCCCCAGCCCCTCGGCTGCTGGGGGCTCTCTATATTAATCCCAAAAGTCACCGCTGTGACCCTGTGTTTTTTGCCTCGCTTGCTTCTTCAAACTGTCTCCGAAAATATGGTTTCGATCTCTTTTCTATATGCTCGAATGTTGTTGCTGTTGTTATTGTGTGTTCTGTACATTTTTCAACAAACAAAAACAAAAAAATTATTAAATTAAATACAACAAAAAAAAAAAAAGAAATGAGACTGTTGACTGTTGACGCCTTTTCCCCCCTCTTCCGTTACCAGTGTACATAAGCTTATACGTAAGTCTATATGTTAAACACCAGCATTCCTTCTTAACCACTGTCTAAGTGTGAACTATGCTTCGTTATTTTGGAGACTCTCTTCAAATGTTTACCTCACTTTTCCCCCCCTCCCCTAGAGAAACGCCAAAGACAAAGTCCACCGTTCTGGAGACATCAGAGTCCACCGCCTTGGTTTTGGCCAGCAGCAGCGCTGTCTGCCCCTGGGATGAACCAGCCGAGCCCACAGCCCAGGTGAAGCTATCTGTGTGTCCCTGGGAGCTGGACAGTGTGCCAGAACCGCCAGCAACCACCACAGTGGCGGTGACAACGATGATTCCCTCGAAGATCTCGCGTTCCGCCGCCGCCGTCCAGCCGCTGCGTTTGAACAGGTAAAGGAAAATGGTTCTCACCTGTGAAGCTCAGGTAATCTATCAGGTAATTCCTATCCTGACAGCACTTCCTCGGACAACAGCGATGTGAACGATCGGCTGCAGCGGAATCTGGGCATACGCCACCAGAACACTGTGGACAGCGGCGAGGCAAGCATAAAGCGTTTGGTTCCCAGCTTCACCGAGCAGCGACGGGCTTCGGTATCATTTACACCCAGTCGCACACCTGATTTCCAATTGGGACGCACTCCAACGACAACGACAACATCCTCCTCGCCGATTGTGGCCAGCAGCAGCCAGAGCCAGAGCGTGAGCAATTCCACGCCACTGCAACAGCAGCAGGTCAACATCATTGCCAAGGATCCGCCATCCGGCTCGGATGTGGATGCCATAGAGCTGGAGGAGGAGCTCAACAAGTTGTCGCTTAGCGAATCTTCAGCCTCGGAGCTGCCGCTTGTAGTTATACCCACCCCCACGCATACCCCGCCGCCCATAACCAAGATAACGCCACCACCACCACCACCGCCGGGAGAGGGAAATAGCAGCGGCAGCAGCTCCTCTGTGGGGAATTGCCTGCCAGCTGCAGATCCTGGTTCCCCCGGGCCTCCAACTGGGACTGGGACTCTGGTCAAGGAGGTGCAAATCGAGTTGATCGAGTCGGGAGAGGAAACAATAGCAATAGCAGCCAGTCCGCCCACCATCAAAGTCCTGGAGCTAGAGGCAATTACTCCGGTATCCTGTGAGCCCGCTGACCCAGGCCAGGACCCCAAGACAGAGACTACCACCGAGAAGGAACCACTGTTGGCTGAGGAGGAAACAGCAGAGAATGTTGTGGCCGAGGAGCCGGTTTTAGAGGAGCTATCACCCACCACCGATGAGTACCAGGAGGGATTGCAGTTTGGCAGCGACACCAAGGATGTGGTGGATGACTACGACAGCATAGATGCTGATCTGCAGCTTGGCTACATACCGCCAGCACCCACACCGGCTCCCTCGATGGCTCCACTGGCCGAGTTGGATGTGGACACGGTGGATGATGAGCCCTGCGATTCGGGAAGAGAGCCAATAGCGTCCGCTACGGCCACGCCCACATCCAGCAACGAAGAGGCGCGCAAGCGTCGCAAGAAACGAAACTCAGAGGGCAAGAAGCTTGGCGGCTCGCAGGATGACAAGGAGAAGGAGAAGGAGAAGGCCGGTGGAAGCAGCATCAGTGCCGCCGATCACAATGCAGTGTGTCCCTGGGAAGATGAGTGAGTAATCAAAGTATTGAGTTTATATTTAAATTTTTAGATTTAAAAAGAAATGTTTATATACTTGGCTAACTTGCTATATATATATATATATATATATATATATCCTTCGATTTCCACAGGAACGTGAGCACCAACGACGGCACCTTTGTGAAGACATACGCCACACTGGGATACTTATGAATAAAACCAAATCTGTTCAAGACGGTGGTCAACAAGTTGCTGAAAAGGAAGTCATACAAGAAGTAGGGCCTGGGTAGCTAAGTCTATATCTATTATAGTACGAGCATATATTACAACGTAAGTGTAAGTAATTCAATAATTGAATGTACATGTTAAAGCTTCTCATGTTCTTGAAATCACACAAACTAGAGTTGCGAAAAAATCGATTATTAATCAAATTAAATCGAAATAGACTTTTTGTAATTTTTTTAAAATTAATTTTTCATTAAATAATCGATTATTTAATATTCGATGATCGATTTTTACCCTCAAAAATCAAGTTATTAATGATTTTCGGCTTCAAATATATACGAAATTATACTGAAAATCCGTTCAGACTTTTAAAACCTTAACGATAATCAAAGAATTGATAGTATCGATTTTAAAATCGATTTTTTCGCATCTCTAAACGAAGCCACAGAAGAAAAGCAAAGCCCCCGGCAAAAGTGGTTAATTGCTGAAAAATTTCCAAATAATGTTTAAAATAAAACGGCTACAGAAATTAAATACTTTATCTACAAGCATAACTTATAAACAAATCAAAGGAGAGTGGTTGCAGGAGGCCGCTTTCTGATCAGTTGTAAAAAATGGAGCTTAGATTCGGAGACAGAAAATATTTAATGTATACAATGTATATGAAGTTTTAAGCAAAATGAGAACCCACATAGTCCTGTCCTATGTTCAAGTTATATATATATATATATATATATATATAAATATTCGTAGCTTAGATCCCCCCCAACAGCGTAGATCCGACACACAGAGCCTAGGAAAATATATCCTTGGTCTTTCAAGCCAGGGTTATCCTGTGTGTTTTGTGTGTCCGACCTCTATGAGATTGTCATTTGATTATTTGATTTTTGTTATATTTATTTTAACCGTGCCTTTAGCTAGAAATACCTGCGATTGGCTGAAGCTAGAAATATATACTTTTGTTACCATTAAACAACACTCAAAGCCGAGATTCCTTTGTTGATTGAACTAGCTATTAACATAAAGTAGAAGTACGAAATGTTATTCCGCACAAATTGAACTGAATTTCACACTAAAGTTTTAACGAAATTATAAAGTTTAATTTCATTTAACCAGAAAGCTCTTTGTTCTTTTCTTAAACACCTCTAGTTTCAGTTATTTGTTTAAATTTATTTCTAATATTATTACTTAACCCAAGAAAAGCAGTTTCATTTTCCGCGTACATGAAGCAACTCACGAGCCCCAAAACATATGTGCAGGGCAAATGAAACTACTGTAGTTAAGGGGTCTAATTTTAAGTTGAATTTTTAAATTTAAAATTAAAATCTTTGAAGAACTCCCAACTATTTAGGAACTGAGGTAAACTCTAATTATGTTCTTGTTATAGTTTTTGTATTACGTTACGTTTGCTTAATTACTTGTGAGTTTTAAATAGTACTAGCACATTTCCCTCAACTCTTCAACTCTTCAACTCTCCAACTCTATGTGACTAGACACAAACAATCGCAGAAATCGAGCTATGCTGTAATTAAACATTAAAGAAAAAAAACAAACAAAGCCCACATCTATTGGATCTATCGATCTGTCGGTGACGCACATCCTTGAGATCATCCTTGAGGCCACAACACACCGTTACAAAACGATCAAGCAAATCAAATTCAAAATGAAATCCTGGTTGTTTGCGACTAATAAAACCTTTCTACGAATCGAATCGAAGGAATATAACTTATCTTAAAAAACAAAAAACAAAACTATTAGTTCTAAGAAACTAAGAATATTTCTATTTTCATTGTGCATTAGCTATTTACTGTCGAAGCCCGTTTTGCTGGTAAACAATCTTTATATATGGGATATCGATATCTGCATTATCTTTGTGCTTTCTATATGCTGTAATACATTTTTCAACTACTTCAATTAACTAAAAAAAAAAAAAAACACAACTAAAAAGCTAAACAAACTCAAAAGCTAAAAAACTATAACAAAACAAACTATAAAAACTATACAAAAAATGTACCAAAAGTTCGAACAAAAACCTAAGAAAATCAAAGTAAAAGAGTAAATGTTTTTGGTTAGCTAAGATATTACGAAGGGAGAGGAAGAAGGGTATAGGGATAGACAGGAAGTGCGTACAAAATGTGTACATGAAACCACCGTTAAACTTTGCTTAATGCGAGCCGAGCAATTAAAAGAGTTAAAAATCAGCAGCAGCAGCAGCGTCAAGCATCAGCAGCAATAGTTCCAAAATTGTTGTCAAAAAAAATAAAAACGAGAGTAAAAATAAAATAAATAAAAATTAAAGCAAGTAAATAAGTATAATAATAATAATAATAATAGCAGCTTTTAGAACAACACCAAAAAATAAAGTTGTAGTAAAATGTGCAGAAGCAAAATTGTATTGTTGTTTTTTATGTACATTTACTTTTTTGTATTACCAAAAGAAAAATTGTTGTAAGTCAAATATGCCAAACAAAAATAGTTTACTAAGCGTTTACAAACAAAAATAAAATACAGGCAAGATATGAATTACTTTAAAAAATAACAAAAAATCACAAAGAACAAGTTCCGAATGTTTTTCGAGTAGTCAAAGGAGTCAAAGGATCAAGAGATCTTAATGGCTTAAACTAGGCCAAAGATCTTTGGTATCTGACAGATACAAAAAGCCAGGTGGCACGACTTTCGAGTTCAGTGTTTCCCTGGCACTCAAAGAACCAGCTTAAAATTATCAAATTATTTTTGAAATATTTATTAAATTATTTTAACATACATTTAGAAAATTAACTAACCTTTTCTTAATTTAATGAACTTTGGTTATGAATTTATGGCTTGATCAACTATTCAGAGCTGTAATTTCCCCTCAGTTATTAACAATATTGTACTAACTATATTGTTCTTTGAGTGCCGGGCGAAAGTTCAAGTAGAGAAAAGAAAATATCTTCAAGGATAAAGAAGTTGCTGCTGCCGTCACCAAGCCATTTTGATAAAACAACAAGAAAAGAGAAGAAATACAAGCTAAAATATAGAAAAAATACAAGTAAATGTACACTACAACACACGAACAAACACGAACAAACACGAACGAACACTAACGAACGAGCGAACGAACGAACGGTGAGTAGCATTGCCCTACAAATATTTACTTTAATTTCTGAATAATTAGTGCTCATATCACTGATTAGAGAACAGGAATGCGCAAAAACAATATGCTTATACCTAAGATTCCAGAGCTTTTAGTAAACGCCATGTAAATTCTGGGTCATGAATAAATAAAAAAAAAAAAACTATGAAAAAAAAACCATAAAAAACAAAAAAGAGAAACAAAAAAAAAAAACAGTTGTGAAAAGTGAGGCGTTTGTTATTATGTATGCATGTATCCAAGTCATTAACTAATGATGTCGGGGGTGTGGTATATATATATATATATATATATATATATATACAAGAATATATATAATTATGTATATTTACTGATTGTTATAGCAAATTTAGTATTTAAACAAATTACTGCAGAATAAAAATCATTGTTTGTCTATTTATTATGCCATTAAAAATATAAGTGTATACAGCTTATACTATAAAAAAGTGTTAAAAACATGGATTATTTTGAAGAAAACGAAAAAAATAAAACATGAATATACAAACAAGAAGAATGTTAGTCAGTAAACAAAAATCAAATGTAAAACAATTTAAATGTAGACTGTACTAAAAAAAAAAAAAAAAATTCAAAGAAAAAATTGAATATCAACCACTCCATCACGCAGAATAACTAAGAGAGAGTTCGCAAATTGCATACAAAAGTTGGATGGACAAATTATTTGCACAGTGCAGAAAAACGTGTTATAAAATTATTATTATACTATACAAGAAATATATTATTGAATTATGCTGATAAAATTAAAACAAAACAACAAAAAAACCAAACAAAAAACAGAAACAAAACCATAAAAGTATGTATAAAATTCAAATACAAAATGATTTAAATGAAGTACAATAAATATTCAAGTGACGAACATGTACAAGGGGTTTCTCTTTATTCTCTAAAGGTTTTGATTATTTTGGATAATTTTTTATGATTTCTGCATGTGTTGCTGCAGAGTTTCCAGCTTGTTTAGCCCGTTCAGCTCCTTAACCATCAGGCACAGGCTGGCGGTGCCGCCAATCCTTTCAGCGAGGAGGAACAGCTGGCACACACCCGTCAGCACGAATCCCATGCTTCCAGCAGATCCATAAATGGCTTAAGGATTTTGTACCTTTCCATAATAAAAACAATATCTGGCTGATTGAGCCCAAGGTCAGGGTGTTGGTCACCGCCCAGGCGGCCTGCCTCTGAGCCTTGAAGTCGCCCGTCTCCAGGACAGGCCCGCCTCTATCACGGCCTGGATGTGCCCACGATTGCCTGTGCTTATGTTGCTGACCCTCCAGGCAGCTTCCTTGACTATGTAGCTCTTGTAGTGCTGCAGCAGGGGTCCCAGCGAAGGCAGTCCTCCAGAGTCAACGACCGCATCGGTTTGCTGATCCGTTCCGGTGACGATCAATGATGCTCGGTTCATCCATTTGCAGGAGTTTCATAAGGCCCGGCACCACATTGGCATTGATCACGGCCTGGATCATATTCCTGCCATCGGAGTTTGTCACATCGGCCAGCACCTGGATGTTCTGGCTTTGGGGAAGTTGCAAAAGCACCGGTAGCAGACGCCGCACCTTTCAAATTGTAATAATTTTTGGGAAAAAATCAAAATTTAAAAATTTCATAACAAAGCCAAAAATGCCTTAAATTCAATTCGGAAAAGTGTTTTGAGTTAGTTTTTCCAAGGTTAATAAATCTGCATACTTAATTTGATATGTTAAAATTTGATCAATTTTTGCAAATTTTAATGATGTAACCCCTTACAAAATTTTCGAAAAATTAAAAAAAAAAAAATTTCCTCCGGACATGGCTAGATAGACTCGGCTGTTGATGCTGATCAATAATATATATGGTTTATGGGGTGGGAAATGACTCCTTAACTGTTTTGCAAGCTTTTGAATGAAATTATTATCATTTATGAATAATTTTAAAAATTTAATAATTAAGAATAATTCATTATTAATCATTATTTAATAATTATTTATAATTTATTTATAATTTGTTCTTGAATACATATGGCACAATAATTAATAATAATAATAATAATACTAATATTACTTGAGTTTTTATATATAAACCAAAATGTTCGTTTAGTTCTTGCCTGTTTTGAGTTCTAGCTTTAAATAGCTAAATCCGATAACAGCAAAGAGCGCAGCACTGGCAGCACTAGTTAATCGATATCGATAACGCAGCGTTGCCAGACATGCACCAAATGCGATTTTCTTTTGTTTAGCGGCTGTGCTTGTGTATGTGTGTGCGTGTGTGCGTGAGAAAATTGAAAGAAAAGATTCCCAGCGTCATCAGGTGTAAACATTAAACATCCAAAGTAAAGCAAACCCCCGAGACGAGGACCAGCAACAGGAGCTCAGCTTTCGGTAGGCAGACGGAACCCGAGAAACGGCCTCAAGATTGGCAAGATACGCAAGAACAAGAAAATGAGCTACAACGAGAAGTCGGAGGCCATTAGCAAGGAGGAGTGGCTGCAGCGCCTCGAGCAGTTCCCCTTCAAGCAGGCGGACATGAATCGCCTCATCATGAACTACTTGGTCACAGGTGAGCAGCGAGCGAGCATCCATTCCTTAATCCCACATCTCCGATTAATCCCCGCCATATTCCCGCTTCCAGAGGGTTTCAAGGAGGCCGCCGAAAAGTTCCAACATGAGGCCGACCTGGAGCCAAGCGTTGAGCTCAGCAGTTTGGATGAGCGCATCCTCATCCGTGAGGCCGTGCAGGCGGGCCGCGTTGAAGAGGCCATCCAGCTGGTGAACCAACTGCATCCCGAGCTGTTTGGCAGCAATCGCTACCTGTTCTTTCACCTTCAGCAGCTGCAGCTCATCGAGCTAATACGCGCCGGCAAGGTTGAGGAGGCATTGGCCTTTGCCCAGACCAAGCTATCCGAGTCCGGTGAGCAGGCCATGTTCGAGCTGGAGCGCACTTTGGCGCTGCTGGCCTTTGAGAAGCCACAGGAGAGCCCCTTTGCCGATCTGCTGGAGCAGTCGTATCGCCAAAAGATTGCCAGCGAACTGAACTCGGCCATTCTGCGCTGCGAGCACAGTGAGGACTCCACGCCCAAGATGATGTTCCTGCTCAAGTTGATACTGTGGGCACAGTCCAAGCTGGATAGCCGCTCCATTAGTTATCCCAAAATGAAGAACCTAGAAACGGCGCATCTGGAGCCCAAATAGAAAGGAAAGGAATAACCCCCTCCCTTTGACTTCTTTTGCTATTGCTATTGCTATCTCTTTTTAATGTAATGTATGTAATGCTGGATAGGATGTACGCTGAGAATTATTAAATAAGTAGCCGGAACACACACTCCTCCTCCGTCTCCACCTTCTCACCAGCCAAAGAGTAGATCCATGGCCTTGTTCACCAATCCGGAACTCTTCTGCGGCACATCATTGCCAGGCGACACGGCGCTGTTGTTCTGGGCCAGCTTATACGATTGCTGGGCCAACGGACGAATGGTTGGTGAGCCAGGCGTTGGATTGGACATGTCCTGGTTAAGCATAGAATTGCTGTTCTCCTTGTCAATCACCGAGCGATCAGTGCATCGTGTTACGCCCACCATTACATTGCCGGCAATCACCTTGTGGTTATAATTCAAAGCTTTGTCGCTTTCAATGCGCGAGGAGTAGCGTACATGCATCCAGTTGCCATTCTGCGGAGCACGCACCACATCCACAATGATGCCGCAGAGGGTAAAGTGCTGCAGCACCATGGTGATGGCCCCAGGCGAGAAGCCAAAGATGGTAACCCAAAAGTCGGCCAGGCGATTGTTATCAGTTGAACCGCCGACCAAAGGCGAGGCAACCAAAGGTGAGGCAGTGGCTCCCAGTGGCGAGCACAGAGCCCGCATGGAGGCATTGATGGCATTGGGTGCCCCTGGTGCAAACGAGTCATTGGTGTGATAGCTACTCTGGTAGCTTTGGTTCGGTGACTGCATCTGCAGCATGCTCAAATGGTTCCGTTGCGGCGTGGAGACGGGCTCACGCAGGGAATCGAACAGGCCCTGTGTCGGTGGTCCCACCTGATGAGTGTGACTAGGAGTTGCCGAGAGCGAGGTGTTAGCATTGACGGCAGCGCCAGAGCCGCCGGCTCCTGTTGCCCCGAAAAGTGTGCGGCTGTTTAACGCCGATCGGTTAAACTCGTGGGGGCTGCTCCCACCAGGAGATGTGGCTGTTCCAAAGCAGGAGATTATAGTGGCTATCGGTTTATGGCTGAAGCGGTGGTGGACTTACCGAAGCTCACATTGTAGCGCCCGCCGGGCTTTGGGGAGAGCGTGTTCTTGTGGGGAGTGAGGGCCTGCGGATCGCCCATTAGGAATGGCGGTAAGTATTGGCTCTGGTTCGAGCTGGGGCTGTTCACGGGGCTGCCCAGATTCATTGGCTCCATAATTGATTCAATTTGACTAAAAGGGACGCGCACAAAATGAAAAATTTGACTAAAAACAAACGTTGATTTCAATTGATGCTGTGATCGGAACAGTGTTGCCAGATGCCAGGCATACAATTTACGCCTAGAGAATACCAGTGGCAATCTGTAATCGATAATAAGCAATCCAGCAAAGACTCGAACCATTACAGATTTTGCAGTTTTTAATTTATAAATCGGCCAAAAATTAAAATAAAACTATAAATTAATAATTTTTTCATATATAATTACTTTATTTTGTTTAAATTAATTCTCTTCTCCCATTGATTTAGTACAGTTTGATATTATCGATATATATATCGATTTATATGCCCTTGGTATATTCTAGCAAATCTGCTACGGTCACATCATTTCCTCCCCTGGTGTCATAATTATAGGTTCCATCGTTTTTTCTTAATTAAAACTAACACCTTGTGCTCGCGAAATGTTAAAGCTGCGTCCAGTGAACCAGCTACGATTGGCATATCTGCGCGGCCTGTCCGGCCAACCACAGGCACAGACCCAGCGCAATGATGGCCCCGCCGACGAAGAGTACACGGCCCAGCCGGTGTACCCGGAGATTCGGGATCTGACCCACAAAGGCCGCAAGCAGCGGAGTGCCGCCGACTGGCACGAGGAGATACGCCAGGTGCCGACCGTGGAGGAGAAGCTCATCAAAATCAATATGCCACGCTACTATGGCTACAAGGTGGTGGATTTCAATGACACCAAGATCCCGTACAATGCGCTGCCCATCGCCCAGCACTACACGCGAACGGTGCTCGAGAAGACGACGCCCGTAGTGAAGGAGGAGGGTGCCAAGACGGAGGAGAAGCCGGTCACTGAGGATGACCTTTTCAAGGCGGCTCGCGAGGATGTGATCGAAGCGCTTGAGTTTGCCCACGACTACAGCAGGTGAGGAGGAGTGACCCAAGCACATAAAAGATTATGATATACTGAAATTCTGATTGCCAGGCACCTGGACCAGCAGCCCAAGGCTGCTCCCCTCGATGCGGTGACCCGCGAGCGCCAGCTCACCCAGATCATCGTCGAGCAGCTAAACAGGGCTCTGCTGCAGGTGCTCAGCGCCGACTATGCGCACCTGAATGAGCTTGAGGTGGACTACAATCCCCGCCACGAAGCCTTCTGGGCGGTGGGCGGTGTAGATCCGCCCAAGAATGTGATCAAATCGAAGAAGGGTCAAAAGTGGCAGGAGGAGGCGGCCAACGAACCCGTGGACCGGCTTGTGCAATATACGGGAGCTCCCTACTTGTCCCTCCGTCATCGCCACCAGCTGGCGCCCTGGAAGACGCCGGCGGAGAGCGAAAGCCTAGAGCTGAGCAAACAGATACCCCGCTTCAAGCATGACGCTCGCACCCTCGGCTACACCACCAAGCATCAGCATGCCACCAATGTGCCCGGCTATTGGCCCAGTGTAAATGGCCAGAACTTTGGCCTGCTTTCCTTCCAGTCGCGGGCGCACCTGCAGCTGCGACCAAAGTCCTACGGTGAGCGCGATCTGCTGGAGGCTTTGGATGCCCTGGCCATCAAATCCTCGTATGCCTGGCTTCTGGCCCAGGCCAACTACAATGGCTTCAATACGTACAACGAGCTCACCTATCCCCTAAACACACAGACGGTGATTACGAATGGCCGGGAGTGGAGCTTCTACGAGTATCAGCTGAACACGCTGCTGGTGCACGGCCACCATGTGGATAGCAATCCGCGGGTGAACTTTTGTCGCGGCTCGGAGCCCCTGCCATTATATGCCGAGATATCGCCGGCGGGCAAGTGTGTAGACTTTAACGATGCCGTGCTAAGGCAGCTGATAAATCTGTATGCCAATGTACCAAGTGTCCGTCGCAGCCAGGTGGAGGAGCAACCGTATGTGGCCTCACACATTTCAGCCTACGAGAAGGCAGAGCAACGTGAATTCATTGGCAAGACCGTAAAGCATTTGGCGTCGAATCGGCCGCGTCACTTGGAGCTGCCGGAGACGTACATGTGGGAGAAGCTGTACAAGATCGATAACAATACCCGTGCCATGGAGGCGAGACGGCGTTTCTTTGAGCTGGATGTGAATCCATGGCGACGCACGCTGGACCAGCATGACAAGGAGTATGTGCCGCGGGCACTGAGGCCGGGAGCCGAAAAAAAGCGAGAAGGTCGCCGCAAGCCGACATATTATCCCTGAGCTAATTACCAGAAAAAATAGTGTTTTGTTTGTGCGAAATAAAAATCATCATAAAATCATAAAAATTCCTACATAATTGAGATGTTTTTGATAATTAAAAGCTCTGCCATTGTGCCCTGTTTGTACAACTGTTTTGCACAATGAGCACCAAGTTGTTTACGTTTTTTGCAATAATCAACAGGCTGCAGGCCTGAAAATTTCCATCGAATCTGTGCCTTTGTTTCCCCATAAATACCCCCCAAAAGTCTGGAGTTGCGCTTATTTGAATCCAAGATGAGGAGGCTCTGTTTAGCCTGGCTTCTCCTGGTGGCTGTCTCTGGGCAAAACTATTGCGATCCAGAGCTCTGTTCGGGCGGCGGTCGTCATGTGGCCTGCCAGAACAGTGGAGTAAGTAGTCCAACCCAATTTTAATATGAATTTTAATCTTCTTTTGCAGCGCTTTGCCAGCGGCTGTCGTGGCGAGTTTGTCCAGGTGAATCCCTACATACAGCTCATACTGCAGCTGCACAATGATCGGCGCAATCTGATAGCCGGCGGAGGAGTGAGCGGCTTTCCTAGCGCCTTGCACATGGCCACCATGAGCTGGGACACCACGCTGGCCCAGCTGGCCGCCTACAATGCGCTGCAGTGCCGCATGGCGCACGATGAGTGCCGCAACACCAACACATATCGCTTTGCGGGCCAGAATCTCAGCATACTCTTCTCCAGGACCGTGGAAATTACGGACTTCCTAAGGCAAAGGATAGCCTCCTGGTTTGATGAGAACCGTGATGCCACCAGTGGCGACATTGAGAACTACCAGATGCGAGGCGGGCCGTGAGTATGCCATTTTGTTTTCTCTCTCGTTTGTTATGAAGCTCACCTGGCAGGGCCATTGGTCACTTCACAACCATGGTGAACGAGCGCAACAACCGTGTGGGCTGTGCCATTGTCCGCTTTACGGACTCCAATAACGTCCAGGCCACTTTGCTAGCCTGCAACTATGCCGTAACCAATGTCATAAACAATCCCGTCTACCGGGCAGGAGCCGCCGCCGGAGAGTGCACCACGGGGCGTAATGCCAACTATGCAAATCTCTGTGCTGCGAATGAGCCATACAACTACAACCAGTGGTCGGGTTGAGACAGGGACGAAAGCATTGCAGCTTTATGTGTAATTCTGATGTTGTTTTTATATAAATAATTAAATGAACAAGAAAAAGGAATAACAAATTAAATTCATAACTCAACAATTTTAATTTATTAAATTAAATGAAGGTAAAAAAAATATGCAGATTTGTTAACCTAACTCCGCTTTCCGAATGAAAATCTCAGGCCAAGTCCCAGCGATTTGACCAGAGTTTTCCATACAAATATTCTAGTATCCTTAAAACGTTGCAGGGTATTTTATTTCCAGTCCGAAGCTCATTACGCATTGAAGGTGTCATTTCCGACCCCATAAATTATATATTATATATATAAATATAAATAAATATATATATTATATATATATATATAATATAATAATAATAAGCTTTTCCTAATTGCCATCCAACAAATTTTGTTTTGTGTTGTCGCTCCCCAAAAAACACCACAGTCCCCCCCCCATTTCCATGTGCAAAACGGCAGCCACAAACTTAAGCTGCTTAAAATGTACAATTGCAACATGGGTCATAAATATGATGGCCGAAGGGACAAGCTGAAACCAGCAAAACTATGGTAAGTATGCCTTTTTCTCCCAATATTTTTAATATAGCTAGGTGAGCGTGGCTCAAGCTGCGCTCCCCTTTCCCCAGGATTTTCCCGCTTTTCCACACATGCACTCTGCCAGCGGCAATTGCTTGAGGAGGCGCTAACAATGGGTGCAGGTTGCCCTTGCGGAAACAGTGGGGCCAAATGGATATTTATAAAAATAAAATGAAAATAAATAAAAAATAAAATAAAACATATTTAGAGTGTTTTTTTATGGTCTAAAAAGTTGTTGTGGTAAGTATTTTAGTTGTTGGTAAGTACCTAGATTTTTGTAGATATTTTCTAGATATTTTTTTATTTTTTAGATTTTTTTTAGTTTTTTTAGATTTTTTTTTTTTTGATTTTTTAAACATATTTTTGAAAATTAACGGCCAAACTCGAATTTAAATGTAACGTCCAGTTTCAGTGTGCCCAGGTGCATTTAGCAACATTTTAGACAGAAATTAACAATATGGTCACATCTGGTTTGAGTCTGTGCTTACTCCAAGATCAATGGTTCGAAACTTGGACTTTTTATAACAGTTTATACCAGTTTTCAGTTGCTTGCTGCTGGTTTCTGTTCGCCTGGTATCCCAGTTTGGGAAACGGCCAATTTGTATGGAAAATTTCAGAAATTTGGATGGGCTGCTGTAGGGATGTTGTTGTAAAAAGGTTGTTGTTCCCATCAAGCTGTTGTTGTCGGCAACAAATAGGTATAAATGCATAAAATGAAATATAACAGTTTATACCAATTATTATTTTTGCCCATAAGTTTTTATAACAGTTTATACCAGTTTTCAGTTGCTTGCTGCTGATTTCTGTTCGCCTGTTACCCCAGTTTGGAAAACGGCCAAATTGAATGAAAAATTTTGCTCACTTGCATCAGTGATGCTCATCTGGCTATATTTCAATATTGGGGGGTTTAATGGCAGTGATGCCCAAGTGCATCAGTGATGCTCATCTAGCTATTTTTTTTGCATTATTGGTAGAAAATGGCATCTATCTCACTAGTTGCCAGTGATGCTCATCTAGCTATTTTGCATTATTGGGACAAAATGGCATCTCACTAACTGCCAGTGATGCTCATCTAGCTATTTTGCATTATTGGGACAAAATGGCATCTCACTAACTGCCAGTGATGCTCATCTAGCTATTTTGCATTATTGGGACAAAATGGCATCGCACTAATTGTCAGTGATGCTCATCTAGCTATTTTGCATTATTGGGACAAAATGGCATCTCACTAACTGCCAGTGATGCTCATCTAGCTATTTTGCATTATTGGGACAAAATGGCATCGCACTAACTGTCAGTGATGCTCATCTAGCTATTTTGCATTATTGGGACAAAATGGCATCTCACTAACTGCCAGTGATGCTCATCTAGCTATTTTGCATTATTGGGACAAAATGGCATCTCACTAACTGCCAGTGATGCTCATCTAGCTATTTTGCATTATTGGGACAAAATGGCATCGCACTAACTGTCAGTGATGCTCATCTAGCTATTTTGCATTATTGGGACAAAATGGCATCTCACTAACTGCCAGTGATGCTCATCTAGCTATTTTGCACTATTGGGAGGCTATAAAATCGGGCTTAATGGCAGTGATGCTCATCTAGCCATATTGCAATGTTGGGAGGCTATAAAATCGGGCTTAATGGCAGTGATGCTCATCTAGCTATATTGCAATGTTGGGAGGGTTTTTCTGATTTTTTGCTTAAATTTTTTATAAATTATAGGTAAGTATTTTAGCAAAACTGAGTATGCGGTTTGGTTAAGCATAGAAAGGGCAACTCAAAACAGTTTTCCGAATTGAATTTCATGCGTTTTTGGCCGAGTTATGAGGGTTTTTCTAATTTTTTGTTGATATTTTTTATAAATTATAGGTAAGTATTTTAGCAAAACTGAGTATGCAGTTTTGTTAAGCTTAGAAAGGGCAACTCAGAACAGCTTTCCGAATTGAATTTCATGCGTTTTTGGCCGAGTTATGAGCTATTTAGCAAAATAGCTAGATGAGCATCACTGGCAGTTAGTGAGATGCCTATAATTTATAAAAAACCCTCATAACTCGGCCAAAAATGCATGAAATGCAATTTGGAAAACTGTTCTGAGTTGCCTTTTCTAAGCTTAACAAAACTGCATACTAGGTTTTGAATTTCGTGAATTTTTGGCCGAGTTGTAAAGTTCACATTTTTATAGGTAAGTATTTTAGCAAAACTGAGTATGCAGTTTTGTTAAGCATAGAAAGGGCAACTCAAAACAGTTTTCCGAATTGAATTTCATGCGTTTTTGGCCGAGTTATGAGGGTTTTTCTAATTTTTTGTTGATATTTTTTATAAATTATAGGTAAGTATTTTAGCAAAACTGAGTATGCAGTTTTGTTAAGCATAGAAAGGGCAACTCAGAACAGTTTTCCGAATTGAATTTCATGCGTTTTTGGCCGAGTTATGAGGGTTTTTCTAATTTTTTGTTGATATTTTTTATAAATTATAGGTAAGTATTTTAGCAAAACTGAGTATGCAGTTTTGTTAAGCTTAGAAAGGGCAACTCAGAACAGCTTTCCGAATTGAATTTCATGCGTTTTTGGCCGAGTTATGAGCTATTTAGCAAAATAGCTAGATGAGCATCACTGGCAGTTAGTGAGATGCCTATAATTTATAAAAAACCCTCATAACTCGGCCAAAAATGCATGAAATGCAATTTGGAAAACTGTTCTGAGTTGCCTTTTCTAAGCTTAACAAAACTGCATACTAGGTTTTGAATTTCGTGAATTTTTGGCCGAGTTGTAAAGTTCACATTTTTATAGGTAAGTATTTTAGCAAAACTGAGTATGCAGTTTTGTTAAGCATAGAAAGGGCAACTCAAAACAGTTTTCCGAATTGAATTTCATGCGTTTTTGGCCGAGTTATGAGGGTTTTTCTAATTTTTTGTTGATATTTTTTATAAATTATAGGTAAGTATTTTAGCAAAACTGAGTATGCAGTTTTGTTAAGCATAGAAAGGGCAACTCAGAACAGTTTTCCGAATTGAATTTCATGCGTTTTTGGCCGAGTTATGAGGGTTTTTCTAATTTTTTGTTGATATTTTTTATAAATTATAGGTAAGTATTTTAGCAAAACTGAGTATGCAGTTTTGTTAAGCTTAGAAAGGGCAACTCAGAACAGCTTTCCGAATTGAATTTCATGCGTTTTTGGCCGAGTTATGAGCTATTTAGAAAAATAGCTAGATGAGCATCACTGGCAGTTAGTGAGATGCCTATAATTTATAAAAAACCCTCATAACTCGGCCAAAAATGCATGAAATGCAATTTGGAAAACTGTTCTGAGTTGCCTTTTCTAAGCTTAACAAAACTGCATACTAGGTTTTGAATTTCGTGAATTTTTGGCCGAGTTGTAAAGTTCACATTTTTATAGGTAAGTATTTTAGCAAAACTGAGTATGCAGTTTTGTTAAGCATAGAAAGGGCAACTCAGAACAGTTTTCCGAATTGAATTTCATGCGTTTTTGGCCGAGTTATGAGGGTTTTTCTAATTTTTTTGTTGATATTTTTTATAAATTATAGGTAAGTATTTTAGCAAAACTGAGTATGCAGTTTTGTTAAGCATAGAAAGGGCAACTCAGAACAGTTTTCCGAATTGAATTTCATGCGTTTTTGGCCGAGTTATGAGGGTTTTTCTAATTTTTTGTTGATATTTTTTATAAATTATAGGTAAGTATTTTAGCAAAACTGAGTATGCAGTTTTGTTAAGCTTAGAAAGGGCAACTCAGAACAGTTTTCCGAATTGAATTTCATGCGTTTTTGGCCGAGTTATGAGGGTTTTTCTAATTTTTTGTTGATATTTTTTATAAATTATAGGTAAGTATTTTAGCAAAACTGAGTATGCAGTTTTGTTAAGCTTAGAAAGGGCAACTCAGAACAGCTTCCCGAATTGAATTTCAAACTGTAAAAGTGGAGTTGCATTCATCCCCGCCCAAAAGTATGCCTTACTTTATATTGTAATCAAAGACTTAAAAATTCAGCCCAAAAGATGCCATGAAAAATATGTGGACCTGCATTCATCCCCGCCCAAAAGTATGCCTTACTTTATTTTTAATCAAAGACTTAAAAAATCATCCCAAAAGATGCCACAAAAATTACCAAATAATATTTAAAAATGCCTAAAAGTATGCAATTTTTTTACTTTTTGATTTGACCCAGGAAAATAAAAGAAAAATTAGGAAAACGCCTTTTAAAGCGGCAATAAAACTAAGAAAATAATTAAAATACACTTATGAGGGTTTTTAATACATTTTAGGCATCTCACTAACTGTCAGTGATGCTCATTTCATTGTTCTGATATAGGAAAAATAAAATAAAACAAAATAATATAAAATAATGTATTTCATTGTTTTTATTTAAGTTCATTAACATGGAATAAAATAAAGTATTTAAAAATTAAAATGTTGCTTGTTGTGTTCGTTGCTGTTGTTGTAAAAGTAGCCGGCAGACCTGACTGGCGGTGCTCTCTCTATATCCCTGATTCCTGATCCCTGTTCCACCATTCCCATCCCTTATCCACCATCCTTGTGCGTGTGTCGTTGATCCTTTCCTTTGATTCTTGTCCGGGGTGGGTGTCAGGTCTACTGATACTGATGACTAGGAGCGATGGCGATGGCAATGACGATGGAAAGTCTGTAATTGAAATGGGAAAAACAGAAAATTAAAAACTAAAAAAGGCATAACTCTGTCAAAAATGCCTTTATTTGCATTCGGAAAGCGGTGTTATGTTAGTTTTTATAAGGTTAACAACTCTGCATACTTAGTTAGAAATTGAAAATTTTATAAAATTTTGAGAATTTTAATGATGTAACCCCTTATCGAATTTCGAAAAAATCACACAAATTTTTTTTTTCTCCGGAGTTGGCTTAAACGATTCGTCTGTTGATGCTGATCAAGAATATATATGGTTTATGGGGTCTGAAATGACTCCTTCGCTGAGTTACAAGCTTATGACTGAAATTTTAATACCCTGCCTAACTTTGAAAATTCATAACTCGGTCAAAAATGCATTAATTTTACTTTTGAAAACGGTGTTATGTTAGTTTTTATAAGGTTAACAACTCTGCATACTTAGTTAGAAATTGAAAATTTTATAAAATTTTGAGAATTTTAATGATGTAACCCCTTATCGAATTTCGAAAAAATCACAAAAATTTTTTTTTCTCCGGAGTTGGCTTAAACGATTCGCCTGTTGATGCTGATCAAGAATATATATGGTTTATGGGGTCTGAAATGACTCCTTCAATGCGTAATGAGCTTCGGACTGGAAATAAAATACCCTGGAAGGGTATAAGGATACTAGAATATTTGCATGGAAAACTCTGGACAAATCGCTGGGACTTGGCCTGAGATTTTCATTCGGAAAGCGGAGTTAGGTTAACAAATCTGCATATTTTTTTTTACCTTCATTTAATTTAATAAATTAAAATTGTTGCTTTTTTGGCAGAGTTATGAATTTACTAAAATTGAAGTTTTAAAAAAATAATAATAAATATTTATCCACAATTTGCTGTGATAATTTTTATAAAAAATTTAAACAAAAAATCACAAAAACCCGGCCAAAAATGCATAAAATTCAATTCGGAAAGTTGTTCTGAGTTCCTTTTTCTACGCTTAACAAAACTGCTTACTTCAGTTTTACTGAAATACTTACCTGTAATTTTTAAATAATTTTTTAAACAAAAATTGGCAGGAAACCAATTTTTTTAAGTCTCATAACTCAGCCAAAAGAATTTTAATGATGTAACCCCTGCTAGAAAGTTCCGTTCCGTTTCGTTCCAAGAGTAAAAACATCAAATTCGTTGGATTCATTTTATTTATATATTTTATTTTAATATATATATATATATATATGTATATATTTTATATGTTAGGAAAACAATGCGAAATTATAAAAAAGCGTATGTATAAGAACCGTTCTATTAATTACAGTTATTTTAAAAATGTATAATTATAATATATACCGTTTTTATTTGTTTTTCTTTTTCTTTTTTGTTTTTGATTTTTGTGCTAAATTGAACAAATTGCTTGCAACGATACTTTCCGTTTGTTTTATATCTGTGCTTCTCTTGATTTTAGAATATGCCGGTGTAAGGTATTTAGCATTTTCGAGATCTTTCCTTTCAATATAACGTTGCTTGTTCAAAATACAAATATAATCCTACAAATAATTGCTCTCTAAATAACTCTAGACACACAAAAAACGAGTACGAGTACAGTAAAAAAAAACCTTAAATTAACTAATTATACATATAATGTGTGTGTGTGTTGTGTGTGTGTGTGTAATACTTTTGCTTATGTAAAACGAAATTTGGATTGGGTTTTTTTATTTACTCGACCGAACGAACGAGCATCCATCCGGCCGAGTCCCGTTTCAGGGGCAAGTATGGGGCGTTATCCTTCTCATATCCTTGCTCTAGGCCTGCCCAAGTCAGTATCTAAACACTACTTAGTATGGGTTAATCGTGACAGTTGCAAATGATCAAGAATTTCAGGTTGGATTTCTAAATAATAAAATATATATAGATTGTGATGGGAAAATATATAATACAAGAAAATAAGAAAGAAGAAAATAATTGTAAGAATCCTCTGCATTTGCAGGCATTAATCCTTAAAATATTCTATATATAGTCCAAGTAGATTTCAAGTAGCATGATTTTAAGGTTTAAAAAACCCCATTAGAAGGATGTTTTTTTTTTGATTTACTTTATTATTTAGGAATTTTAGATACACTTATTTCCTCTGGGTAGAAAATAACCATTAAAAAACCTCAAGTTTTAAAAACTTTTAAGCTGCCAAAAGTAAACGAAAAACATTTTACTTAGAGACAATAATTTAAAAATTCAGTTTTGAGGTCTAAATGAAGGGGAAAAATTGAATAAAATATAATTCTTAGGTAAAATTAAGGTACTTTTAAGGTAAGATTAGATATAGCTAGAGTTATGTGATCGTGTTTGAATTGAATTTGATTGAATGTGGGTGGCAACTGTACCTCTCTAACTACATACTTTTGGGCAGCTAAGCTTTCTCATTACATTTACCTATTTAATTCTCATTTGACTTAATCGTAATCTCTATTATCTCCGCCTATAATTGTGTATATAAGTATGTAGAATGGTCGCTGTTAAATGCCTTGTTTATATATTTCTCTTTTGTTTTTTTTTAAATCGAATGCTTTTAAAGGCTATTGCTCCAGCTGTCGTCTGGGCTTTTAATGTCTATATTCAAGTGGGGTAACTAGGTGAAAATGTAATGCCTAGAGTTACACATACATATACACGCACAAGATACATACATAGATATAATATATATATATATATATATATATTTAAATATCTAGTACGATCAAAGTTGCTGGTGCGTAAACAATTACAAGTATTAATTGTATCGATTTCGTTTGTTTTTTGTTTTGTTTTAATTGCGAATGCAAACCCTTATAGCATATACATATATATATATACTATTTATCTAGTTAAACACCCGATCCTAAGTCAGGACGAAAAAAAATTATGTGGGTGTGTTGACTTACGGCCTAGGTTTACAATTAATATGTGTAAATGTTTAGGGTTAAATATATGTTAGCTTAGGTTGAATTCTAACTTATATATATTTTCGTTTTGTATTTTACAATTTCATAAAAAGTTTCAACATTTTTTTATTCGACACACACACAAAAATGCAAGTGGGATGTTTCTCTCTCTCTAATTCTTATTTCTTTTATTTATTTTATTTAGTTTACTTAATTGCTAATTGAATTATTCTGTTAAAACATTTTGAATTCATTTAGTTGTGTTATTTTTTTTTTTAGGTATGCTTGTATAGGGTTTTTTATATATCATTTCGTTATGTCTCTTTATATATATTAAAAAAATATATATATATATGTTTTGTACCAAACTAACTAAGTCTACGAAACAAAAAATCTATATAAAAAAAAAAAAAACAAAAAAAATAAAAGTGGTTTCTGCCTTAAAATTGAATTCGTTTTCCTCTCTGTTTTTACTTACAAATTTCCGCTAATACAAATTCAGGATTAGATGGTTCTAAAAGCAATTACTTTTGATCCTCCCCTCTCTGTTTCTGTCTCTGTCTCTGCTCTGTTGTCTCCCTCTCGCTGATGCTCGCTCATCCTTTGCTGCTGCAGTTTCTGCCTTCGTTATCCTTTTAGTGTATACATTTTTCACGTTCATGTTCATCGATTTAATAACTAAAATCTACATCAGTCGTTTGGCACACAAGTCACGCAGCAGGAATGGGAGTAGAGGACATCCTCATCCTCATCCTCATCCTTCTCCCAATCTTCACCTGGCTGCGCTTCACTTAGACTTGGCTTCTTCGTATTGCTGCTCTCTGTGTGTGTGTGTGTGTGTGTGTGTGTGTGTGTGTGTGTGTGTGGGTGTTGCTAAAGGCTGCTCTTCTTTCCACGCCAAACTAGACCTCGGTGCCATCCTCGCCCTCATCGTCAAACAGCTGGCTGGTGCTGCCCTGGCCACTGCGCGTCGTCGTCACAGACATCTTCTTCTTGGGCTTTGGCGGTGGCCGCGGTGGTATCTTGGTGATCTTCGGTGAATCACCGCTGACGCTGTCATGGCTAGGCGAACCACCGGTCATTGTTCCACCCAATCCGGCGGCACTGATGCTCGAGCCTGGGAGTATCGTGATCCCGTGATGCCTGCCGCCGCCGCCGTACAGCGGTTCCGTGTCCGAGGCATGGTGCTGCTGCTGCTGCTGCTGCTGTTGTAGCTGCTGCTGCTGCTGGATGAGCTCGTGTATCGGCTCGTAAATCTTGCTGACATTCGCCGCCGAACCCATCGATGTCATGCTCGGTGTGGCTGGCAAAGGCCTGTCTCGCATCGAGTACTGCTGCCCCGAAGCAGAGCCAGACCCGGAACCGGAGCCGGAGCCGGCTACCTTGTTTAGATTGAGCGTGGAATTGCCGCCGGCGGTGGTACGAAGACCCAGATTATCATAGACTGGCTCCGCCAGCAGTTCCACAGTGGTGGCCGTGCCCGTTTCGCTGGGATTGGGCGAGGTGGGACTCTGGAATTCGCTCAGCTGGCTGACATTGTGGCCGGCCGCTCCCGAGGTACTGGGCGCCCAGCTGGGGGCACGTGGCTTCCGCGGTATGGTCATGTAGCCCTGTTTTAGGACCACCGCCGTGGCCGGTGAATAGACGACGGGAGCGGGCAGGAAGGGCGAGGCGGCGGCCAGCGGATGCTGGTGTAGATGCTGGTGCTGCTGTAGATGATGCTGATGCTGCTGCTGTTGCTGCTGCTGATGCTGCTGGCGACTGCTGTTGGCGGTGGCAATCAGTGCCAGGTTGCGGGATTTGGGATGCTGCAGGGTCATGAAGCCATTGTTGGAGGCCGCCAGGGTTTTGGTGCCGTAGATGCCGTGGGGCGTCATGTGCGTGTAGACGGGACTGGCCAGGGAGGGCGGCGATCGGATGCCGTAGATCACCTGGTCGGGTATATTCGATTGCGAGGATTGCATCGAAGGCGAGGTGGGCGGCACGCGGGCGGGGAAGGCCAGCAGATCCGGTGGCAGGCTATTGCCGTAGGCATCGTCCACGTAGGTGTGTCGGGATCGGACCGTGGTGGTGGTGTCCGACAGGGCCACCGAGTGGGTCTCCTCATCCCGCGAGTGGTTGGGCACTGCAAGAAAAAGTAGGTTTAGTTGATTTGTCAGGAAGGAGTCATTTTTGACCTCATTAACCAAACAAAATCCATTTCTTTTCAATCAACTAAAAAAAAATATACCTAGCAATTATAACTTAAATAATGATATTTCATTTGCTTGCCAAGAAGAAGCTTTTACAAATTTATTTTATCCACGAAATATAAACTTTTTAAAGCAAAAAAATCAATACTTTTCGGGGGAAAACTGAAAGGAACTCAGCCTCTTTAGCAGGGGTCAAGTTTGAGGAGTCACAGCTGGGGCAAAATATTCATTAAAAAGTTGACTCCGAGGTCCGATCATCGATAGGCTAATTGAACTATTGGCAATTGCCGCCATTTTCCAACTTTAAAAATTCAAGTTCGAGACGAGTTTTTGGCCGAAAGAAGTTTGGAAAGTAAGAACTTTTTCTTCGGAAACTTGGCCATTTCTCTTACAGCTTGTCTTTTGGCGGGGATTAGCGGACAACAGAAAGCTCCCTGTCACTCTATGCAGCAAATGGGAGGCGGGGTCGAACGGGAAGGATATCATTTCGCCCGGACACGGAGGTGGAGGTGAATCCGGGGGGTACAATAATGATACCCCCCCGGTCTGTGTGCTGCACTTTGGCACATGTCATTGCCCGGCATCAATTGCATTCAATTGGCTTTCCAATTGTCATCGCAATTCAATTGTCAACAGCAATTGGCAATTGGAAATTTAAAACAAACATCCGCCGGCGGCCGTTCCTGCCAGTTAGCTATAGCTATAGCTAGCGAGTCCTGGACAGGGACAGGGACAGAGTTTGCCTAATGCTGCGGAAATACTAAGCGTGTTGACATTGGCATTGGTAATGGCGTTGGCTATCGCTTTGGCTTTAGCTTTGGCTTTGGCATTGCCCTGGGAAATATGTAGTCGTAGTCCTGGCGGCAGCATTCAGCTGGAAATATTTGATAAATAGAGCCCCGGACGGTGGCATATGTTGCCAATGCCAACGGCAGAGTATCCCTTTTAGGTCCAACCACCGCGTTGACACATGAAATGAGTTATACCAAACGAGGCGTATAATGCTGGGATAAATGGACATAAAAATCTGGTTCTTTAGGGGTCTGCTTTAACCAGGAACTAGGTCTAATGAGCTCTACAGGGTATATATACCTTGCTGCCTTAATCTTGACTAAAAACGTAAGAAGAACCCTGGAAAAACTCCCCAATTAAATACTCCTCTTATATTATATTTCAATCTCTTCATTAATAGATCTTTACTCACCATAAACCGTCTCATCGAGCAGCGTCTTCTTAATCTCATGGCCATCGTCACCGCCATCCACACTCTCAATATCCGTGCGACGCGGCGGTTTCTCCACAGGATTAACCTCATTAAGCAGACTCTTTTGCATCTCCATTATGACAGAGCCCTCCAGCATAGAGCCATTGTGCGTTTTGTCCAGCTTGGAAGAGATCAAACCATCACCGCTCATCATGGTGGTGTCCTTCTGATACGTCTTGATGCGGCGGCAATACCAGAATAGCGTCAAAACAATCACAATCAGCAGGAGCAGCAGGGTGGTGGTGATCAAACAAATGATTAGGAAGACGTTCGTCTGGGGATCATTAGTTGGTGCTCCAATGGCACCGCCCATGCCCAAGGCACCCAGGCCATCGGAGGCAGACACGGCGCCGGCATAGTCACCGCTGACGAGAAGCTGAAATTCAGCCTCGGCGCGTCCACCTCGATTGTCGGCCACACAGGTGTAGGCACCCTTGTCGGAGGCACGAACCCCATAGATGCGCAGCTCGGAGGTGAGCACCTGGGAGGGCTGCTGCACGGGTAGGGTTTCCACCGAGGTGAGGACACGCAGGCGGGAGTCGTGCATGTGGAGGGGCCGCTTGTTGTACACCCAGGTGACATTGGGACGGGGACTGCCGACAATGCGGCAGGGTAGGGTTATATTGTCATGATTGGCCTCCACAAAGGAGCGCACCGAGCCCAGGATACGCGGCCGGCAGGCAAAATTCTCCGAGGGCACCTCGCTCCACAGCTTGCCACGCAGCTGGGCCGGCTCCTGGCAGTCTGTTGGCGGCGTGTAAAGTCGCCGGGCAATGGCAAAGTCACGGAACTCCTGCAGCTCGCAGCTACAGTTCCAGGCATTGCCCTGCAGCGACAGATGCATCAGCTTCTGCAGATCCTTGAACGTGTCCTTGTGCAGATGCGTCAACCGGTTCTGCTCCAGCGAGATGGCGGTCAACGCCACGGTGCCGGCAAAGACATGAAGCTGCACCTGGCGCAGCCGATTATTCCGAAACTCGATGCGCGACAGGAAGCTCAGATTGACAAACAGGTGATTCGGCAGCACCTCGATCTCATTGTTGTTCAAGATCACATTGCGCAGCTTCTCCAGGCCGGCAAATGTCCCAGGATGTAAGTCACGGATCCGATTGCCGGACATATCCAGCTCGATCAGGATATGCAGACCCTTGAAGGCCTCGCGATGCACCTCCTGGATGGTGCAGTTGCGCAGAAACACCTTGTGCACATTGGGCAGACCGGCGAGTACAAACTCCTCGCGTCGCAGCTCCGGTATCTGATTGTGGGCAAAGTCCAGCACCTGCATTTCGTTGCTCATGTCCAGGGGTATCTTGGTGAGGGCCTTGTTCTTGCAATCGGCACTCTTTTTGCCCGAATTCCAGTGGCAGTGACAGGTGCTGCAGCTTTGCATCCAGTCGGTGGTGCCGCCAGCCAGGTGCATGAGTTGCAGGGCCACCAAGGCCAACAGGAGCAGCCTTGATCTCTTCTGTTTCGGTCTGTCCATCTTTCTGTGGTGGGGGTTTCTTTTTTTTTTTTTTTTTTGTTATTTCCGGGATCCTGTGGCTAATCAGCCAACCAAAGCTGGACACGTGCCCCGATAATTCCTCCCCCTGGGCCGGGGAATGTTTATCCGCCTCGCTTCACGCGTCACGTACTTTCCAACTCTGCTCTCTCCTTCCGCCTCCTTTTGCGGGTTAATCCTTTTGACACCCTGTTAATTTGATTCCTGCGCCCTTTCGTCGTCTCTCTTCTTCTGCTCCAGTCTTAGCTTCAGCTTCAGCTCCTCTTCCTGTTGTCCTTCGCGGGTTGTGGGTTGTGGGTTCTGGCTTTTGGGTTGTGTGTGCCACAGACAAGGTCGTTATTAATTAATGTCTCGACGGACACCGGTGGGGGCTCTCGGTCTCTAACCTCGTGAAATGCCGGTGGTGCAGCTCTTCCACCTGAAAGGAATGCAGAGAGAGAGAGTTTGTCAATTAATAAAGACTTTCAGTTAGCGTGGGCCGCGAATGCCCAAGGATGCGTAAGGGTCGAAAGGTGTGACAAGAACAAAAGGCCAAAAGGTTCACCCTTGATTGGCCAAAGTTTGCCCAGCGTCATCAATGGGATTGGGTAATTAGCGGGGCTTGGGAATCCTTCTTCCTCTGCCCTATTGCGTATCAATATCCGCGAAGCAGAAAAGGACACACATAACGAGGACACACGCAACACAGCGGATTTTTCACCGAATAAATAAGAGGATTATTTTTTACCCCATCAGTTACCTCTGAATTCTAAGGGGGGGATATTTTTAGTACATAACAAATAACGTGATAGAAAATCTAGAGATTATAAAAATATAGAGATTTAATTATAAATGAGATTTAGTTCAACAAACTGAATAAATGTATTGAAAACAGGTGAATATTATATATTTATTTTGATTTTTAACTAATAATAATATCTGAAAATATATTAAAGCCGGCAGCCAGCGAGTGCTTAGGTGCACTTGCGGTGGACGATGGATGGGCCGGACTCCTCGTACTCCCTCTTCGAGACCCACATCTCCTGGAATTTGGTTTGCGAGGCCAGGATGGAACCGCCAAACCAGACGGAGTAGCTGCGCTGTGGCAAGGTGGTAATCTTGATCTCCATGGTGGACGGAGCCAGGGCGGTCACTTCCTTTTGCAAGCGTTCGGCGATGCCCGGGCAATTGGTGGTGCCGCCACACAACACTATGTTTTTGTACAGATCCTTGCGCATGGTCACATCGCACGCCATTATTGAGTTGTACAACATCTTGTCGATGCCGCAGTCCTTCTTGCCGAGTAAGGATGGTTGAAATAGAAGTTCTGGGCACCGGAAACGCTCGTTCCCGATGGTAACCACATCTCCATGGGACAGCGTAATCGTCATCTCCAGTGACGAAGCGGTTTTGGCCATCTCCTTCTTAAAGTCCAGGGCGACATCTCGCGCACAATTTCAGGATCAGTGGTGAACGAGTAGCCGCGCTCGGTCAGGATCCTAGTCAGGTACTTCGTTAAGTCTTGACCAGCCAGATCCACACGCATGATGCCGTGCTCCTGGATGCAGCCTTTATAGATGGGAACGGTGTAGGTGACACCGTCGCCAGAGTCGATAAATAACCCGGTAGGACGACCGGTGGCCTTCCAGAGGTTATTCACCACTGCCTGATTAGCGACATACAGACAAGGAGTCTTGAAAGTTTCAAACATTGTCTGCGCCATCTTCTCTCGATTTGCCAAGGGGTTCATTGGAGGCTCAGTTAGGAGGATGGGTTGCTCCTCGGGGTTGACGCGCAGCTCGTTGCAGAAGGTGTGGTTCCAGATCATCTCCATATCATCCCAGTTTGTAACCACGCCGTGCTCAATGGGATACTTCAGTGCGAGGATACCGCGCTTGGACTGGGCCTCATTGCCAACGTACCAGTCCTTGTGTGTGCCGACCACCACGCTCTGACAATGTATACCCGTAATGGACGGGAGGACGACACAGGGTGAGTTCTCGCCAGCAAAGCCGGCTTTGCAACTGCCGGATCCGCCGTCAAATACCAATGCACGCATTTTGTTAAATTGAACTTGACCTCAGAAACGAAGACGCTTTAAAATGATTTTTAAATGATTGAAATGACCGACGCCTACTTTTTGAAAACAAGAAATTGGTGCTCCGGTAATCGAAAACGAAAGATTTTTTTGATTTGAAAAACGGGCACCTTTTTCTGGCCTATTTTTGGCCATTTTTGCAAAATTTTATAAGGGGTTACATCATTAAAATTTTTGAGTTTGATAAAAAATTGAATTTTCAAAATTTTTAAATGAAGTACGCAGATTTATTAACTGTAGAAAATCTTGCACAGAACAGTTTTCCGATTTAAAATTAATGCTCTTTTGGCCGAGTTATGATATTTTTAATTTAAAAAAAAATCAAGAAGTTTTTTAATATAAAAAATCCGATTTTATAATACAAAATAATATTTTTCTAAGTCAAGGAATCATTTCCGACCCCATAAACCATATATATTCTTGATCAGCATTAACATGCGAATCTTTTTAGACATGTCCGGAAGAAATCGATTTTTTGGCCTTTTTTGCGAAATTTGATAAGGGGCTACATCATTAAAATTAGCAAAAGTAACCAAAAATTTTAAATTTGGTATGCAGTTTTTTTAAATTAATAAAAACTAACACAAAACTGCTTTCCGAATCGAAATTAATGCATTTTTGGCTTAGTTATGATATATTTTAATTGTGACCTGCAAGGGTATACAAACTTTGGCTGGCCAAAGTTAGCTTTCTTTCTTGTTTTAATTGCACTTTAAAATTTTAATAATGTCTAAAAATATATTATATAAAATTTAAACAATTATATTTTATATTTTAGAGCTGAAATATATATTTTTAAAAGCCTTAAAATTCTTAAATCTCTGCAAATTTACTTTAATAAATATAAAATATTTTTAAATTGATAAAAATTTATTTTTTTTATATTTAAAAACTGAGAAATATTTTTTAAAAGGCTTAAATTTCTTCAGTATATTTATTTATATATATTACCCATGGAAATATTACCAAATATACCTGGTAAATTTATAAGAAAATATTTTTTAATGAATTTAACAAGCTAATAATATTTAAAAATATATTATATAATATTTAAACATTTATTTTTTGAAATTTTTAAACTGAGAAATATTATTTATAAAAGCCTTCTCACCAAATATACCCTAGTTAATACAATATACATTTTTTAATGCATTTTGTAAGCAAAAAAACAACTAAAAATATATTCTATAATATTTAAACTATTATATTTCATATTTTATATTTATTTAAAAGCCTAAAATGATTTAAAATCCTTAAATACTCTCACATATTAAGGGCTCATTCCTCACCCCCGCCCTCTTGCAGTTAGTATTATGATTATGTGAGCATAAAATCATTTGAAACTTGTAAAAAATATATATATGAAACAGGAATTTAAGGCTCAACAATTCTTAATTTGAGAGCCCCAACAAGGTACACACTTTTCTTGGCATAAAAATGTCTGCTTTATGGCTCCAAAATTATGCTCTGTGTTTACGAGTAGTAAATGTTGGTGATAAAATTTAAACCCAAAACGGTCAACTGGCATTTTATATTTTTTATTGCTTTTCAGTCATGAAAAATGCAGTATGTTTTTTTGAGAACTAGAAGCCTCCTGAATACACCTGCCTATATATAGTAGGAACAATTGTAATGAAGGATTGGATTTGGAAAATGTTAAATGCCATGGCAACAGACGAATGGATATATCAATGACCGTAAAAGCTTTCAAGAAGTAGAAGGCAGGTGGAGGAGCTCTGAGCCACAAAGAACCATGTTGAGCATGACACAGAAAGTTGCCGAAAAACTAAAAAAAAAACATTGATAACGGCAGGACAACAACAAAGACTTGGCTACACTTCGAGTTTTTGGAGTCCCCTTAATCTCTTTCGTCCTCTTTTCGGTACTCTTTTGGGGCTCTTCAGGTGGCAGTTGCAGCGCCGACTTGATTAATGAAATTGTTGTTAAACTGTGACAGTTTGCGGCTTCTAACTGACTTGCGGCAACGGCTCAACGGGTGGGCAAAAAGGGACCAGCCCTTGTTTCCCGGTATCCTGGCGTCGTCCTCTGGGTGGAGCCATCAAATTGGATGGGCGGACCCAAAGCAACGGCTGAGCAAAGGATGGGCATAGCTCTTTTGGTTTTCTTTTTTTAAGCAAAGCGGCGACAGCAAACAGCAGCATAAATAAGACAAAAATATATATAAACTGTATATTCTGCAAGTGAAGGACCGCCTTTTTAGCATTGAGCCGGGTTCTCCGCTTTAATTAAGCGCCGTTCATGACGTCAACATCACGCCCCCGCGCAAATCCTGGCCACAAATATCGGTTGCCCTTAGCATCGCAACAAAACACAACACACAACACACCAACAACATCCAACAACTTTTAGCAACAAGCAAATTACCAACACTGAGTGCAGCCGACAATGAATTATTTAGGAACGCATTGCGAGTGCAGCAGCCTCAGAGTCAGCTCCGGATTCACAGCTCCCAAACATCATCATTAGCAGCGGGCAAAACTTGCTAAATGCCAAAGTTAACATGTAAATAAAAAATTATATAAAATTTAAAAAATTTTATTTTATATTTTAAAGCTCATGCCCTCCGTCCTTTGTCTGCCAAGGGAGTGTTCGACCACGCCCAGCTCGGCAGCCAGCGAGTGCTTAGAAGCACTTGCGGCGGACGATAGATGGGCCGGAATCGTCGAACTCCTGCTTCGAGACACACATCTGCTGGAATGTGGGCTGCGAGGCCAGGATGGAACCGCCGATCCAGACGGAGTTCTTGTGCTGTGGCTTGGCGGTAACCTTGACCTCTATGGTGGACGGAACCAGGGCGGTGATTTCCTTTTTTACACGATTGGCGAAGCCCGGGCACGTGGTGGTGCCGCCAGACAAAACAATGTTGGCGAACAGATCCTTGCGGGTTGCCATATCGCACTTCATGATTGCATCATAAATAACCTCGTGGATGCCGCCCGGTCGGAAAACAATTTCAGGGCACCGGAATCGTTCTTTTCCTATTGTGATTACCTTGCCATCAGGCAGCTCATACGTCTTATCCAGTGACGAGCTGGAGGCGGCGGTGGCCATCTCCTGCTCAAAACTTAGGGCGACATAGCAATGTTTTTCTTTTATGTCCCGCACAACTTCAAGCTCAGCGGTTTTGGTGAATGAGTAGCCGCGCTGGGTCAGGATCATAGCCAGGTAATCTGTCATGTTTCGACCTGCCCAATTCACACGCGTGATACCATCTTTCAGGATGCAGCCATCATAGATGGGAACGGTGTGGGTGACACCGTCGCCAGAGTCCACAAAGATACCGGTGTTACCGCCGCCTCCAGCGTACGGCAGGTTATGTGCCACAGAGTGACTAGTGATATAAATGGCCCTAGCATCGAAAGTCTCAAACATTGTTTCTGCCATTGTCTCGCGATTAGTACTGGGATTCCGGGGAGCCTCAGTCAGGAGGACGGGGTAGTCCTTGGGGGCGACGTGCAGCTCGGAGAAGGTGTGGTTCCAGATCTTCTCCATATCATCCCAGTCGGTAACGACGCCGTGCTCAATGGGATACTTCAGTGCGAGGATACCGCGCTTGGACTGGGCCTCATCACCAACGTAATAGTCCTTATGGGCCGTGCCGATTATCACGCGCTGGTGACTAATTCGTCCAATGAGCGATGCAAATACGGCACTGGGTGCCTCATCGGAAGTAATGCCGGCTTTCAACACGCCGGATCCGTTGTCTATTATTACGGCTGGCATTTTGTTGTAAACTTTCCCAATGACAGACGCTTTAAGATTGAAATGCTGACGCCTACTTTTTCGTGGTATCGAAAAAATTAAATTTCCATTAAGATTCAATACATTTAAATTAAATTGTTAATGTAATTAAATTAAATTTGAATTTTCATTAATTCGAATTAATATTTAATTTTTAATGCTTTCTTTTAGACACCGTTTTTATGCGATTCCAAAACCCCAGTGATAATTGCTTGTAATAATATGATAATTTGTAGGTACCTCCCTTGCCTTGGTTCTCCTGTGAAGCTAATTGCCTGGCTGGCTCTGTCCTTTGGCAGACAGGATAATGCGAGGATATCGCCTGTCAGAGGACCGTTCCTGCAACTCGATTCCTGTTACTTTATATGCCCAAAAATGGTTACACATGACGAACGGATGGATGGATGGATGGATGGATGGATGGATGGATGGATGGATGGCTGCCTAGGAAAGGGGCCTTTGCTAACCGTTTTCATGGGGGCCGCTTTAAAGTTGCGACCCTCAGGAAAAGTGGCTGGTGATGATGGAGGGATCCATTCGTACACTCGTACTTTCAGTAGGACTCCCATTTGTGTGTGTGTGTGTGTGTGTGGTGTGTGCGGTGTACGGAGTGTGTGTATTTGTTTTGCCAGTGCACAATTCTCGTGATTGTTTTTGTTGCCATTTTTTTTCGTAGCTGTGTTGTTACTGCCTTTTTTTGTTGTTTGTTTTGCTTTTTTGTTGTTCGTGTCAGCGGTTTTTTGTGCTCGGAAATAAAAAACCTCGAAACAAATTAAATATGCAAATAAAAGAAAAACGTTGCAATTTTGCGCTTTGTTAAATATTTGCTCAATGGGTTTTCGTTCGCTGTTCTCAGTTCTCAGTTCTCAGTTCTCAGTTCTCAGTTCTCGCCGTTTTGTTGTTGTTTGTTACCAGTCGACAGTCGCCAGTTGTTTGGTTGTTTGTTTGCCTGCCAACTCTCTATGCTTGTGTTTTTTTTTTTTTTGCTCCTTGGTCTTTGCCCACACGAATTTTCCAGGTGGAGACTCCACCCCCCCTCGCGCGTCGTCGCTGTTAATCCGGGATTACCACCTCAAACTTTGCTAGCGTGTGCTGCAATCAATAGTGATTTGGCTGCGCGACCTTCAAGGGACTTTTAATATGCAAATAAACTCTCCTTGTTCGACCAGAACAGAGGTGCTATATAGTAATCCCCAAGGCTTCGTCTCGGATCCGTAAATTAACATTTTTTTTTTGGGTTTTTGGTTGCAACCGCGATTTAAGCGTCAGCCTAATCGTGTATTGGTTGCCACTAACAAATCCCCAAAAACTTTACCGACACACCGATGACAAACAAATGAAAACTATAAACCTAAAATCATTAAAACTTAACTAATTTTACCATTTGACATAAACTCAGGGCGTTTCGCGGTAGTAAAACATGGAAAATAGCCCTGATTTTTGTGATTCTGTGACATTCATTGGTTGAGGAAAAATTACAGAAAAATTACAAAACGGTGGTTTATTGGGTCATTTAGTGAATTTTCATTTTTAATAGCAAATAATGCACTGAAAGAAATCAAGTATAGTTTTTTGGGAATATTTAAAATTAAGAGAATAATTATATTAAATTTTGAAAGCATTTGGTTTATGAATTAAAGCCAAGACCCCTATTTTGTTTGACACTAAGCTAAAAAGTTAAGCTGGTCACATTAATTTTTTCCTTACAAAATATTTATATTTCTAATTTACTTTTAATAAAACCTATAATAAAATATAATTCTTTTATTTTCTTATTTTTATTTAAACGGAAATCAAGACTACAACTATAGAAATTAATTTTATGACACTACAAATTAGAAAATCTGGCCACATTAATTTCATATTCTTTATTAAAATACCCCTAAAATACACCCAATTTAAATATATAATTATAAACTTTTTTTTGTAGTAATAAAAGACCCTTTTTTCTATAGCTTCTAATTCATTCCTGCAAGCCTTTATCACCAACTGATTGCTGCTAGGGGGCATTTTGTATGCCATTCAATGGCAAATTGTCCACCGTTTGCATAAAATGCAAAGTATTTTCGCTGCGGCATTGCCGTACGTTTCCTTCTCGTGTCGCAAACTGTCGTTATATTTAACGTTGACATTTTATTGCCATTTGCGGTTGTAATTGCTATATGGTGGCACGCCCCATTTTGCACACAGCGAACCCAAACTGACCTTGCCAAGGGTCCCCGGAATGGAATGGAGCATGCCATAGGGTCCGGGTCCGGGTCCGGGTCCCGGCGATTATCAACACAACAAATCCATGGTGCCGGCCCATCGACCATCGCCTATTGTTGGGGCTTAAATCGATTTGAACAAATTTAATTGCTTCGGTTTTGGCTCTTTTTTTCGTTGTATTTTTTGTGTGTTTCTTTCTTTCTTTCTGGTCCACTTTTGTCGTATGCCAATTGGCAATTGCCTTTTAAGTGTGTCTATGTGACCAGAGTTGTTGAACCGTTAAAAACGGACGCGGTCGAAATAGAATCGGCTGGCAACGAGAGGGTCATCGCCGGGGGCGAGAAAGTGACAAAATCGAGAGAACAATAAGAACCAACAACAAGAGTTCGTTCAGGCAGCAGCAGCGCATTCTCCTTTTTGTCGTCACAACAATTTGTTGTTAAATGAAGCGCACTTTAATACCCCGGTACTTGTGGGAGTACAAGGGTATATTGTATTCGTGGCAATGTTTGTAATGTAGCCAGGCGAATTGAAACCCACTTCCGCTTCCGCAAATTGGATAACAAAGAATGAAAGGTGAAACATATGACATTTGTCCCTAAAGGAGACCTAACAAACACTTATTTAATTGACATTTTAGGTATAATTTTTGTGGTGAAACTTAAAAAATAATAATAACAAAATCAAAAATATATTCATTTCAATTTAGATTCAATTTTTATTAAATTAATCCCCCATTATCCATTTTTTTTGCATTTTAGAAATTTAAATCAATATTTATCCGATTTTTTACATGATAATTTTATGGTTTATGGATTCTTATAATCTGAACTAAGCCAAAAATTAATTAATTTTCATTCGCCAAGCTGTTTTGTCTTAGTTTTTATAAGCTTCTTAAAGTTGCATACTTTAATAAAAATTAAATTTCAGTATTTTAACAACTTATAAAGTTAAAAAAAAAATATAGTTCATATTTTAACAACTTATAAAATTAAAAAAAAAATATTTCAATTTTTTTTCATAATTTTTGGGCAAAAATCTAAATTTAAAAAATCTATAACTATACCAAAAATGTATTAAATTTAATTTGGAAAGCAGTTTTATCTTAGTTTTTATTTGGTTAACATGTCTGCTTACTATATTTTAGAGTTTTTTAAATTTCATTTTTTTTCAATTTCTGAAAATATTAAATATTAAAATATTAAATATTATTAAAATTTGAAAAATTAGCAAAAAAAATTGATTTCCCTGGGACATGGCTAAAATGATTCGGCTGTGGTTGCTGATCAAGAATATATATGATTTATAGGGTCGGAAATGGCCCCTTCATTGTTTTTTTTTTTTATCTTTTTCCTCCTTTAATTTCTAAAAAATCTCCAAATCTTTAAATTAAATTCAATTAAAATGCCAGAGTCCTGAAAGTCCTGGAGCTGCATTTAAAAAATAATTGCTTATATGTGTTGAGTTTATTACGTAATCCTATAGGTAGAATATATTGCACTATTAATTTTTGCTATAGCCGCAAGCAAGTATAAAAACTTTGTCTTGCCAAAGTTTGCGTCTTCCTTTCTGGCTTTTTGCAGTAGTTTCCCTTTTTCTTTTATATGCCTTGAAGGTGGGCTATAAGTGTGGCCAAAGTTGCAAGATAACCATAACGGAAGTTCGCTGGCTCATATACTGCAGATATTATTAACACAAGTGCGGCGGATTCTGCGGCAGGTGACAGGTGCAAAAGCGGCTGCCGAGCACTTTCGCATCGGAAATTGGCAAACTGCACGCGACGGCTCGATAAGTCGCGGTGAGTCCTTGCTGTCAACATGTCACACACGCCAATCACCTGTAGTGTGCCCGTTACCGTTACCGTGCCCTTTCCCGTTCCAGTGCCACACAGAGTTGCAACATTTCGGATGTGGCACGTGTGCACCGCTCAGCGGCAATCATTGTCAAATCACATCGGGCATGTTGTTGTTGCCCAATCATTGGCCAGTTGCCACGGCCAGTCAGTGATATCTTTCCTTTTCATCTAGAGAACCAGGAGAAGGAGGAGGATTTGGTCACTTACAAGCCAAAAATGGCCGAAGGCTGCTAGGATACCAAAGCAGACAAGTCAGTGTGTGCCTGTGTGTAATCAAATATTCCCCAAACAAACAAACAAACATTCCACAACCCCTGAATCCATCCACATGGTTACTCCAACTGCTGCTGCTGCTGCTGCTGCTGCTGCTGCTGCTGCTGCTGTTTGAATTTCAATTTCAGCCAAAGTTTCGCGATGCAGTGGCGACTTTTGCTTTACTGGCAGGCCACCAGCCAGCAGCCAGCTGCTGCCATGGCCACGCCCTTTTCAATTTTCTGCACTCCAAGTGGGCCGTTGATTCTGGTGCAGTTGCTCTGCTTGAACCAACGCATTATGGACGCTCCAACACGCGCAGCGGCAACAGGCGACAAAACTTTCCCTATCGAAAGGAGGGGGCGGTTGCACAAAGGGGTGAAATATCGCAAAAATTTCACTTCAGTATGCCGCGGCGTCTTCTTTTTTTTTTTTTCGTTTTTCTTGTTTTTTTTTTTTTGGGATGGGATGATGGTGCGTGCGATGAGGCAGTTGTTTGAGGTGGCAAAACTTTGAGTGCTGCCAAAGTTTGAATTTAATTTGGCGATATCCCAGACAAGATTGCCCCCTCCCCCACCCCTTTTCGCCTGGGTTTATGTTTTAATACAACAACGTTGGTTAGTAGAACATGATTGCTATTGCACTTTACTAGACCAGAACTTAACTTTAACTGGTTTGAATTGTTCACTAAACACTCTAAAGGGGTTTAGTGATTTTATTTTAGA